CAATAATATATTTTATATAAGCTATAATGCAAAATTTTAATACCTTATGCGCCATTACACCATCCTTATCATCCTCTGCTAATCTTCGAATTAATTCTAACAATTTTTCTCCTTGTTTCTTATTAGCAGTCTTCCAACTCATCTAGAATAAAAAAAAAGAATTTAATTAAATTATAATACAGTCGATAGAATAAAAAATATTATGATTTCACAATAATAAACACCTGAAAACATTCAAATAAATGGTCAAGTTGCTCAGGACTAAAATCCCAAGCAAGTTTGGCTAACAAATCATGAACATTTTTCACAATAGCTTCGTGTTTCCCAGCTTGTGCTGCCCAAACGGCGTCTAAATCTTCTAAAGTTAATGCTCGTTCTTTTATAATAAAGCGTAAAATTTTTTCCAACTTTTCAACATATTGAGGTTGATGTAAAGAATCTCTTAAAACGATTTCTAATACTCCATTTTCCTTTATCCATTTCTATATAAACAGAATAATATTATTTATAATATTTATCGATAAATTACACGATATTTAAAGTGGAATAAATTTCAATTAAACTTACAGCCATACATTCTGCGGTAAGCCATTCTTCTTCCTCAACAATTGCATTTCGATGTTGATAAAAACTAACAGTGGCTATTACTTTATTTACTTCATTTAAAGCATTCATTTTTCCATTAAATGAAGAAATTTGTAAGAGTCTCAATATCATTTTCAGTCTCAGAATCCCCAAATTTTTAATCATTTCCTCTTGATGTGGTACTCGCGACACTAAACATTTGGCGGCTTTGATTATGGCTGATATTGCATCATTTTTTGATTCGTTTTTCGCTTCTTTCTTTAACTCTTCATCAGTTAAATTATTCAAAATTACAGGCACCATTTCCTATATACATGAAAATATACAACAGATATAGATTCAAATTAAATTTTTTAATACTTTCCACAAGATACTTACCACAATAGGCATTAAATATTTGACTATTGTGTGAACAGTAAGTAGTTCATAACATAAACCAAAAGGTCTGATTAAAGCATAAATAACTGGTACTGTTAAATTTCGGCCGCTCTGAAATCTAGAGAGCAAAATTTCAAATCCATTAAGGCTTCCAAACCTGTAAAAAAGAAAATTGAATATATTGTATGTAAAGTGCAAACTGTAAAAAAAAGGATTGTTAGTATTTTATTTATTATCAACCTATTTATAAGATCCACTAGCCAACCACGAGGACTTCTCGAGTCAGGAGGTGGCCGTGCATAAAGCTGTTCATCAGGAATATCACTGCCTGGAGGGACAGTTTCTGAGACCCTTGCAGCATTAAATGTATGAAATCTAAAACAAAATTTGTAAATATAATATTGATAAAACATGTATTAAAAATGTAATATCTTTGGTTACGTAAGAAAAAATGCAACTCACTTATTACTAGGATTAAAAACCATTGCCAGCAAGTCAAGAAGAGGAAACCAGTCCTCATCTAATTTCAGAATACATAGATCCACCAATCTCTCACAGTTCGCGTTAATACAATTTTGAATATTCATTTTCCAACTACTTACTGCATCATCAGTCAATATTTTGGTAAAAGAAATAGTGAGTCCTTCTCGAAAAAAGCGCTGACACGCTTCACTTTGTACATCAATTCCTGAGTACAAATTTGTGTTTATTATTAGATAAAGATAGTCGAATTTAAATATTTAATTAAATAATTAATGATAAAATAATTTATTCAATTAAATAATTTTTAAATTGCTCGTTATAGCTAACCTTTTTTACAAAGATCAATACTGGCTTGTAACAGGCATTCTAACTCTTGTTCTGGCAAAACAGGTACAACCCATCGTGGACTAGATATTTTTTCATGAAGCATATTGAGTTTTGCAACAGGAAAATCTGGCTCACCATGGAGCTGATTACTATCCTCTACTGAAGCTAAAGTATCATTGGTGCATTCTGTTTGTACCACATTCTCCGTGAGTTGAAGTCCTGACATTGTGTCAGCTAATTGTTGAGGACCCGATGGACTGTGCATCTGCATTATATATCCAACATTAATTCAATAACATGAATATAAAAGATGTATGTAAATTATGTTATAACACTTATATATGAAACAATACAATCTTATAAATAAAGTTTGAAACATAGAACATAGATGTATAGTATAAATAAACAAAATATAATTAGCTAATATAAAAATAACTTATATACCTGTGTACTTTGCTGGCTGTCAGGAGGGTCTATGCCTACTCCTTGGCCTCTTGTGGCAATCGTCATTTTATGTGCTCTTTGCTATATTCCAATTGTCTCAATATCTCTTGGTCCAATAATCGCACCACCAATAACAACCATCCAACTCATTCACTGACATTAAATATAATTATACCCTAAAGGCCTTGGTTGAATAAACTATACCTACATTATCTGAAACAAAGTAACCAAAATTCTATTAGAAAGAAAATTGAAAATCTTGAAGTACGATCTCTCAATTGAATGAATAAAATGCTAATCTAATAATTAAGAGGCTACAACATACTAAGGCTAGATATTACTCAGAAGCTCAGTAAAGCTTTTTTATAACAGCTTTATATCCATCAAATATTCATCTTTTCATTACTCTACACATTATTAATAAACCTACTATTATTTATGATTTAATAAATATTAATTTTGCGAAGAACATGACCAACTGGAAAAAAAACGTAAGACAGGAAAACATTCAGAAACGTCGAAAAAGTGAATCAAATGGAGAATTAGCGAGCCGAATGGACGAAAAGTTTGCAAGATGAGAATCGTGTAATTCAAGTTCCCCTTAAGGGACACCGGTAAACTGTCGATATTTCATAGTCAAGCGGCAGGAAAAGAAACTGTGGAGAAAGAGAGAAAAAAAACCATAACGAAGAACGTTTCGCACATATTCTATAAATCGCATGATAGCATGATCTTTTTAAGGTTTCAGCCAACCAAATTCCAATTATTCGTCTTGATCTGAACGAAGGAACGATCCTTTTATAGATATTAACAATCACTCGGAATCGCGTGTAAACCAATAACGAAACTAATAATCATGTCCAAGGGTCTCTATATTTCTTTGGAATTTCGCAATTCATGAAAGGTACGATGTCATGTCGTGAATTTCTCTATCTCTTCCTCTCTCCCTCTCTGTCTCTCTCTCTCTCTTTCTCACACACACACTCTCTCTCTCTCTCTCTCTCTCTCTCTCTCTCTCTCTCTCTCTCTTTCTCTCCTCTCGATCTCTTTCTCTCGCTACTTCTTTTTATTTTTCGGGTGTAATCGTCAAACGTACCGAACTGTCAACCGTCAAAAATTAGAATCAGGAAATGAGGGACCCGTCGTCTGCTTTTTGTCGATCAAGGATCATCGTCGGGCCAAAGGATCTCACGAACGATCGTCGCTAAATTAGCTGAGAATTACGCGAAATACGTATACAGCGTGCTCACAAAGGACTTAACGTCGAGCGGCGACGAGAAAAGGAATCTCCGATGTTTCTCATGTATGCGCCACTTCTTTCCACGAGGCGTGCGATTTCTTTTGTTAATTAGAGATAAGTGAACAGATACCCACGTAACCGGTACCTATGCAATTTCTACAATCCTCGGTGTCCAGGGAGCAACTATTTTCGCCCCGTTCACTCAACCGGGCCACCTCCGGACAAAATGGCGGCCATTCTAACGATTAGCATTCCCGTATTAAAGAAAATCTTTCTGAAATTCCCTTCCCCAAAAATAATCCCCGATCGTATTAACAACGTGACGTGACATACAGAACGTTTCTATTATCACCGATTAACGCACCATACTTCTATCGATTGGACGCACCTTTACATAGTAAATGGTGGTAGAAATTTGTTGCACTTTTTGACGTGACGTTGTAGAACTCACTGGCGAATCTGTAAACATGACTATCTTACGGCGCTACCGTCGTCCTCGAGTTAAAACGACCACTGACACCACATTCACGATGCTTCTCGTGCACTTCCTTGCTCGCTCAATTTTGATTGGACCACGTTTTTCAACCCTCCTTTTTATTTTATTTTTTTTTTCTTTCTTTCTTTTCCTTTTCTTTTTTTTTTTTAATCGAAACGTTTTTTTCCAAAAACTTTTCTTACTATAGATAGTTTGTTTTATGCAAGTCGTTTCTCCGATACGTAGAATTTCAATGATACATATGCGTACGCATGCACAGATTTTTCAACCCCCTATTGTCCTACCGCCTTTGTGTTACTCTTACTTTAAAAAATGTAATAGTACATATTATATTTTAATCTTAACAAATCTTTCTTTTTTTTTGTTAAATATTATCGAATCAAATGATAATTTATATAATGTAAATATGTAATAATTTAAACGAATTGATAAACGTGAAAATTACATGCATATATACATATGTTGTAATACAGGAAAAATACAATTTTATAAAAATATTTTATATATCATTGACATTAGTTGTTTTCAACCATTTATTTTCATAAATTTCACGTAAGTATACACAACATTGGCGATTGTGACTTTTCTTTTGATGTCATTCATTTTATGATATATCCATCACTCGTTATTAATCCGTAATTTATATGTATATAATTGAATGTACATGTCAGGAATAATGATACATAATTTCTACAATTATAATTTCACGAATTTTATAAAAATTCGACGTAATCATACCTTGTACTATAGATTCTTTCAATTATATTTAACTTTTGTCAATCATTTTATCAAAAAAGGTAGAATAAGGTAAAAAAAAAAATGCTTTTCTTTCTATTGATTTGCACAATGTTACATTGGACAAATTCGAATGTTCAAATAAACCTAGAAATTTCAATATTAGTAAATATTAAATTAAAACAGTAATTCAACAATTATTATATTGTTACAGAACATAGATTGCTATTGAATGTTTATACAACAATCTGAAAAATAAGCAAGGGTAACTCTGAACATCATTGAAGAACAGTATTTTAAAAAATCAACTAATTCAAAAAGCTAAATTTTCTTTATTACTTAAAAATGTTTCTTTAGTCGTGGAATATAGTTGGTAATTTTTTGGCAGTTTTCTTCCATTTATTTGTTACACTGTGCCATGTACTTTTAATCTGACCAGTCTTATAATCCTTGACAGCAACAAAAATATAAAATCTGAATCTTAAACGTATAATGCAAGACACAAACGAGAAATATGTATAAGAACGAAAAGTTCTCAAAAATACTAGTACAAGAGTCACGAAATGACTGTATTAATTGAAATAATGAAATCATATGATTGAAATGATATGTTTATATCTAACCTTCAACATTCAATTTTTATAAAGAGATTAATGAAACAGAAATGGAATAGTACACAATTTAGAAATATAAAAGTTGAAATGACAGCACCTATGTCCAGGAACGAATTTTATGTGCACTCGATTTTATAATTACATTATTTTTTCATCTTGCACTTTCCATCACGGGATAAATCGTTACGTGTCGACATTTCAAAGCAATTGCAAGATAATACGATTCACCCTGTACAATTATTTATTTATCAAATGTAATACCAGAAAGATTACTTAAATGTTCTATAATGCAACATTGTTATACAGGGCTATATGATAAGGAAGCTTGGTCGTTATTGGACTGTTGTTCAATCTTCAATGCCCATTCTTCAATGTTATTTTGAAATACTTAGAATACTAAACTTATCAAGAAAAAAAATATATTTTCATTGTCAAGTATCAAAGGAAAGATTTAGCGATGGACCATTTTAATTTTATTACCATCGCTAAAAAAAGAAATTTATATTTTTAGATTTTAATACCAATGAGAAATGTGAAAACCTATTTCATTCACTTTCAAAATTTGATTTGTTTTCACTATCTCTTCAGAGAATGAAAATTTTATGTACAGTCAAACGTAACTTCTGTACGTGTAATATCGTACGTGAGAGACCGAGATCATTTTCCATTTTTAAAAGAAATGCTTAGACTTTTTTCAAAAACCATAGATATCCACAATTTGAAATGTTCATCATAAAGCGAGCTCTTCAAGTTCCTTCATTAAGTCAGCTTCTTTCTTGATCTTGTCCAACTGATTGATTTCTAATTGTTTCCCAGCTACTTGCAGCTCTTTTAATTTTGAAATCTGCTCTAGTTTCTGTAAAAAATGAGAAATAATAAAAAATCAAAATAATTTATTTTATTTTATTTAGCATTAATAACAAAAAGTCTTACACTTTTAATTTTTTTAATTTTCTTACTCCTGTCCAAATTATCACATTCAGGAACATTTGTAGTTAGATTCTGAGTTTCTGTACTTGTAGTAACTTGTCCATTTGTACTTGGATTACTTGATTGAGAAGATTCCGATTCCTTTGTACCTTTCTTCGTTTTTTTCTTTGCTTTTGTTGCAGCTACAACATTGGATACATGAAAAATAAAGTACTTACTTTGTATCTATAATTCAACATTTCCAAATTTATCTTACACTTTGGGGGTTTTTTTATTCCAGCTTTGTGCAATTCATCATCGCGTAATTTAAAACAAATAGTTTCCCCTCTGGCAGAAGGTGGTCGATACACTTGTTTTGATGCTAAAAATAAAAAAAAATCTCAAATATTAAAAACTTAATACAATAGTTCTATTTTTCTAAAAAAGACTGTAACAAACTTTTACCTTGTGGTTGACTAGGAGCAATGCCTTCAACAGCTTTGTAACTAATTGGTTTTTCTGGAAATGTTTCTGGTGGGAAGGTTTGCCATAAAACTTCCCAAAGTTCTTCTTGTTCGTTCCATGGCCGTTCATATAATAAAGTTCCAGTATAATGCCAAATCTTAAATCTAAATATGAAATATTTATCAGACATGAATTAACACCCCAATTGTCGATATAATAGACAAATATAATATATTTACCCATTGCTCATTCGAAGTCTAGGTGCTGTAGTTGCAGTCATAAAATGTTCTCCATCTGGTGACCACTGAAGAAGCGTCGTATCAGGAGCTTCAGTTTTAGCAATTAGTTTTCTGTTAGCAACATCCCATAATTCAATACCACCACGAAGATTGCCAAATCCAGTCAAAATTAGAAGTGCAAAGTGGTTAAGGAAATATATTTGTTAATAAAAAGAATTCTTATTAAATAAAAAAATAATATAAAATCAGTTAAATGAAGTAATTAAAGGATATTATTCCCTTGAGGATTATAATAAATGCTATTTCGATGCAAAGCACCAAATTCAAATATTGGTTCACACTTAAGATTAAATAATGTAGCTTTAGCTGGCATAAAATCATATATGACACAGAATTCATTATTTTTCGGAGACCACTGAACAGCATGTATAGGACCCTTATTACCTAATTAAGAAAAATAAGAAATGATTTGCAGACAGTCAAAAGTGTTATTTCATAAACAAAAACAATAATTGTGAATTATAACATACTAAGCATGACCATAGAAGTTTCTCCTTTTGTACTAAGATAATGTAAAGTCTGTTTTCCATAATACGAAGCGCCTGTTTTGTCAACCTCTGTGCTCGTCATTAATAAAACACTTGTTCCATTATTATTCCAATAAACGTTTACTCTATCCGCCTGAAAATAAAAATTGTAGAATTTTATGTATCTAAATATATATAAGTATAATGTATATAAATATATAATCTTTATATATAAAGATATGTATAAATTTCATAATAATATAATACCTGGAAGAAACTTTTGTATGCTAAAGCTTGGGTGAATTCAAACTTTGGATATTGAAATAGCCTAGCAAATGAAGGCTGGTCTGACTTTCCTGTAAGATAATAATATTAGTTATAAAAAATAATTAATTGTCCAATATCTAGATTATATTAATGGTATTTTACAATTTAATAATTTGGTATTTAATGTGGAGAGTATTTATTCGTCTTACAAAAAGATATTAAATTCATTGTAATTTCGAATTTCATTTATAGATATTTAAGAATCGCAAGTATTGAAACAAAAAAATAATTACCTGTTAAATATACATTATGTTTCCCTAAAACTTTATGAAAGTACTTACATATAAAAATGAGCATGCAATAATCAGGAATATTTCCCATTACTGTTGATCCTGATTATATATTCATATTTGTATATTTTGCAAAATACCATTACGTATTAATATTCTGCTGTACTTCTTTAAAATATTAAAGTATTCTATACAGATACAATTATCTTATAATCTTCATTCCATTTGTGTATTACATGCTTGCCACACATATTTGCTTCATAATGAGAGAAACTGAAATAAAAAAGTATTTCATAAAATACGCCAATTTTTTATATGACTTATGCTTGAACTATATTACTAATAAACAGTGTATATATTTCAATCAACTAAATAGAATTGCTAATTATGCTTTTTAAATCATTTTGTTTCTTATATTGAAATTTGTATCATTTCTCATGGTTTTTATGAAGCACTGAAGTTTATCATATTTATTTTATTAAATATCAGCTAAGAAAATGATATACTCTCCACATATAAGTACCTTGATATAATATGCATGCATTTGTTCAATTTAAAATTAAATAAATACACAACAAAATTTAATTACCCGGCATATAACAGAGAATATAGTATGGAGTATTACTTGGTGAAATACTAAACCTAGCAACTTTGGCTACATTTATTCTGTACATAATTTTGTTAAAATTGACATCCTCATATAGAATGACATCTGCACCAACTAAAATCCCACAGATCTTTTCATCACTTGTCCATTGAGGTTCCCTAAATAGATATAATAGAAATAAGTTCTACCTATTGTTTATGTTTATTTTAAAGAAATATAAAATTTTTGGATGATAATAAATATTATATACAATTCTTTTTCTAAAATTTAAACATTGAAATATAAAATATTTATAAAAATTATATTTTTTTAATTACACAGATCACACAATGTTAGAAGAAAAAAACAAATAATATTCCATAAAAGTAATTTTATATAATTTAATATAAATTTTAGTTAAAAGTAAAATAGCTATATAATACATTACCAATCTGATTGTTTTTTCTGTATAAAACTCTTCACCAGTTCTCCAGTCTCTGATTTCCATATGTTAAGATTTGGTGTTCCTTGAGGATTTGATGATGTCGCTGTAATATACAAATTAATAATAAGTATAATTTTTTAGTCAAAAAATTGAAATATGATACAAATAAAATAAACATTAAGCATTCTTATTAATTCATTTAATATATTTAATATATTATAAAACAATAAAATCAATGAAAAAGAAATAAAAGACACATTAGGTAAATAATTGAAAGCAAATAATTTAAATGTAAATAATATAGAATTAATATAATACCAATGAATGGTTCCCATGTCATAAAATATGTGCTTCGAGTGGAGAACTGAATTGCAGAAATTTTAGGTCTTTTGATTTCTGTAATTATTTTCCACGTAGAACAATGTAAAATCTTGGCAGTCATTCCATTGATCCATGCAAAATAACGTCCCTCTGGACTAAAAACCATTGCTTTGCATGTCTTACTATCATCTTTAGGAAATGACTTCACTGGTTCGTACGACGGAGGGCCTTGTCCTAAGCTGATTCCAATTGAACCTCTCACTGAAGAAAATCAGTTGTACACATTTAGATACATGTATGTATAATTAATTTCAATAGTTACACGAAACAAACAGTAAAATAAAAAATATACATATCTTAAAATAAAAATATTATTAAAATACACACTTGACAAGATAAATTTAAGTATCCATGAGTTATTTACAGAATTAAATGAAATTGTCGAAAAATTGCCAAACATAGCATGTAAATGCATTTGATAGTAAATACATTTTCGTAACGAGGTGCTATATGACGCATTTTTTAAACCAGAAATGTGTTTCAGTAATACAATGCCACATGACGCATTTTTGTGCAATCAATCGTGGTGTAACACGAAACTTGTAAAACATATCACGGACAGACGTACATTCCGTGCATGTTAATGTTTAAAAAAATACCAATAAAAATTTGATCGTAAAGTAAGAAAATTATTAATAAAAACAACACAAAAATTCTTACCAGCGACACAAGGAACAGTTAACGCCATTTTACTTCCGTTACCATGTGGTACCGTAATATCGAGTATCGACCACTCTTGCCAGACTGAGGAATTTGTCTCTTGAAAAGGATTTCTTGCACATGCGTCGCCAACATCGTATGCAAGAAACACGTGCGCTTAGTATCGTAGAAACTAATATATATGTTCATCAAATTTTCCCTATTATTTATTTATAAAAATGTTAATGTATTTATATGTAGCAGCTATAATTGTATATAAATAAGTATTTACTATCAGATATATTACAAAAAGTAAATAAAATATCATATGTATATATCATAACATCTAAGAACATTTGTATACCAATCTTTTAATTTGAATATTGAAGATAAATTTCTATGAAATAATTAATTTGCACGATCGTTTCTTGATTGTAAATAATTACCTATTGTTTGACAAATAGTACCTTTTTATTTTTTCAAAAATATTTTATCATTATTACTTTATCCTAAGTAATAAATTTATTCTAAAACTGTAAAGTTTACAGATTGATATTTGAACGTTGTCTCATCATAATCATGTATTCATTAAATTTAATTTAAACCTCTACTATACAATATATAAATCTTATGTAAAATTATATGTTTAACTATGTTTTAGAGATAAGATACATATCTGTATTTTTCTAAATAAAGATAAAAATGTATGTATTCTTATTACAAACTATTGAACTTTGAAGCTTCTAAAAATTAAAATATATATTTTAATCGCTGCACTTATGAATTAATTCCAAATAATTTTTTTTTATATAATTGACAAGAAATTTGTATAAAATTATAATTTAGTATAAAAAATTAGAACGAGAATAGATAAGAAAGAAACATATAATTGCTAATACGGTGTACCATTAATGCAAACATATTTTAATTATGTCATTGCACAATAAATTAAAAATTGAAAAATGTTTGTTGAACACCCTATATTTGGCAGAAATTATATGTCAGCATCGTTTTACGTGGGGTATGGCAAGTTCATGTTTTAGGTAAGAATTATAGATTTTTTATTATTTTTTGTAATAACATTGCCATACTTTCTTTATTATTTAATTATACATAACAATTATAGATGACACATAAATATAATATAGCTAATAATGACATATAATATTTTTGTTTCGACTTAAGTGAGGTTATATTTTTATAAGTATAATCTAATTTAATAAAGTAAAAAGAGTGAATAGCAACAATTCTTATAAAATCTTTTCATCTTATGTTTCAAAAACAAATCTGTTATTACACATACATAATATTTACTTTATGTTATTCATAAATTTCTTTTTAATTTTTGTAATTTATAAAAGCATGAAATAATTTGATATCAATAACTTTAATATGTCCTTAATATGTCCTTAATATGTTAGCAATGTGGATGAATATGGCTTTGAAAGACCTCAAGACTTTGACTATGAAACCTATGAAGATTTTATGTCAGAATATCTCAAAGTACTTACTAAAAGAGCAAAAAAATGGTCTGAAATCATGGGAGAAGGAAAATCATTACAACGTAATATTACGATAAAGAGATATGTTCGTAAAGGAATACCAGGAGAACATAGAGGATTAGTAAGTATGAAATTCATATTTTATTTTATCTTATAAATATACAAAGGAAAAATTTGATTCTCAAAGGTATGGCTTTCTGTCAGTGGAGGAGAAGATTTAAAGAATATAGAGCCCGATCTTTATCAAAAGTTATTACAACCTCCACATAATAAACAAATAGCAGATGTCATTAAAACTGATCTACCAAGAACTTTTCCCGATAATATATTTTTTAATAATACAGAAAATCAGCAATACCAGTTATACAACATTCTATTAGCATTTGCTCATCAGAATAAAACAGTAGGATATTGTCAAGTATGTTAAATTTATCATGGTAATAAGATATATTTTTAATATAATTTATACACAAGGTACTAAGGTTATATTTTTTTTAGGGTTTGAATTATATAGCAGGTTTATTATTGCTTGTTACAAAAAGTGAAGAAACAGCATTTTGGTTGTTAAAAGTCTTAATAGAAAAAATTTTACCCGATTATTATACACCAACAATGGATGGCCTCCTTACAGATATAGATGTGCTTGCAGAATTAGTCAAGTAAATTTTTTAAGTTTTTAATATAAATATACAAATTGTATATATGTACATGTATATATTGTTATCATTATAATTATTTTAGAATGAAAATGCCAGATATTTATCAACATGTAACGAATATAGGTTTACCTTGGGCAGTCATTACAACGAAGTGGTTTGTGTGCTTATTTGCAGAAGTATTACCAATTGAGGTAAAGTTGATTACATGTACTTTCTAAAGATAAAATTTACAAAATTGGTGTTTTGCTGTCTTTTAACATTATTATATGTGGTGTGTACACAGTTGATTCATTCATTAGTTTAACGTTTTGAATTAATTGGATTGCCATATACTATAGAAGTATTGAATAAAATATTTACAACTTGGCAGACTACGCTGCGTATATGGGATTGTCTTTTTTATGAAGGCAGTAAAATTATATTTCGTGTTGCATTAACTCTGATAAAAAGGAACAAATGCAACCTGCTTGCTTGTCAAGATTTTACAACATTAGCAGAATGCTTTAAAGAAATAACAAAAGACAGTATTGTTTTAAAATGTCATGATTTTATGCAGGTAAATATAATTTTTTTTATTTTTTGTTTTAATATATCGAAAACAAGCGATTTTTAACAAATTTTATCAAATATTTTATTTCCTTTAACTAGAGTATATTTAAAGTACCTGGATCACTGCCTGGTAGCACAATTATTAAACTAAGAACAAAAATATCACGACAACGTGCGGAACAAAAAGAGAACAAATTAGGACGATAGTACTAGTAATCAGATTTTATCTACTGAAAAGTTTCTAGTCAATATATTATTTTATTGTAATTCCTAAAAAAACGAATATATTATACAATATTATTATAATATTACATCTACAGTATTTCTGTAAATTTAAGAGTAAAGAATAGCATACCAATTTATTATTACATTGATTTATATTAATTTATAAGATTCTTTATACATTTTTATTTATAAAACTGAACGAAGTAGAATACTATAATTTTATTATATACATTGTAAGATTGTAATATATTAATTGTACAAAGATCATGTGTTAAATACTTTTATCGATATAAGTTCAATCGTCAAAATTGAAGGAAGTATTATAATGTATAAATAATTTTATTATAAGTTAAATAAAATATAGAATCATTATCTTATTAAATATTTACATAGAGATTTACTTGTGGGAATTAGATTTACAAAACTATTAGTAAACAAATTTCATATACATTATTTATACTTATACATTTAGCTATATATAAATCATTTTTCTAATAAATCTTTTGCTTCATTAATTTTTGCAGCAACATATGGAGATCCACCTTTATCTGGATGATTTACAGCCATAATTTTTTTAAATTGTTGTTTCACTTTCACTTTACTTGCAGTTGGTGATACATCCAATATTAAACTAGCTTCTCGTCTAGTCATTTTAGATTCAAAACCTCCTTTATAATATTTACTATTTGCTAATGTCTACAATGATATATTTCATTAAATCCATTCAACCTACTTATATAACCTAATATTTAAAAATCTACCTGTGAATTTAGTTTTGGTACATTTTTATAAGCTTCTGCCATTCTTTGAGATAAATGTGGCATTCTTTTAAGTATATAACGCCCAGTAAAACCTACTACAGCAAGGCCAACGCCTGCTGCAATAAGTGTGGAAGCCTGCAAATATCACTTATTATTAAAAACATATTTTACAAATTCCAGTTTATCGAATAAAAATATTTATTAAAAATTTTCTATTAACTTCCATGTAATTCTTTAAATACACGTATCCACATAACCACAAATGTATTGAAAAAAATGTTAAATATTGGAACAAAGATAATTAAATTTTTTTTCTTTTCACAAATAACAATATTTGTAAAGTTACGATTATTTATTTCACTGCTGATGAAATTTTGACGAAATACGCATATATACGCACATTCTTGGCATATAATTATATGTACAATTATAACTTACAACACAATATTAATTCAGCGAAAACTGAAGAAATATTAGGAATATATTGTTATACAGTTCGATATCAATAATAAAATGATTTCATAATATGTCACTGCCTTTTAATCTTACCATTCTTGTAAAATCGTCAAAATAACACGACGCTTATTCAAAACAACATAAAATAAAATAATCCTCTTTAACCATTGAAAAGATATTAAAAGAGATGATCAACAATGATTGAAAATAATAAGGGAAAAAATAATTGATTCAGTTGTGAATTCAACTTTATATTTATTCTATGTACTTTCATGTATGTCTGCCCATATTATATATAATTATTCGAATGAGAAAATATAAAATAAATGAAAAAGGAATAATACATTATATAAAGTATAAAACGGAGTATAAATTTTAATATCGTCATTAAAAAGTTGAAATTGTTCTCCATACAAGAATAGCAATATTGCCAGCGTTATACATGTATAATAATGACTTTGCTTGATACGTGACTGCGCAAGCATATGATTCTCCAATAACTACATGAAATGGACCACCAAATCTTTTATCTAAACTGTCTTTAATATTTCGAGCAGCTAGTTCATGATTATCAGTATATTTTTCTGTAGCTGTAACACATATTTCCATTACTTCCTGTTTCATTTCTTCCTTCATATCACTGTACTAAAAAAGGCTTTTTAATTAATCATAATATCATTGTAATTTTAAATCTTACAAAATCAAGCCCAAACTCTTACTTTGCATAGAGGATACGTATGAAATATTAAAGGTTCTTCTATCTTCTTTACCTCACCTGCAGACATTTTTAATCATTAAAGAAATTTATTCCAAATTAAAGAAACATTATGATGCAGGATTCCAGCAATACATTGAAATATTTAATGTATCTCAAAAATTAACTTTTTTAGGTTCAAAATAAAAGATTCAGCACAAATGTAAAATCAATATTTTTCATTTGTTATTTCTAAGTATGACAAGATATAGTATGCACAAGGAACAGAATAAAATTTGAGTATAAAGCGGAATCCAGTTTCGCAGATTATTATTTATGTCAATTAATTTATTAATTATATTAATCTTCATTTGTGAGAAATAAATTTACATATTTTCTGAAGATGATTAAAATCAATTGATATCAATATAACGTTAAATATTTCAAATTTAAAATAGCTGATCTATAAACTGAACGTAAGATAGAGCAACCAATGACATACAAGAATTAAAATCCAGTCAATTCTTAATCTTTGAATAGGGTTGTAACTAGCTTAAATAACCGCTTTATTTTTGGCGCGAAGTTGTTTTATAGTTATGTTTAAGTAATAAAAAGTGGTGATTTATTGAAAACTTATACACAATTATCAAAAGGAGGTATAATGTTGTGATAATGTTACATGTAATGTCATAAAATTTCGATAATTTTTTAAATCGTAGAATCAGAAAAACATTTACAAATAAATACAAGTGTGAGAAATTATTCGATAAACTTTAATTCAACTTTATATCTGAAAATAACATTTTTGTATTCTATTTTGTAGTAATAAACAAATTTTAACTGCTGATCTATTAAATTCTGAAGCATATACTATATAACCTATGAATATTATTCAGCGGTAACTTCTTAATTAAGGTTAAATTTATGTATATACATATACATATATATATACATATCTCTAAAATTAAATTTAATTAAAATTAAATAAGCATGAAAATATTTATATAAAATAATTTTGCTTAAATACTTTTATTCATAATTTATAGTCTTATTGGTAAGATTCATCACTGATATAATCTTAATTATTTCTTACAGATTAATTCGTATTATTTATTTTATTGTTAATATAATATGGAAGATCCAGCTACCGCACGTTTAAAGTATTTAATAGTAAGCAGTAATGAAGCTTTAGAATTTAAATTAGTACGCTCTGTTGATGATTTAGAGAATGATGAAACCATATTTAAACCAGAAATGTCCCATCAAGTATTTGGAGATAGGTTTGTTCTTAAAATATGCATTACTAAAAATCTGTATAAACATTACAGATTTATAATCAAATATATTTATCAATTTGTTCATTCATTGTTTTTTCTTAATTATTAATTTTATTTACCAGTGAAACTATATTTGGCTACCGAGATCTTAGAGTAAAGTTATATTACTCAGCAGGTTGTTTAGAAACTTATTTAGGTATGACTTATTCAGAAAAAATAAACAAACTACTTTATGAAGGAGTTGAAGCTGATGAAATATTGCCCAAAATTGCTGAGAAATTAGCTCCACAAGTGCATACTAATATAGATGCATTTATTGAATCTTTAAAAAAGGATGACACATTTAAACCTCATGGTGTACTGCTTCATTCATTTTCTATTAATGGTAATGTTATATATTTTTTCTTCATGATGTGTATTTTTATATATAAGAAAGATTATAAAAAACCTGAATAATTAATCAAAATTTACAAATGATACAGATGAAGGTTGCACAAGAAAATTTGAAGTTTATAAAGCAGATATGACGTATAAAGGTTTTAAAGAATATCATCAACGTCTCCAAACATTTGTATTGTGGTACATAGATGCAGCTAATTTTATAGACATTGATGATGATCGGTGGCATTACTTTAATATGTAAGCTTGACTGTGATTTTACATTAAGTTTCTTATTGATTACATAACAAATCATTTTTTTAAACAACAACTTTTTTTGGAATAGGTTTGAAAAATATCAAACAGCAGATGGTATTATTCGTTATGCAACTATTGGTTTTGCTACTGTATATCAATACTACGCATATCCACGTCATACTAGACCTCGTATAGCTCAAGTCTTAATTTTACCACCATTTCAAAATATGGGTCTTGGTACACATTTGTTGCATGCTATTTATTGCGAATACATTGGAAGAAACCAGGTCAAAGATATAACAGGTAAATAAAACGTATAGAAACACGCGATTATTAAAAAATCAATTCTATATTGAGAAGAATAAAACAAAAGTAAGGCCTGATTAAACACTTTCATTTCAGTAAATCTAGTACATTTTGGTAAGGCATTGTCATCATTGTTGTAGTTGAGGACCCTTCTGTGACCTTTCAACGGTTAAGAGATTATGTGGATGCAATAAATTGCAGTGCATTGCCTAGTTTTTCACGAGACTGTCTACATCAGGGTTTTAATAAAACAATGGCTGCAGAGGCTAAAGAGAAATTCAAGATTAATAAGGTATTTCTTATATTTACACTTGCTGTAAAAAACATTTTAACTTGAAATATATAAATTTTTAGAAACAAGCTCGCAGAGTATACGAAATTTTAAGACTACGGGCGACAGATTTAACAAATGAGCAAGAGTATCGTGAATATAGATTAGATGTGAAAAGGAGATTGAATATTCCATACAGACGCGAACAAAATGATTTAAAAAAGTTGGAATGTGCATTAAAGAATATTGATAAACGTGCGAGCATTACTTTACCTACACTGGATCAACGTATGCAAACTCTTGAGAAAGAATACAGAAGCTTAGAAGAAGAATATAAGAAAGTAATTAAACGTTTGGAGGACGCAGAAGAACTTTGAAATTTAATATTTTTTTCTGTTTCTTATTTTTATTAAGTTGCCTGTGTACGAAACGATTAATACTGTTTGAACATGAATTATTAGTCAAAACATTTTTTGTTGGCTCAATTTTCTATTGGCTTAATAAAGTTTCTTTTTATTAAATAATTTATTATGCAGTCATATTTAAATATATTTATTTACTCCTATTTTGTCAAAATGCAAGTGGTGGACTACAGTCTTAGCTATTAAAATAAAAGTTGGATCCCATTGATTCATTAGTTTTTTTTTCTAAATTTGATGAATTCATAGATGAAATTAACAGTACGTAGTGATAAAATTGGGATTTAAATGTATTGCTGTCCTTGTCGTACACTGTCGCTCTCCTTGTCTACCGCGCATGTATGTCTATCCTTGTCACATGTTACTACCCTCCTTGTCTAATCACGATAGACAAGGAAAACAATAGTGTGCGACGAGGACATTCGATTTGTTGCAAAAGAAAATTAAATTTTTACACATACATTTTTTTGGGGCAAAACACACATAGACAGAAAGTTGGGAGTCTACTTTTGAGAAAGATATATAAAGATCGCAAATCATTCCTTTTAACTAGTTTTTTTTTGTAATTAGTGCGTCACATTTTGGACATGGTGGCGCCATCTACTGGTAACTTATAGATACTAATTAATTTTAAAACTGCTTATTTCTGCATTTTACAATTCAAATGGGGTATGAAAAGAAAGCTAAAGATCTAATAAGGGTAATGCAATCACAGAAGTTCACAATTCATCTCGTTAAATTAGTTTTTTTGCAAATGAAAATTTCTGTTTTACGGGATAAGAAATATTAGCGTCACGTTGTGGCAGAACAGTGGAACTAAAATGCAGAAATATAAGTTTAAAATTAATTAATACCATCGTGTTACCAATAGATGGCGACACCACTTCAAAATGTGACAGATGACGGTTTTTACACTAATTACGAGAAATTCATTAAGAGGAATCATTTGTGAACTGTTATGGTTACGTCTTCAGTTTTAAACCCTTAGCTTTCGGTCGATGTTCTGTTTAAGTATTGTTACGTATATAAAAAAATTTTTTAATTTCGCTTACATTGGCAGTCCCACCGGTAGTACGAGTAGTGAGTGTTTAATTTTTCGCAAACTATATTAGATTATATGAATATTAGATTCAAATTTATTTGTGAACGTAATTGATAGCATTATCTTTGAAATATATACTCATGGAATGCAAATTATTGGCGTGAAAAATTAAAATTAACCCGGGATTACCCACGTGAGGGTCTAGTCGCCGGGATGTACCTGCGCTAGACCCCCAGGTGGGTAATCCCGGGTTAATTATTCTTCTTATATGATAGAGAGCGTTTATTTCCGTTTTGCCACAACGTGGCGCTAGTGTTTCTTACCCTATCGGTACTATGATGATAATTAATTTCAATTTAAATAATAGCTCTATATTTAATTTTGATAATTTATATAAAAATATTATCAATATAACAAAATATATATTAAAAATGAATAACTAATGATGAATAGTAAATAATAAATGAATGATTTCTTTGATGGCTTACTATATATATAAACATCTCCATGGTAATAATTAATGCACTAACAATTTTTAAATTTTCTATTGTTTATTGTTTATGAGTTTAATAAAGTTGGCAGTGTTAATTTATCGGAAACGCACCTTTCGGCGGAACGATTTAGTGACCATAGATGGCGCTGATCTAAATTCTGTGGAGTTAGCGGTCGCTACATGTCCATTAATAAATTTTCATTTCCAAGAGAAACTAATAAAGATTAAATTATGAATTTTTACAGTTACATCTCTTTAATTAGACTCTCACCTTTCTTTCTTCACATCATTTGATCTATAAAATGCATATGTAAAGACTTGGAAATTTTTTCCAACAGATCAAAGCATTTGCTTGAATTTAATTTCTTGCAAATTTCTCATAAATTTTTTTATTATTGACCAGCTGATATTACGTTTAAAAATCTGAAAAGATATCATTATATTTCTGTAAATTGTAAACAGCGCATCAAGTATCAATTTTTTTCGATGAATTTCATTTTAAAATTATTGTATTGTTTTCTGTGTCACGGCTATGTTGAATTGGTAACGTTATGCGTGCATGTGACACGCATGTGATATGAATAGTTTTATCAGTGATATAAAAGCATACAGTTGATTGACGTTAGATTCCCTTTATACTCCGTTTGTATAAAATAGTATCTTATAGTATCTATAAGTAGTTGGATGACAACTAGACCTCATAATACTAGCTCAGTGTTAATACTGACAATGAGTCAGTAATAGTCCTCCGAAAGTACCTTACGAACATTTATTCTAAGAACAAATTTCAGGAGTTGGTCATCCACGCTTCCCCCCATCCCCCTCGATTTATCATAAACAAATTATAAAAGTGGTGTTAAGAAGAGAAGAGCACACTCTGAATAGTTTTCCATCAGGAAGACTTTGACTACGTAGAATAGACCCTTCCGAAAGTATAACTATTGTTCCTTTACGCGGAATCCAACATAGTAAATTAAATTTGAAAAAACTTCTCAAACAACATTATACAAAGTTAGAAATGACTAAGTATAAAGTAAAGGTAAGATAATTCGTATCAAAAGAGTTGAGAAATCATATATATTAATTTATATTAATATTATGTTTAGCAAACAAATTATTATCAGTCTTTCATTATATCAATCAGTATTATAATTTTTATATTATTATATACTTATAATTTATATTACGTTTTCAAATATCTGTGTAATTAATAAAATATAGTTTAATTTGTACTTGAGAACATAATTTCACACATTGTTCTGGAACTTATCATGTGACAAACAGGTGGTTTTTTTTTTATTTGAAGTAATACTATATCTGTAATATGTAATAAGTAAATTTACAGGTTGGAATAATTGGTGGTTCAGGCCTAGATGATCCTCAAAATCAAATATTACGTTGTCAAAATATAATTACGCGAGAAAAGGCTAAAAACGAGTTTGGATTACCGTCGAGCGATCTTTATCACGGAAGTCTTAATGGTACAGACGTAGTGTTATTATCAAGGTAATTTTTCAAAGAAATGAATCTTTTGCATAAGATGAATAAATCACTTAAAAAATTAATGATAAGTTTTATTCTGGAATGAAAGTTTAAAGAAAACTTTATTTATCTAAATGCAGACATGGACCAGGTCATAAAACAAGTCCCACTGCAGTAAATTATCGTGCGAACATTGAAGCTCTACGCTTAGCTGGATGTACTCATTTACTTGCTTCAACAGCATGTGGCTCTTTGCAAGAATCTATTTGTAGGGGACAGTTAGTTATTCCAGACAGTTTCTTAGATAGAACTATAAAAAGAAACACAACATTTTATGATGGCACTTCACCTAAATATTTTGGTAAATTATATTTTAATATTACATTAATATAATGTCGATTCTGTCTGTTGATATTGCGGTGTAAAATTTTAGGGGTGTGTCATATGCCGATGGAGCCAGCTTTTGACCCAACTACATCTCAAATATTGTTCGAAGTTGGTAAGGAAATAGGATATGACATAAAAAAAGGAGGAACGATCGTGACTATAGAAGGACCAAGGTTTTCCTCAAAAGCTGAAAGTAATGCAATGCGTTTATGGGGTGGACATTTAGTTAATATGACTACATGTCCTGAGGTATTACATTTCTCATTAATCAACTTCCACCAACCTCTGTACCAATTTGTCAATTTATATAAAAATAATATATTTTAAAATAAGGTATATTTGGCAAAAGAAGCAAGACTTTTATACGCAGCTGTAGCAATGGCAACTGATTATGATTGTTGGAGGGAGTGTGAAGATAATGTTCATGCAGCTGATGTAATAAAAGTATTTAAACAAAATATCAACAAAATAAAAGATATACTTACAAAGGCAGTTAAACTTATTGGCGAAAGAAATTGGGACAAGGAAATTGATGCTTTACAAGTAATAATCATAAAGTACTTAAGAAAAATATAAATTAATAATATTACATTATAGAAAAATAAGTACATTTTTTTTTCTTTTCAGGAGTTACGTCAGAGTAGTAATGTTTCTTCTCATACTTTATAAATTTGAGTGTGTGTATTGTGACAATAAGAATCTAATTCATATTTTAGGTTTATACTAACCTTGATATATATATATATATATAATAATAAAAAATAAAATTTATATATTTCTTGCAAAGATTTTGAGAATATATATTATTTTAATAAATGATATAGAAAAAATAAAATACAATATTTATATATATTATTTTAATAAATGATATAGAAAAATAAAATACAATATTTATTATTTAGTATTATTTAATTTATATAATCAATAAAAGCAAAATGATTAAATGGTAACAATGTAATTTCTTGATCACATGAGAATTCATTTATTTTCTGGTTTAACATACAGTTACTATTCAGCTAATATTGTCGTTACTATGACTGAAATGTTTTTACAATTGAAACTATAAAATTATACATTATAAATATAATATTGTAATTGATTTTGGGATATATAAAATAATACATTTTCAGAATAATCAGTACAATATATGTAACATTTTTAATATATAGAATATTTTCATTATTTAACGCATAGGAAATCTTTTTTTTATAAAATTTAATTGGTGACAGTAACATTTTATTTATTTTTAACATCTTATCATCAATTATATAATAATTTACAGTTTGAAATACAGATGCGTTTTAAAATACAGATATATTAATGATTAATTTTTCGAAGAGAAACTAAATTATCTTCCCATAGATTAACATATGTTGCTCAAATCAGAAACAATATTATACCTGTAACTTATTCTATTTTAAAAATGTATGTACAGAATAAAATTGAACATACAGTTTAGTTTATGTCGTTGTATTAAAAATACAATTTCAAAGAAAATAAGATTTAAGCAGCATATTAAAATAATATTGCAAAGCACAGTTTCTATACACAAAGTATTTATAATACAATCTGCTTAAAGAATATGCACCATAGCGATTTCTTACATAATTTTTCACTTTTGTGCAGCCTTCAATTCAATATTTAATACTTAAATTGAAAATTGTTATACTGAATTTATCATAAAATTGAATTAATTGAATTTATCATTAAATTATTAAAACTTGAAACATAATATTAATGATAATACTTTAAGAATTCAACTAATGTTTCGATGTTTTTTAGTTTTTAATAAGTAGTAACACTGATACATTAGCACGTATCTAGTATACTCTGTAAAACATTGTTAAAACATTAGTTTTTAATATATTTAATGAAATAAATTTACAATATCTTAACGTTTGAATAATATAATAATATAATATTTTACTAAATGTCACATACTACATGCATTATGAAGACCTATTGAATGTATGTGGTAAAAGCATTTGAATCAAAACAAATATTATGACAAGTTAATGTTTTTATAACAAGGTGAACTTTCTTGTTCATAACAATATTCACAATGATCTTAATTTTAAACAATACATAACATAATACAGCTCTATATTGCAGAATTTCTGTTCTGACACGATACTTTTGCTCTTTATATAGTACTATGTAAAATAGGTTGTGCTATGTTTAATTGTGAAAATTTTGATACATTTATACAGGCATTTTAAGCAACACGTGATTATTATAATTCTTATAATAATCTTTCATTTTTTCTTAAAGCTATAATTTCAAAGAAATAATTATTTTATGAGTCTGATTTGTCTCTTGTTCAATCAAATATAGCCTGTTTAAAAAGAAAAGAAAATTTGCAACATGTATTCAAATGTATCTGTTAACATTTATACAAATCATTGTACATTCTATTATGCATAGTTAATATTGAGCTAATATCAAAGTACATACATCTTTCCAGGTATTTTGATGTACTATAAAAATATCATTTTTGAGTAAATATTTGGATTACTCCTGGAAGTGAATCGACGATAATTATATTTACATCAACAATCAAAATCAATAAAGTTTTAGAAAATGCAAAATAACAAAGTTTATGCAAATACACAATATTACTTTGTACGCACCTGTTTTAAGTACCTGGAGTTACAGAAGTATGTTTTATGTAAATGAAATGATATTTAAAATATAAGAAAATAGACTCAGCTTCAATAGTTAGACCTTACTGTCGACCATATCTACGTTGATTTTATAATACACGTAAGGAAAATAATCATTTTGGCCAAAACCTAATCCTGGTATATCCACATTCTGTTTAAGTAAACAGATATAAAAAAAATATTAAGTAATACATCACAAAATTTTTTATACAGAAATTAAATTGCTTTAAAATAATTTATTGTCAAAACATTACAACTTACATCTTGATTTCCCTGCGTAGCAGATGATGCCGTAGCAGAGGAATCTAAATGAGCATAATGTTGATTCAGAACATCACGTAGTCGTCTTGCACATCTTTTATGAGGATGTAACAATATTGCTTGGAAATTTACAGGTAATCCATACCTATTAAGATAGTAGTTTAATGAATGTATGTATTAAATTTTATAATATCAAATGATTCATGATTGTTACCTTAGGACAGATTCTACAAATACGCGTAAAGCTTTAACATGAATCCATGCACAGAAACACTCACTAAAGTTAACTTTTAACCAACGTACAAGAGGTCCAAATTGTTTCTTTTTATCAGTTACCAATTTTGTTATCTCATTCTTTCCTATAATGTATATTAATAAATTTTACAATTAAAAATAATATTAATGCATGTAATTGGAAACAAAGTAATTATTATAAATAGAGAGATAATAAAGAAATAGAATTTTTTAACAAAATATTAGATACCTGCGGCTAGTTCTTCTTCATTGTATGTAAAATCGCGAACAATGAATTTTTTTTCACGTGCATGTAATTTAAATTCATCAATAACTTTTTTAAACAAAGTAACAGTGAATAATCCATACTCAGAATCTTGAGCAATAAGTTGTGTAGTACGTGGAACTATCATTTTTGTTAATTTTTCATATCCACTGTACCACTCCTGGAAATATGCTCTAAAAATTTCATAGAAGAAATTTTGTATAATTAAATGAATAGCAGTAATCACAAAACTGTTAAACAAATTTACCTTGGGACAATTACAAGTAAAGTAGTCAAATACTCGCTATCCAAAATAAAATGTTCTTTCTTCACTAAATCTGCCAAATTTCTTGTTAATAAGCTTCCTCTATGTAACAATTATTTATAATTATTACAATAACTTTCAAAGTATAAAAACCTTTATAGGTGAACTTGATAAAAATTTAAACGTGTACAACAAAAAATCATAACTTACGTTTGTTTCTTTTCAAGATTTTGTAAACTTCCCTTCAAATTATTATATGTTGTAGATTTAGTTTTAAGATCTGCATCAATTTGGCCCACTTGTTTACTGATAATGTCAGCAATATTTCTCAATGATTGCTTGATAGGATATTTTGCCATATCCCACTGGAATCGAGTTATATATGATGGTAGATCACCTAGTAAATTCAAAATGTTAGTATAGTCGTTCTGTGAAATAACCATCTTCATTTTCTACATAAATATTCAAACAGAGCTCAATACAATTTTGAAAGTATGGTTTCATAAATAACATGCATTGTTTAAATTAAATGTAGTATACTAAGTGCTTAAGTGTGCTTATAAATGGAATACTGAATATATTTTTAATGATTTGATAAAGTTTATAAGCTGGAAATGATAAAGCTCTGTTGAATTGTAGATGTATTGTACAAATGCAGAAATGTAATATATTTGTAATATTTACATTTTTCATTTTCACAGTATATTCTTATGTTCATTAATAGGTGATAAATATTACAGTTTTTTTTTTTTTTTTTTAAGAAAAGAAAGAATAATCATGTTACTTTTACTGTTATATCATATTTCTATTATGTTAGTCATAAAAAAGAAATATAGGTCTGCATGTGTACAACAAAATTATGCATATGAGTACATATCTAATTAAATTAATTTTAGCTGAACCACAATTAAAATAACTTTTAGATTGACTCTGTGATAAGGAGAGTATTGATAATAATAAGATAACAGAGAAAGACTGTTTCTACTAAACTTATTGTTTGATTCTAGTACGCTCCTTACGTATTATTAGCGTTACAAGAATAAGCGAGACATTAACAAAAATATAGCATGCAAACATTAATGTATAGAAGCATTTTATATTATCAATTCTTTCTTATTGTAAAACTCATTTCATATAACAAAAATTGTTTGTAAAATTTCTTTGTAACACATAACATATTTAAATAGACATTAGCTCAAATTAATTAATTTATATATCTGTAATAAAAAAGAATTACTCGTAAATCACGTTTGAATGAATTAAGTAGTTCCAGCTAGTCCCTTTAATTTAAATATTATAAGATTTGTTTCTCCGCCTTTTCTTTTTTGTTGTCCATAAAAAAATTTTTAACAAAATATTCATTCAAACAAAATTTATGATATAACTCTGTACTACTAATGAATTTTGAACTACGTTAACATTCTTCCATGAAATTGTTAATGAGTAATTTTTGATGAATAAGCTCACACGCACGCATGCACGCATACGCATGTCACTTGTTTCATTAGAATATGAATGTAATGAAAACTATTGAAATATTAAAGTGATTATTGATGCCATATAATACAAATTATTTGTTTATTATTTTAAAAATATCATATTTAACTCGTGTATATTAGAAACCTAAATGGTGTAGCATGAACAGTAGTAACATAGACACAGTATACAGCTAAACTAAGATATTTAAGCATTTCATGCTGTTTATGAGGTATTTTATAAAAGTTGATCAATAGGATGTTTTTTGTGATATGGATAACTTGTAGTGTTGAAGGGTACTGAGCACCATACTGTCATTAAAATTTATATCATGCGCAACAGTATGTTGTAAGTCCATGTACCGATCGATAAGTGTTTTAAAAACGTTAATTATGTAAAAATGTTAATTGTGTCTTATCTGTAGTCTGTGCTAACGTCCATAATACATATGTGTACATGTATTATAGTTTGTGCGGTAGTCTTTCTATGAAAATTATAGAAAGTAATGGTTTGAAAGCATGTAGAAGCTAGGTATAGGATAAATGCTAAAAAATATATTAAAAGAAATAAAGTTATTAACAAGATAGTGTTGCTGTATTTTAAATGTAGTATACTTTTTACAATTATTTTTAAACCATACTTTAGACTGTATTTATAGACATGAATTTTAAATTCACAAATATTACTGACTTGCAATCATAGATTTATTTTAATAACATGATATTTAAATTATTTAAATAACTTAATGTAATGATGATACAATTACACCAGACTAATTTATTATATTAACATATTTTAATTTTTCTTTTTTTTATATATGAGTAAATTTATTACTCGTTTAAACATGTATCTTTTAAAAATAACACAAAAAATTTATATAGGAGATTTGAAGAAAAGTATGATATAAAAGAACATGAAATTAAAAAATTATAAAAAGAAGCAGTTAAAATGTAAGAAAAATAAGGTTGATAATGATCGAGGTAATACACTATGTATTCATTCATTCGTCCACAGCACCTGGAACAATTGATCGAATGATATCCAAAAAATATTAAATAGAACATTCTCATATCACTAAAAAATGAACTTTTTCCAAAAATTCCTTGATGTATCTTGTATTCAATCTAGGACGCAGGAGTGAAAAAGAACTAGCTAAGAACTTAAAATAAACTAGAGTATTTCCCGAAAAATAAACTTCAAGAATGTACGCACATTTGCTGCAATTAAAATGTGCTAGAACATGGGCAGCTGTCTTTGTTATCTTCCAATTTTTAAATTCCTGCGTGCACAAGAAATCAAATATTGTTGTAGTATCACTGAGGAAATTACTGTGGTACAACATAAAATATTTGATACACTAGGCTTTTTTATTTTGAATCGCAAGCTAAGTACTAGGCCAAATATTTTTCCTTTTGGTACTGTCTCACTTGGTGTATGCTGTAAGCATTCGAGAGAGATTGTCATGACTTTTATACTGTGCTTTATTCTTTTTTGAAAATCGTTAAAGTATATACAAATATGTAACGCATATTTAAATATTTATTAATACAAAGGAAATTGTGTCTTTTGAATAATGCAAATTCAATTATAACAAAGTGTAGGAAATTTATTACAGTGACAAAAAATAAAAAAATAAAATATGTAATAAGCAATGCTTTCTCATTTGACATAGCACATTAACATTTAAGAAGATTTGAAATAATTTATTACATTAGAGGCAAGATTTGGCATAAAATATTTCAGCATTACAAACATTGCATATATAGTGCAGAGTTGTGCAAAATTGACACTGAAGGAAATGCGCACTAGGATCATAAAGACGCTTTCAATATATAGTGTCTGAGAAAAATTGAAACAACGTGAGTTTTAATTATTTTTGTTTCTTTTTCCTCTAAGCAAAAGCTGCATGCGAAAATCATTTTTTCAATACTTTCAACAATACTATGAAATGACAACCTCTCTCTCTTTCTCTCTTTCTCTCACTTTCTTTCTCTCCTATATCTACCTCCAAAGGAGATAAGACAAGACAAGAATCGGTCGCTAAAACGGGCGAATCACGAGGTGCACAGGAAAAAGTAGGTTTGAACAAGTCTCGCAGCTATGTTGGGAAAAAAGGGTCGACGGGTTGACCTGGCGGTGATAGGACGGGTACCTGGATTGGGCAAATTGCCGCTATGGTCTTGGTCTTGGTCTTGGTCGTTGTTTTGGTCCGCATCGTCTTCGTCGTCGTCATTGCCAAGCGATTTGCGATTGGAGGTAGATCGATCTGCTTTCTCAGTAGTCCGATGACGTGTTGCCGACTGCCATCTGGTTTCTCCTTCACTGCTACAGTTTGATGAAAGGGAAAGACTTGGACTCGTGGGAGTAGGACTAGGAATAGGTGTGGAAGAGGTAGAAGCAGCGCACCAATGCGCATGGTAGCATGAATATGCTGATAAAGGATCACTTGATGATTTGACATCACAGATGCCTTGAGGACTATGTGATTTCTTTTCCATATCAGAAGGATGACTATGATGTTTATGACTATGATGATGCTCATGATGATGACGCTGGTGATGATGCTGACCTAAACAGGCGGCTGGTTCTGGATCACATTTCTCCGATTCCTTCCACTGCTTGTGATGCTCCTTTGAAGACTTGTGTGATGGGGTGACGGGGGTGTTTGGCGGGGTGTCCGGACCCCCTTCGGGGCTCGAGCTCTCCCCATCCACTGACGTTTGACCTATCCATTACAGCCCAGTCCCAATCTCCGCGCGAATTTTTCTTACGTCTCGTTCAACTATTATTGCGTCCTACGCAAATGCCTAACGACAATGCTGTCGAAACTCAATAAAAATAACTTAAAAAAAAAAAAAAAATAAAAAATAAAAAAAAAAGAAATCATGGAGTATTTAGCGCTCTGTCCCATTAAAAATTGAATCATAATACAAGTTTCATATATGGATAGTTTTACATATGTATCATAAATAAATGTCTGTTCTATTACATCATTCTAATAAGTATTAAGGGTATTGCATTTAAAATATTTGCAATTTTTTTTATTAAAAAAAGTAAAAAACATAGCTCCAAATAATTGTATTTATAATAACTATGCACCTCATGATTACAATATTAAATTATTAATAACATCGCTCTTGTAAAAAATTTAATACCACCACTATTGTAAAAAATTATTGATTTTCATTTTTTTTTGTTACTATATTTTGCGAATAAAATAATTACCATGTAGACCTTGAAGTAAATTTTTCGTTAAATACTCCGAAATGGCAGAAGCAATAAAAGAATGAAAGAAAAAGAAACAAAAACAAAAGTAAAACAAAACATAATTAAAATGAATAAAAAAAACTGAAAACAGTATGAGCAAATGATATGCAATGATATAAACTTAAATAGCAAATGATTAATAATGCCAAAGATATAAAATAACTTAAGAAAAAAGGAAAAAGATCCTTGTAATAACTAATTCGAGCTTGGTGACCACAGTAACCCAAGCAACTCCTTGCGTCCTTTGTAAATTTTTAATAAAAAATGTGGTCCATATCTTTAAATCTTTATACATTTGAAATTTTTCTTCTACATATATTTCAATATATGATGATACTGCATGTTTGTGTATTAAAATTTCTTGTAGCTTTATACATCTTTAATGGTGCACATGTATGAGCATTTGTTAATAAAATAATAAGGTAGGGAAATAGGGTTAATGTGGTCCAAATTAAATAAAGCAAGCCAAGCAACACCATAAATATGAGAAATTATTTGTAGTAAATAATAAATTAAATGAATTCTAACTCAATTATAGTAATAAGCATTCTACAGATATATAAATTGTATGCCAAAATATGATGCGTACCATCGTATTTTAAATATCAAATAAAATTAATTGTTTAATAAAGTAAAGAATTGAAAAAGAAATAAAACATTAATTTTATGCATTTCATATTATCAAAAATCATATTATATCGACTACAATAAATTTTTATATTATTTATAAAATTAAATATATACATAATTTTTAATCTTTTTTAAAGATAATTGTACAAATTATATACTTAACACATAATTGTTAAAGAATATTTTATATTCAAATAAATGTTCTATTATACAAAAAACGTTTTAATATAATAATACAAACGTTTTAATATAATAATACAAATTCACTCAATTAAATGTTGAAATGATATTTAATAGAGAAAAATGTATGGTACACATCATATTTAAAAATGTTAATTACTATGTGCTATAGCCACAAGTATTTTGCCTGCATATTATCCTCAATAAAAAAAAATATGTCTATTAAGACAATTTGTAAAAAAATAATATTGTTGTTATTTTATTATTAGCGTACACAGACAAAATTTTGTTTTTATCTATCAATCTATTAATAGGGTACTGAGGAAAAGAAGGATCAAAGACTCTAATCATGTTATTATTATTATTATCAATGAATAAATTAAAATTTTTAGAAAATCAACTGATACATGTTTAAGATTATTATTAAAGAAAAATTCTAAGTTGTGTGCATGTTTTGTGTTGTGTATAGTATTCATTGATGTCTTTGCCAACCAATATTATTTTATTGTTAAAACATCATACACAAAAAATCGATCGATACTTGTCTGCAAGGATCCAAAACAATATAATATTATCAAATAATATAATATAATATTTTAATACATATTTAATTTCAAAGCTTTTCATCTAATATAACAATGAATATGATTATTACACAATTTTGAACCCTTGCCTTTTTCAATAATCTGTTCTCTTGTATAAGAGAATAGATACAAATTTAAATTATAGAGCAAATTCTAAGAACATAAACACACCAATATTTATACTCACTATTGTTAGCCAAAAGATTTTCATGGAGCTTATCTCTCTGATCTTCTAAAACTTCTCCCAGATATGTTGCCACCTTACGTGTTACTTGTTCAACATAAGCATCGAGTTTTCCTAGATCATCTGATAAACCAACCAATTGGTCCAATGTTCCCACCTTTAAGTCTGGGATATGAAACTTATAGTTGACAGATAAAGAATGTTGTTTTGATGTCAAATTATTCATGGTTTCCCATGTCTGTTGACATGTTTTATCTCCTGGTGCAGATATTAACCAATATTCTGTCATTTTGGATAATATTTCAAATTAGATGATTTAGGATATCTGAAAAATTATAATATATTGTACCTATTTATTTGTATTATATTTTGCACAATAAATTTTATTCATACTGAATAAATATTACATTTTTTATATAACAAATTGAACGTATAATAAATATTGAATAACTTTCTGTGTACACATCTATTCAATTTGGAAATATTGCAGAAATATTGATCAGTTTTTATATGATTCAAGTTTAATGACATATCTATTTTCTTATTTTATGGTATTTATTAAAATAATTACACAACTTATTTCTAATAAATAAAATTTTCAAATTGAAAATTAAGCTGTAGGAAAAGAATGGTTTCATCAACAACCACCTGCTTCGCTATCAAACGTTGCTAATCTATTGAATTAGTATTATAATTCTACAAATATCATTCGTATATTCGTTGCTCATTGTTGCATAAATAGATGGTGGTACAGAATTCAAAATTCTAAACAATTTAGAAATTCATAAAGCTTAAGAAAAACGAAATAAAAGAAGGGGGTGTGGCACGACGTACTTCTTTGAATATGGCATTATGTAATTAGGCGCGCTTTCCACGTGACATTGTAAGTGCAAGAATGGCGCGCCGAACTTACAGAACGATCAATATAGGGAAATGACAAGTGTTCGTAAAATTACGCACGAAAAGCTATGGCCTTGAATTGATGCTAGATGATGCGAAATATCGAGTAAAGTCGAATTTATCATTGAAATGACTTAATGGCGCCTACTCATTACACTAATCAGCATAAAATCGATAATACAATGGATCTAATCGTTTTCATCAAGAATACGTCATATATTAGTTTCGAATTATTTGGAAGCCTAATATCAACCAATGTAATAAATGCACAATGTATCATGTTAAACGATTCGAAACTTACTATTACGACTATTTGACAGTGATTTTTCAATATCCTTTTAGTCGTAAAACACGGGTTAAAAACACTCTCTGTTTAGCCGTAATTTGTCAGTTATTGATTTATTACAAACAAGAGACGAGTTGTTTCTACTTACCCCAGATACGTTGAATTGTACCTTTGTTTGCAGAACACTGCAGATGCTTGAATTTCTTGAGAAATTCAAAACATTCGCTGTTCTAATCACTTAGACGTCGAAACCATCAGAAACCATTGTGACCTCACGTGATGACAATTGTGTGCTGCTGTCTTGCGACCCGCCCTGCAACTAAAGCATAAACTAAAAGAATTATCAGCTGATTTAGAACTGTTCGTAATGACCAATACTATTGCCAATTGAACCAAAAAATTCACACGTTGAAACTCCGATTTAAGTGTCAAGTCAACATTGGTTCCCCTTTCTTAAATATCTTGTTACAAGGAATTTCTTTATATGACATAAAAGTTAATGACCAAGAATTTATATTTTTCAGAGTTTGATGAAATCATACTTATTGCTCACACCAAATCACATTCATCGTATAAAGAAAGTTGGTAGTACTGTAACATACACCACGCATATCCACTTATTGTCTTTCATGAGTGATATAGTATAATCCATAATATTTGACACAGATCTCCTAAGGATTAAAGATTGTAATAGTTTTCAACTTATTCTATATCGATATATCATGGGTTGTGATGGTGGAACTATTCCTCGTAGGGATGAACTCGTAAGAGTCAAAAAGAAACCAGAACAGGTGATTTTTTATTCGATTATACATAAGATTTATTTATTACATATCAATTCCCTAGTGAAACATATGAAAAACTTTGTTTATTGTAAAACGTATACAAAAATCAACTTTTTATCACGCTGTATGTCTATGTATAATTATATACAATTAATTACAGAAAGATAAAGAAGCAGAATTAGCATTTAAATGGAGACACTGCACAATTAAACAATTACCATTACAACCACCAGTAGTTGGGTGTGTATTAGGTCGTCTCTACAGTAAAGAGTCTGTATTAGAGGGTCTTCTTGACCGAAGCACACTTCCAGAATCTGCACAACATATTAAGACTTTGAAAGATGTGAAGAACTTAAATTTGACACCAAATCCAGCATTTGATGGCAATAAAGCAAAAAAAGGAGACTGTTATACTGATGAAGGAAAAAGTCCATACATTTGTCCACTTATTGGACTAGAAATGAATGGAAAATATAAATTCTGCTTTTTATGGTCGTGTGGTTGTGTAATGAGTGAAAGAGCACTTAAAGAAGTCAAAAGTAAAGTAGGTATTTGTATCACAAGTATAATAATGAAAAGGTATATACAAACACTCTTATGTTATATTTCAGATATGTCATCAATGTCAACAGCCTTTCAGTGAAACAGATATTGTTATTATAAATGCGGAAGGTGATGATCTTAAACTAATGGAAGAAAATGTGGCATTACGTAAGACAGCCCAAAAAAAAAATAAGAAACAGAAACATAATGAGGATAATCAAACGCAAGATGTTAAACAAGAGGAAGTACCCAAGAAAAAATTGAAAAAAGAAGATAGAAACGGTACTATTAAGGTTAATAGTAATAGAACTGAAGCTGAAGATCCAGCTTATAAAAAGGTTAAAGACAATTACAGTGTTGCTAAAGATCCTAAAGCATCAGAAGTATTTAAAAGTATTTTTACTACTCATAAATCTGCAGCAGAACAAGATAGGGCACATTGGATCACATACAATCCATTTTACAACTAAAGTGTGATTTCAATATGAATATTCTAAAAGTAATTAATTATTAACATGTGAAAATATTATACTTAAAAATAGTTATACATTGTAAACACTGAAATCGTGTCTATATCATTAAATAAATAGTTTTATATATAAAAACAATTTTATTTATGGAATATTTCATAGTCTATATTACAAAGTAGCAACATTTTTGGGCTAATAATATTACTACTTGTTCGTAACAAAAATGGATGATGATGTCATACAAAATCTAATAATTATTACAATCACAAGTTACTAGTAAGATAATATATTTTTTATATGTATATTTGTTTATCTAAAGCAACTGAATCTTCTATTAATTAAAATATTAAAATGTTTGGAAAAATACAAACATATAAAATATTGTCAATATTGAATCTAAAATGATTTTTTTGTAATTTACCGTGCAAATTTATATATACTTTGTTCCATGCATTTTACTAATATAGCTTAATATACATACGTTTTTATTTGTATTTATGTGTATTTATGTTTTACTTCATTTTTATTTTTTATTTATATCATTTATATGAAAGAAATAATAAAGGAATCCTCTATCTTATGTTCGTATACCAACAGAAATTTACGCTATTCAAAATTAATCAACAACAGATAAAATTTATCAAAATAATTTATATAACTTTTAAATTTATATCGAGTACTATATATTTAAAGGCACATAATATAGTTTGTTATATCTTAAGCGTTTACCACAGATAATTGAATATTATCTCGCATTAGTTGAAGGTTTGTCACATTTGAGGCACTCTGCGTAGAGAAATTGTTTGAATAACTCTGCGTAATCTACCGACTGTTCGTTTTCTTCGAGAATGCCTTTTTGTTATTAAGCAATTCCATCGATTTAATAAGTAGAAAAAAATACTTCCTACAATTATTATTCCTGCCATGTAACTCCACTTACTTGTAAGTATTATACTATTATCTTGATCATTTTGTTTTAATTCATCAATATTATTTCGCTCTGCGTTATGTACTGTAGGAATATTTGCACCTCCAACACGTCTTCTGAGCCACAATGGACTTGAATCTTGTAAAACTGGATTTATAGCAACTATTGTGTCTCCAACAGATAATAGTTTTTGAGGTTTATAGAGATTTCTGAAATAGAATCAAAATTATAATGTAATATATTTGTTTATCGAATGAAATTAATAAAATATATTATTAACTTACATGGGAACAGATTCATTTAAAGGTTTTGGAATAGCAGGAGTAATAGTAGGACAAGATGAAAGTGGTCTAATATGACCAGCATTAGTATTTTCAGGCAGTAACACTTTACTATGACGCTTTAAGTAACTTCCTTCCATACGTTGTGGTAATTCATTACTGTCTAAAATACTAGATTTCTCAAGAAGTTTCGTCTTAGTTTGACTTTCGTCTGTAAAAACAGCTGCGATATGTCCCGTTGTTGTATATTCCAATATAGCATCGAGCATCCAGAAACAAGCTAAAAATACATTGTTCTTTTCTTTCATTGTTCTTTAAGTTAAAGAATAAAAAATAATATAATTATTAAATTAAAAATTTTATTCAACATACGTTTCTGTAAATGACTGTCATCAATGCAATTTGAATCACCATATACTACAACTCTGCCTGATATAACATTTGATTGATCTTTCATATTATTTTTTTCTATATTTTCTTTCTCCATTATCTCGTTTTTATTGTAATTGTCATTATACATTTCCCTATTTACATGACCATTGGTTTGGAAAAGTCCAAGAATTGGCACAGCCATCGTAGATCTTGATTCCGATTCAAGCAAAAGTTCTTGCCCTTGATCATGTAATTCTGCATAAAGAATAACTCCATCTTTTGGAAATCTTGATAAATATAAAAATTTTAATTTCATACCGATATAAAATAATTTAAACTTTTATTTATATATTTATATAAATTTATTATATTACATACCGAGTAATTGTAGTACCAGAAGCAAAAGTTACAGGTGGATGTTGACCAAGAATAAATTGACCATTGCGTACTTGATCACCAAATGCAATCCCCCAATTAGAATATAATAAATCATTCAAAGCTGGTACATTTGCACCTCCTGTATCTGGTATCCACCATTGCCGAGTATTCTCATCATAAAATTTTACTTTCCTCATAACAGTAACGTTGTACCAATCTGCAAATATGACTACAGAGAGACCTTCTTCTTCTACATCTTTCCTTAATTTAGTTATCTGAAATATAATTTATTGTAAATTTGAAGTTAATTAGATTACGAGAAAATGTTATTGAATGTCACATAATATTACCTCTTCAGGAAAGAATTCTTCTTCACTATCAACAATGAGTAAGGTACCATAATTTTTGGCATTAAAACAAGTGAATGGAGCACCAAGTACTTCTAAATAGTAACCAGCATTACGTAAATGCTGATACATATCTTTGAAATTAGTATGAATATGATCGCCATTCCAATCAAGTGGATCATTTTTCACACGTAAATCGTCTCGTGGGAAGTATCCCGGGGGATAACGCAAATTGTGAAATTGATCCCATAAAATACGTTTACTATTAAACAAAAATCATTCGATTCAATTACATCATAGAATTGTATACTACTAATTCTTCTTTTCTTATAGTTTTTTTATACTCACTGACGAGGAGGCGTAGGAATAACTTTTGCTTTCAAAGGCAATTCTATCTTAGATTGTCTTACTTTTTCTTCTCCATTACTCGGTGGTGATTCAATTGTAATAGATATATGACCTGTATATAAAATTAAATTTTAATATAATAATTTTATAGACTATCTAATATATTAGAAATGAAATTAAATAAAATAATTTAAACCTTGTGCTATGCCTTGCCAACTACGAGCTGATGATGGAACTGTTATAGCAACTGCTAACCATCCAGACCATGGCCAAAGAACATCACTATAAGTTACTGATACATCAATCCGCTCACCGTTACCATTACCGGTATACGGATGCCATACAAGATCTGTTACATGACCAGATACTCCCAAGCCATTTATTATAGTTATATTTACAATTGTAGGCATACCAGTATGATATACAGCTTGTGTACAGTATGGCCACATATACTGACATTCAGTCAAGTCTATATAGCTAATGATATATCACATTATATTACAAATCATAATTAATTAAGGTAATAAATTGTACCCCGAGTAATTACCTCGGGCTTAATGTAGCGATCGGTGTATATGATCGTAGGAAATGAAATGCTCGTAAAAGATCTAACTTTCCAGCACCTTGTTCAAACATTCCAACTCCTGATAAACGACGTGCAGAAATAAGTAATGCTTGTTTCATACTTGCTGGAGTTATCTGAAATAATAATTTTGTTATAAAATTTTTTATTTATATATAATCAAGAAATAAATATAATTACTTTTTGTTTAACAGATTGAGATCCATCTGCTTTTACAAATCCACTGGCTAAAAGAGCCACAGCTCCAGCAACAACAGGACTAGCAACTGAAGTTCCAGATAAAGTTCTACAACCTGTTTGCAATGCAGAACCTCGCACACCTGAGCCATATGTGACTAAATCAGGTTTTACTCTTCCATATCCTGATGGTAACTCCCATGTTGTCATACCACGTGATGAAAATCTTGCTATTTGATCCTCCCAATTAATTCCACCTACCCCAATGACATCCATTTGATCCGCAGGATTATTTAAGGTACTATATTGAGTACGAAATTAGATTTATTGATGTATTATAAAATTAAGAAAATTAAATATGAAGAAAATATTTAATTCCTTACCCATATAAAGGTCCATCATTACCAATTGCAGAAACCATAATTACACCGTTTGCTGTTAATTCCCACACTTTATCAACAAATGGATGGTCCATAAAGTCTGGTCCTCCAATACTAAGATTCAATACTGTAACTTTTGTAAGAATAGCATAGTTGAATGCATCCAGAAACCATGATGTATATGATACCTATAAAAAACAAGAAATTTTTTGATGTTTCAAATTAAGTAAAAAATAGATGTACTAAATATAATAATAAACGTACCTGGGTATTAGTAAAAACACGAAATATATGAAGTTCAGCATCTGGTGCAAAACCAAGACAATCTATACAAGATGATGCAATAACTCCAGCTACAAATGTGCCATGACCTAGACCATCTTCTAGCGTCTTTTCATTTGTCCAATTTGAACGTTCTTTAATTTTTTTAAAATGTGGATGACTAGCTGCTAGTCCTGTATCGAATATTGCTACCTGCCATTAATTATTATATATACAATATTACTTCAATATACATATTTATCTTATTTTAATTTAATATTTATTTATTTATTTATTTATTTATTTCATTTCAATCTTCTAAACATATGTATATCTCAAATGAAACTACCTTGACTCCATTTCCAGTAACACCCATACCCCATAGAGCATCAGCTTGGAGTATACTTGTAATTTGTCTTGGTATAGCTCTTAATAATCTACGTGATGTATGACGATTAGTTGACTGCCAAAACTGATTGTTCTAAAATTCAATTTCAGCCATGATAAATAAAATCACTACATTGTTAACCTTAACAAAATAAAATGTTTAGTAACTTACATAATTATTGATTTTTCTTTTGAAATTTTTATATTCTAGAAAATCTGCATCTTCTGATGCGTTGACAAACTTTAAACTTCTTTGTACAAGCCTCTGAGGAGTTACTCTTCTAATGAGAGGATGATCAGTTAAAGCATCAAGACCATTATATTTGTCTGTTTCTTCCAATAGGACAACATCAAAGTCACTTGGATAGTTGCTAGCTAAGTTGTCACGAAATAAAATTTTCCACTTATGGATACCAGATGAATTTAATGCAGCTTTTATGTAATTCTCACGTGTATGTGGTTTATAATAGCCTTTAAATGCAACAATGTACTCATTTTCAACAATTCTGCTAACAAAATGGACCTTTACTTGTGCAAGGCCATTGTCATGACTTGATAATTTAGGTATATTATTGAGTTCAGAGTTTATAGAATTATTGTTTTCTAATGAGTTTACTTGATTATGGGATGATTCAATCACAATATTAAGTAGTAATAACAAAGAGACATATAGCCAACATGTATGTGGCTTCATACTATTAATATCAGCTGAAAAATAAGCAAGAAAATTAATATAATTAAAATAATTGTTAAATAAATGAATATCCAAAAACGCAGAATAATTTATTTGTATTATAACACAATATAATTTAAAATAAATAATTTTAAAATAATATTGTAAAGGATAACAGAAGAAAATATTTTTGTAATTTATATTATATTTATTATATTTATTTATACTATACTATACTATACTATACTATACTATATACTTTATACTATATTTTTATTTATATTTGTACATTATATCAAAGACTAAAATAACTTATAATTATTTCTGTTTATATGCTTTTAACTGGAATTCATGCATATTATACTTTGTAAAACTTACACGTAGTAGAAAGACATAATTTATTAAATTGTATTTTCCTTGTCCATACTTTTTTTTTGTAAATGTTTCAAACAATAACAAGGTAATATAGCAATTTCTTATTTAATATTTAAGAAATCGAAAAGTGACATAAAGACGTCTTTTTTATTGTTAAAATCTTGTTTTGATGTCATAACCTCAACGTTCTTAAAATAAAAATCCACTCCAAATGAAAAATCAAAGTTTTCACAGCATGCATTTTCGTTTAATGTTTTCACGTTCCTTACTTCTCTGTGTTACATCTTATGTACTTTATTATATATAAATCGTATTAATGAACAACGAACAAACAAATCATAACAAGTTTACTGTCGTATTGTTTACAGAATACTTCACACTATAGAGTGATGATGTCAATATTGTAAAAATAAATTGTTATCTTGCATGGATATAAAAATAAAAGTGTATTAATTGTTATTCGAGATAAATGTATATTTATAAAGTTACATCTGTGCAAGGAATGTAATATTTATCGCTTCGCGCAAACTTGAATAAAAGGTAAACAGCTTATGCGGTAACTTAACCTATAATATATATTTACTCTTTACAAATTAATTATAAGTATATTATATGATATAAGTACATGAATACTAATACGTATTAGTATAGAATAGATTACTGATATAGATTATACACGAATAGATTACTGATAATATTATTTAAATAGTGTTTTAATGACGTGACACTAGAATATGTGTATTGTATATTTTATTTATAATACATGTATAATTATACATACATTATAGATACATAATGTACATATTTTATATTTATATAAAATTAACATATTTTATGTAAATATACAGCTACGTTAGTTTAGTTTTTCATTTATTTTAGTGTTGTCTGTGGCGTGATTGAAAAGTGAATCATTTAATAATACTGTTTAGTGCATATAATAACACAGATTAAAAGTAGCCAAAAACATGTCGTTCAGTGACAAAAGTGCAATAGTACCTGTGATTATAGAAGAACTAGATGAAAATGCATTAAGCAACATGAATGTCGATATGACAGAATTTATTGAAGCAAAAGCTTTGGAAATAAAAGATGTATCAGAAAATGTTATATCAGATGTTTATTCCAACCAAAGCAATTCTGCTGTGGATATTAACCCAGAAGCAGAAGATCATGATATATTAATAACTGTAGATGAACAAGACCAATTGACAAAGCAGTTTTTAAATGGAGAGTTAACATTCTCTGAGTATTCTTCTAGAATGGATGAAGATGGGGATTTAGAAATTGCAGAATTTGACATTTCTAGGTAGCAGCTTAATATGGACTTTTATTTTTTCATAAAATGAACTCTGTTTTCTGATAAATGAACTGTTTTACTTTTAGAAATGATTTAGAAAATGAAGAAGCAGAAACAAATAAAACAGTTCAGTCCAAAACATTAAAGTCACAAAGTGGAGGACAAGTACGTTATAAACGGAAAAAGAGAACACTTCCTCCTGCTCTGCAAGGTCTTATGGGTGAAGCAAATTTAAGATATGCTAGAGGAGATACAGAATTAGCTGCACAGATATGTATGGAAATAATTAGGCAGGTGTATTTTTCTCAAATGATGACATATCACTTCTAATTAATAATAAATGAAGCAACATAAATTCTTCAATTTTCCTACAGACAAGTGCCAAGTGCTCCAGAACCATTTCATACATTAGCAATGATATATGAAATTGATCAACCAGAAAAGTCACTACAGTTTGCTTTGATAGCGGCACATCTTAGTCCAAAGGATGCAGATCAGTGGGTGAGATTGGCTAATATGTCCTTGGAAAGTGGAAACATAAAACAAGCTATAACATGTTTTAACAAAGCAATTCAGGCAAATCCAAAAGATATAACTTTATATGAAACACGAGCACGACTTTTAGACCGTAATGGAGATAAAAGAGCGTATTTAAAAGGATTTTTAAAGTTAGTTCATCAATTGGATCCCGAAGATGGCCAAAACATAATTAAATATGCTAAAATGTTAGCCAAACGATATATGGAAGAGAACAATAGTGAACAAGCACTAGAGGCAATGGAAAATATTTTTTCAAAATGTCCTGGTTTCATTACCTTAGAAGAAGTCAATATTATGACTGAGATATTAATAGCATTGAAAAAATTTAAAAGATGTTTAAATATTTTAACCACATATACCAGTATTTGGGTAAAATATAAAACTGATGATACACAAGAATCTGATTTAATAACAAAAAAATCTGGAAATGAGAAGAAAGAAGAATCAAAAGATCAGAATATATGTGAAATAGACTCTTGTGGAATACCAGATGATGTAGTTGTTGATTTGAAGGCAAAATTTCTTATAACACTTATTGAATTGAATCAGATGAAATTAGCTGAGAATCTTTTGCCGAAATTTTACTTTAATGAAAATCCAGAAATTTCTGGTGATCTTTTTTTGGATATAGCAGAAGCTTTAATGGGAAAGAAAGAATTTAAACAAGCTTTAATGTTATTAGAACCTTTAGTCAATAGTAATAATTATAGCTTAGCTGCAGTATGGCTACGACACGCAGAATGCTGGGTCGGTTGTAAAGATCTACAAAAAGCAATAAAATCGTATGAAGTCGTTAAACAATTATCACCTCAACATTTAGGTGCAAGAACAGCATTAGCTAAGCTGTATCAGTTGAAAGGGCAATACAATAAAGCAATAGAAGTTCTTTATCAAGATCCAGAATCAGACACTTTAGATCCGCAAGTAATATATCAGAGGACGTTACTCCTTTTCAAAGTAAAGAGATACGATGAATATTTTCAATCTGGCCTGTTACTCTTCTCTAGACATTGTGCAAATATAAGAAATAAAGTTGAATTAAATGCATTAACTAGAGCATACGTAGTACGACAACGTTTGGAAACATTGCAACTTCATCGATTATCCCGCGGCGAAAAACTTGAAGAAGAAAATGCACCATCGTTTTTGAATAATACAGAATTAAATGAGAAGAAAGAATTTCTCTTACTTTTGCAAATGTGTAAACTAGCCTGTACATTAAAGAAGTATGGGTTCCTACAAAGAATCTGTTTTAGTGCTTTAACATCAAAAAGATTTGAAAAAAGAAATTCCCATATCATGTTTTTATGTTTACTTTCGTGTATCTACAATAATGATTCTTATCACGGATTTAATATTGTACGGCAATTAATACGTGTTTGTCAGAAACCAAATTCGTGGAATCTATTAAATATTATTGTACAAAAAGCAGAAGATTGCAGACACAATAGGTTCATAATGCGTCTTCTTGGAAGGGAAGATGTGTTTTCATATTTAAATATAATGCATGCAAATAATTGTCTTATTTCGGGAACATATAAATATGCTCTTAATGATTATATTTCACTTTTCAAAGTAGTACCTAGTGCCTTATTAGCGTTACTTATTGGTGTAACTTTATTACAAATGGCATGCCAGAAATTGTCTGCTAAAAAAAATCAACTAGTAATTCAAGGTAATTACAATCTAAAAATCGTAATTATATTCGTTAATCAAAGATTTGATTTTATTCAAAATTTTTTCCCAGGGAATAAAAACCTGAATATTTGTTATATTTTATTTCAGCTATTGCGTTTCTAAAGAAATATTCTCAACTCCGAAACGAAGATGGTGAACAAGAGGCATGTTATAATATGGGCCGTGCTTTTCATCAAATTGGTTTATTACCAGCAGCCGTACATTTTTATAAACTAGTACTTAATAAAGATCCTGGAGGTTTGATTAAAAAGAATTCATATCTATTAGATTTAAGAAAAGAAGCTGCCTTTAATTTACATCTCATTTATCTGCAATCGGAAAATTATTTATTAGCAAGAATGTACCTTGAAAATTATATTACAATTTAGTTTATAATATTAGTTGTATGTAATTTGTACAATAAAGACTTAATTATAAATATTGTTGTAAGTAAATCAGCTGTAAATAATATTAGTTATATGTAATTTGTACAATAAAGACTTAATTATAAATATTGTTGTAAGTAAATTAGCTGTAAATAAAGATATAAATAATATTTTTTATAAATTTTTATAAATGAACTTTAAATTATATTAATGAATTTTAAATTATACTAGTTTTATAGTTCAAGTGATTAATGGTTTTTATTCTTCTTTTTTACAGAAGTAAAATGAGTAGAACATTAGCTAGCGAAATTGAATTTAAAAATTTATGTGATGTATTGGAGAAAATCTCAGAAGCACATCTTTCTAGAAAAGCTGATATTTTGAAGCGGTTTATTCAAAAATGTCGTCTTATGAGTCACAAATTAAAAACGGAATTTGCAACTATGGTATAATTTTGAATTTTTTAATTAAAATTGTTCATGATTATATATACTTTAGATCTCTAAGTATTAAATATATTAAAATTATTAATATTTCATTAAATTTCTTTTATAGAATGTTTCACTTTATCCTATATTAAGATTAATTTTACCGGATCTTGAACGAGAACGTGATGCCTATAATTTAAAAGAAAAATCTCTTGCTGATCTTTATATTCGTGTATTTTGTTTGGGAAAAGACAGTAAGGATGCAAATAAACTGAAACAGTACAAGTAAGATTATTCTTTTTCTGATATTAGTACTGTACTATAATCGTAAGTCTTTTGAAATATTTTAGAATTCCCACTGCAAAAAATATTGCAGGACGTGATTTTGCAGAAAAAGCTTATTGGATTTTGCAGAATCGTTTTCCACGTGAAAGTTCTAATTTTACAATAGAACGAATCAATTTATTTCTCGATGATTTATCGTCAAAAAACAAAACTAGTCTGTCAAAGAATGAAACATTTAAAGTTTTGTTTGGAAAAATTAATGCGTTAGAATTTAAATGGATAACACGAATTATTTTAAAAAATTTGAAACTTGGTATTGGCACGAAAAAGATATTGCAAGGTTTATTATTTGTATATTATTTCGTAAAAATATAAAAATATCTACTTAAAAACAATATAATTTGACAATAATATGCTCTTTTAGTTTTTCATCGTGATGCAAACTCACTGTTCAATGTATCATCTAATTTGCAACATGTTTGTGATACATTATATGATCCTCAAATGAGATATCATCATGATATTCAAGTTTTTTCTCACTTTAAACCTATGTTATTAGAACGATGCCAGATTGAGGATATAGAAAAGCTTTTTAATGGCAACAAAGAATATAATGTGCAATGCAAATATGATGGTGAACGATTTCAAATGCATATGAAAGATGGAAAATATAAATATTTTACAAGACAAGGATATGATTTTACAAATAAGTCTGGTTTTGGGGAAACTAGTTCTTCAGGTTTATACCTCATAATTTGATTAGAATATATTATATATAAATTAAACTAGTTTTATATTTTTTGAAAAGTATCTATGATGCTATCAAAAGAATGTATTTCAGGTTTTATGAGCAGTGTATTTGGTCAGTTATTAAATCCACAAGTAAAATCAGTAATTTTAGATGGTGAATTAATGGGTTGGCATAAAGAAAAGAAATCGTTAGGTTCAAAAGCAATGAGCTATGATGTTAAAAGACTCTCAAACAATAGTCATTATCAGCAGTGTTTTGTTGCATTTGATATTATTATGTATAATGATAATTTACTTATTAATGAACCTTACGAGAAAAGATTTGAAATTTTAAAAGATACATTTACGGAAAAAGAAGGTTGTCTTCTATTATGTAAATCTACTAAAATTTCTAAAAGGTAATTAGTTTTAATAGATAATTAATGAAGTATTTATATACTTATGTTATTAACTAATATTTATATATTTATTTATATATAATTTATATATAATTTTTTGTTTTTAAGTGAGGAATTATGTAAGATATTCAATGAAAGTATTAAAAATAAAGAAGAAGGTGTTGTAGTAAAGGAGTGTAATAGTAAATATAAACCAAATATAAGAGATGGAACTGGTTGCTATAAAATAAAAGCTGAAGTAATATGTTGTAAAATGATTGCTTACATTGTTATACTTTTTCTTGTGTTACTATAAATAATAATATTTCAGTATTCCGATAATTTGGTACAAGATGTAGATTTAATTATTCTTGGTGGTTATTATGGTGATGGAAAATTTATGGGTTTAATAAAAAGTTTCTTAATGGGAGTAGTTTCTTCATCAAAAACTCCTGATGAGAATACCAAAAAATTTTCATCTGTAGTCTCAGTCAGCAGTGGTTTATCCATGGATAAATTGAAAGAATTTGACGAGATGTTTAAAGATAAGTGGCAAAAAGATCGACCTGAAAATGTGATTCCTCCTAGGGTGAGTTGCAAAAATAAATATTTATGTTCTAATATTTTAATACTATTCGTAATATAGACTGAGCCGCCAGATTTATGGATTCGCCCTGAAAATTCCATTATTTTGACTATAAAAGCAACAGAAATGATACGAAGTAATGATTATCCAATTGGATACAGTTTACGGTTTCCTAGAGTTACAAGTGTTAGAACTGATAAACCGTGGTATGATGCTTGTACAATTAACGATTTATTATCATTAATCAAGGTATATGATTGAATGTTTTGTTATATATTATATCATTGCAACATAAATAACATAAATACTAAAATGTTATTGTTAAGGATACGGGACCAGTTCAGAAATTGACGAAACGAGAAACAGATTATGAAGATATAGAAGAAATACCTAAAACTAAAATATGTAAAACAGCAAAACAACAAGAGTCTGTAAAACAATGTTCAACAAAGTATAAAGAAATACTAGTGAAACCAAACATTTTTGACAATACGCCGGTTCATCTTACTCGACTTTTTGAAGATAAAGAAATTTGTGTGATAAATGGCAATGATGAGTTATCTAAAGAACAGATTGAAAACATTCTTTTGCAACACAAGGCAAAAGTTGTACAAAATCCTTTAAAGGAAAATTACTGTATTATTGTTGGTAATGCTAAAACGGTAAATATTCTACTTATTATTAACTTTGTATCTTCATTTTATAATTCAGTGTGTTGAATAAAATTCTTTAGGCAAAAGCAAATTATAATATACAAAGTAAAAAGTATGATATAGTAACATTGGATTGGTTCAAAAGAGTTACCAAAGAAGAAAATTGGTCGTCATTGCAAGACTTTTTACCATGGGATTTAATAAGTAGTCGCGAATCAACGAAACGACGATTAGCACAATATTACGACGATTATTACGATCACTATACTATAGATGCTAATGAAGAAAGTTTATTACGTTCGTTTAACAAAATCGAAGATATGGTATTGTTTTCATTCATTTATTTTACTACATCAAATTTCTATAGAAAATTTTAATTTCATATCAAATTATATTTTAGGGGCGAAATATTAAATTTGATTATGCAGAAATGAAAAAAGCAGATCAAGAATTATTTAATAGTGAAATATCTCCCTATTCCTTATTTCGAGGTATTGTGGGATACTTCAATGATCCATCAGATTTGTCAAAAATTGAATTTCGTTTTATGGCGGGAACCATTAGAGAAACTATCGATGATTCTGTAACGAATGTTTTTATCAACAATAATTCCGTGAATCCTGATTTGCAAAACTTAATTGGCAATAAATCGTTGCAAATTATTAAAAGCAAATGGATCGGGGAATGCTTCAAACACAGTGCAATTATTTCTTATTCTGAGTATCTGATTCAATAAAGAATAATAGATCAAGTGATTTTTAAATATCTATATCTATGTAAATGATAATTAACAATTCATTTGTAAATAAATGTATACATACATGCACATTTTATCAAAATTAAAGTGACAAATAAAAATGCAAACATAATTTTAGAATCGATTCTGTTTAACAATGAAAATTTAATGTACAAGTGTTACGCGTATATTTGTAACATGAATACCGAAAATATATAGATTCATTCTGGCTCATATTTTCGTTAAGTGCTAAAGAAACTGGGTACTAGGTGGAGTGACAGTTGGACAGTTCGCTCATTTAACATCCCGTTTCGAAATATTTCTTCTTGGTTGAAGTCGGCACCCTTACTGTTCTCGTTTTATTTCATTGGAATGCGTGCAAAATATGAGGCGAAAGGGACGCAGCTGCGACGTTTCCTTTACAAAGCCTGCCATTCAGAGAGATTCTCGAGATTAAGACGAGAGAACTTTGGAAAAAGAGACTTTATACGCGCAGACACATCAATACGATGACAAGAATCATCAGATTCTGGAAATTCCCTTTAATCTAAACAATCATTCAATTCGTGTCACTAATTTTTAAAAGAACTTCAATTTATATTACACTAGTAGATGTTAGTAGCAATGTTATGAAAATACATTTTTTTTATCAAATAGCAGATGCGCAATAGAGATGTTATTTATGAATAACAAAATGAAAAGAAGAATTCTTCATTAAAAAGTCTACGATTACGCACAACAAAGTAAAAGGATCCTTCAGTCTCTTTTTCATAACAACTAAATTGCAATTGAGATTTTTGGCAAAGATGTATAACGTGACATCGCTTGATGCACGTATAATGTTAACCATTGTGGATATCTCGTTAGCGTAAAGGAAGGTTTCGTCTACCAGGTCAGAACATAATATATGAATATGACTGACATTCGTGTTCGTAGAAGATCTACTTATAGACTCTTCACCTTCGGATACGACGCATATTAATCGAGTTTCAGATTTTCCAAGCGTCCAACGGGACGCGTCACTCCTTTGCACCACGTCCAATTTATTCACGGAGTTTCAGTGCTAACTCGGTACCTGCCAATTATGTATACTCGTTACTGTTGTTGCTTACGTTTCATCGTTACAGGATAAATTTATGATTTAACCAAGTTCACACTTGAATTATGCGTTTATCGATGGTTCTGGTAAAAAAAAAAAGTAGTTTATGTCTCAAATGCCTGTATGGATTTTCTCTTTAAATAATAAGTAAGTTACTTCTCTCTGAGAAGTAAATTGTAATTGATTTTTTTTTTTTTTTTTTACGTATTTTCCTACGATTAATATATATTTCTTACTTCAATAATTCAGATTTCTTTTTTTGTTCCTGTAACTATTCACTTTCTTAGTTCTAATACGTATTCTTAACATTCCATCTAACGTGACGTTCATCCGTATATATTATCTTTTTCTTCTGTGGGCGAAATTTTGGTTTCCCCCATGATTTCTGAATCTGTCTTGTTTCCTTCTCTGTTTCATCTAAATAGTAGTCTCTGAATGTTGATAAAGATGACAACGAACAGGAAGTGGAAGAAAGATAGGTGCTCGTTCTTTTTTCATTTACCGGGTATCTTCGTTTCCACCTGTGAATGTTTGTACACGAAGAAGAAGAAATCGGTTCTCGTTTATGGTAAATAGGGTATTGCGGCAATAACGTCCAAGAGTAACATCGTCTGGATGATGATAAACTCGATGACGAAGATAACAGACAAGTAGAATCTATTTCCGTGCTGTTCTTATTACTTTTATATTGATCATTTGAAGGCATCGTATAACGTGATGATTTATAGGTTGAATGTTGATACGTACTTAAATTGTCACGAATAGGTTTTTCACCTGTGGTAGTAGAGGTAATCGACGAACTATATAACGAATTCGTCGAATTCCTTGATCTATTAGACCTTCTGTTTTTGAAAATGAAGTCCAAAGTCGGTTTCTCGGCATGTTGCTTGGACTTCAACGAATCGATATCACGAGACAATAAAAATTTACGATTAATTATCGAATCGAATTTCTTCTTCGTTTTCAAACATTCACATTGATAGTTACTCTTTTGTGACTGTAAATTCCTAGATATATCATGTCGTGGTTGAGTCGAAGGATAGGGATGCAAATGCGGTAATGATTGTTTTTTATTGCTCTTCCATTGGCAATCATAATTACGTCCTCTGGAAAGTAAAAAATGTATTTCATAATATTAAGATAAAATTTTATTATATTACAATAAATTGACTAAGTAACTAAAGTAACTAACTTTGTATCGTAATAACAATTCTGACAAGGGAGTTCTAGCAGCTTTCTTTGATACATTGTATTTTTATATGAAGAAACAGGATAAATGTTTTTCTGCTTGCCTGAGTTATCGATATTACGAAATTTGTTTTGCAATCTTGTAATCGATTTATTTACGGGACGTTTCAAATTATGTTTTTGTTTTTGTTTCAAAGAATGCATCCGCATGTTACCCAGAAAATTATTCTCGAGTCTATCAACGTCTGACTCTTGATACGAATTAAGTTTCCCTCTAGTCCCCATTTCTGATTTAGGAGTCAGCTTTAATTCGATAGATTTTTCAATCTCCAAATAATTTTTTGACGATTTTTTTTTAACAGTAGAAGCATATTTTTTCTGTATATCGTGATACAAAATTGAATTCACATGGTCATCTGCATTAATAGTTTTACCGAAGTTGCTTATACTAGTTTTGCACAAACCTTTCTTCTTTTCCAAAGCATTAGAAGTATTTTCGTTGAAATACTTCGGTGAAATTCTTGTGTCTGTGTCACCGATGTTTATGAAATTATTGAATTTTTTACTATTTTCATTCTCTTCATATTTAGTTTTAACAATTTGTAAAGACAATGAAGAGATGTCGCAATTATTGCAGGGGTTATTAGCACAAACGCATGGAGATTTATGTGCCGACTCTAATTTTACACCTACTTCATTGGTATTTCGTTTCAAAGGAATTTTTTCCGCCGTATATTTATCATTCTTCTTCAGAATTTCTCCTTTATGTTCATGTATCTCTTTTATAATCTTTTCTTTTGTGTCTGCATTTTCTTGGTACATTTTTACATTGTCGATGTCATTTTCATCGCGTATCGATTTATTTTCACACATTTTCCAATAATCAGAAATTGCTTCTTGAGAAACACGTAGGTGAAGACAATGTTGCCTGTTTCTTCTTCTTTTCATAAATTTTCGCGGGCATACGAGGCCACTGCAATGGCGAAAAAGACAGCGTCTACCCAATCGTTTCTTTCGTATGCTCGTAGCCGATTCTGCAAGCTAATTCACGAAGGAAATTCTTGTCGTTAATACGATTACATTTCACTCAAATAATACACTTTAGATTACCTTGGTTTTCTGGTTGAACATTGTCACACAGCACGTACAATTTACCGATGTTACGTCTGCAATCGAAGCAACCACGAGATTACTGATTTGTTGAACCGCGAAAATCATTCACGATGGTAAGACTTACAGCGATTTGCTGGGGAAGTCGAAATTACCATTGTCATTTTTAGGAAGGCTCTTTCCCAACGCAAATGCAGTCTCCGATGCGATCGATGGATCGTTTTCGTGGAACCATTCCCGAATCTTCGTACACCCTAAACGTCAAATGTAATTTTCTCTTTTAGATAAATTATATAAAGGAAAATCGAGTGTCTTGCAATGAAATCGAGTGTCTTACATGTCCAAACGTTTTCTACAGCCGCAATCATAGACTTTGGTCCGAACTCTATTTTAAAAAACAACAAAATTCATATTGAATTTTTGATACTTTAATTTTTTAACGAATGCTATTGCTAATTTTATGCTTACCCTTTTTTGCATCCACATCTGCCTGGTTGTCTAAGGGGCAGGTGTTAGTACTAAGTATTAGAACTTATGATTATGCTATGCACATGATATTGCTGGTCATACGATGCGTGATATTCTTTTAGATGTTATAATTAGTCTTAATTATAATTAATAGATACGTATAGAGTAAACAATTTTTTGAAAAGGCAATAGGAAAAAATCTCGGGAGGAAAAATCTCGCACGTATGACCAACGTGACTCACTTTTCCCCTCTGCGCCGTAAGAATTCTCTCATTCTTGCTTTGCATAGGCAAGTCTGTTCTCTGCAACACAAGTATTTTTACGGTCGCTACGTTTGCTCTTTCGAGTCGCTCTTGTTATTGAAAGTTACCTCTCTTTCAGGAAAACTACGTAAAAGAAGAGCATTCCCGTGAAGCCCGCGATAAACTTGCTTAAGTACCAAACGAAATTGTCTGTACAGTGGGGCATCGCAATTGAGTTGGATCACTGGTTGTTCAACAGCGTTAGAACTATGTCAGAAAAATATAGTATTAATGATAAACTACAACTGTTCCATTACTGCATGATATATCTTGTAAGAATTGTACATTTGAGTGTTATACTTCAAAATTATTTTCGTTGGAATATTTTTAATCCCTTAACTGGGAAGAAGCCTCTCTAGAGCACAAGATGAGTAAACTTGTGATAAAATTTTAAAGATTTTCTAGCGTTTCAGTGACGAATTAAATCGTTAAAGGATTACAATACTTTTCGACTGTGCGAGATTAATTTATATCTCACCTGGCATGAATGAAATGATACGTGTAATCGAAGAATTATATATTTCCTTCTCGTGAACGATTGCATTACAAATATCGCGGCATCATCGCTTACGTAAATTTCACTGTGTATTTTGAACTTTTTAGGAAGGTTAGCCGCTTATTGTCGCGATGTTTTCTTCGTTTGATCTATCGTTTTAATTTTGAATTGCATAACATGTTTGTAACTTCGAGGCCCACACGTTTCGTGCCACTTCCGGCGCGCGCGCATTTGAGAGACACGCGCAAGAATTTCAATCGCGACGAGCTTTTGCAACTGTCAAATTGATGGATTTATTAATTTTCGTATACCAAGATTTCGAGTAACCGTGTTGCGCGTGCAGCCCCCAGAACGCGAACAAATGCAAAGTGTGTCGATTTGCAAATGTCAAAATTATCGGACGTTGCCTACTTTAAATACTCGAGTTTAATCAGTTTCTCTTTTTTTTTTATATATGATTCTAAAGTAACGCTTAGGATTATTTTCAATTCTGAATTAAGACAAAAAAAAAAAAAAAAAAAAACGTTCCATTTATATACTTTCTCTGTTTTTACTTTTTCATCGCTGATAATTCTCTTGTTAAGATTCTTAATTCAGGATACAGTTGTTTTCACAGAGAGGGAAAGTGAGAGTGTCTCGAAAAGAGCCAATCTTAGCTATGGATATTCTGAGGTGCAACATCTCTTCGGTCACGCATCTTCACCGAGGATCTGCCACGGGCAAACGTTGGAAAGATGTTGAATGACCTGTCAACATATTTGCCGCAGTGACAACACCCTCAAGCGAAGCTGTCCATGTCCGATGGGAAAAAGGGAGGAACGTCTAAAGTGACACCCCTTCGTTCCACGCTCATTAGGGCAAATTCCTTGGTGCGTTTCACGCGTGCTTACCGGCGTCGATGTAAATTTAAACTTGTCTGATCGATCGTCCCTTTCATCGTCTACGAGGAAAAGAGATGTTTCTTCAATAAAGGAGTTTCTTGCTCTCTTGAAACAATATTCTCTTCATTGATATTCGACTTACATGCGTGTAAGCGTTTCGCTTAAAATTACTCGAGTACGATATTTCAGTGTTATACGTGGAAAATGGCTACTAAAGTTCGCCTGTGGAAACGTCGTCGGATATCCAAGAAGACAAGATCGCTTTCGGTTACAACTAAAAATATAATATCGTTCAAGTATCGGAAAGCGAAGGATAGTGCAATCTTCCTGCCCCTTTTCGTCCTATTCCACACTGCAAAAATAGAAGAGAGAGAATCACGTTCGACTAACAACGGTAACGGTACACACCGCCAGCTGCGGCCACATGGCATTCTTTCTGTGATCTTGCTTTAAGAGCTCGTTAATACGATCCTCTCGGATGTTGCCAACGCACAGTTAATATTAGTTTCGAGTATGTTTTCTTAACGTATGAGTGTTCTTTAGCCTCCGGCAGAGTGAAGAAATCCGAATGTTATGTTCTCCTCTTGTTTTTGGATAAAAATCTACGTATATCTATACTCTGGCGAGAGAGCAGAAAGAAAGCGTCAGATTTAGATTTCAAAGGGAAACCAAATAGAACTCTATGTGCCCATTTCTTCTTTTCTACAGGTTAATATTAACAAATTACAATACTGAGATGGAATACTTATCAATCATTATATTTTAATTTTCAAATCCAATATACTTGGAACATAAAGAAGAAACAATCCAGGAATAATTTCGTTAATTTAATCTGAGCGATGATGAATCGAGGCATCTCATTCAAATTGTTTTTATGGATAGAAGCGAGCATACTTCTATTACTCGCGAGGAGTCATGCTCGATAAATCTCAGTAGTTTTTCACAAAATCACTCTCTGTGCCTGATTGCTCACGGAAGATTCGTCACGGTGGCTGTAATCAAAGAGGTTGTACGAGTTTAACGAAGATTTTTGTCTTTTTCTCGAGGTGATACAAGTTGACAGTAATAAGAAGAACGAGAGTCAAGCTGGCCTCGATTGGCTCATGGTCCACAAAAGTGGCGGAGTTTCATCGTGTTTCGAGCCAATCCCAACATGTTTCTTCTCTAAAAATACATTTTGAATTGGTAGGAGGAGATGCGAAGACACCTCCTTCGACAGAGGGAAAAGATTCCTCTATGTATATGACTCATATAACAGTGTAAACTGACTGTTTCATCGGGTAGTAGCTTACAGGAAGCTGGAAACGGAGGAACAATTTGATTGATGTTTCGCATGATAGTCGACGAACGAGTTTAAGTTCATGAAATACTTTTGAATTTTCTCTACATTTGTTCGATTGTGTTGAAGAATCAGCAATTTATCAATGTAGTGATTATTAAAACCTGTAACTTACAAATATGAAATGCTGTATTAACATATTCTGTGCAACGTACGAACCGACGACAATTTTTATAATGTTTCAAAAATAAATTTCACACGATAGAAACAATCGTTACTCGTGGAAATTTTGAAGAAGAAATACTCTTTATACGGAATATTGCAGGAATTTAAAATGAAGACTGAAAGTGGTAATTCGAGTCAAATTAACTCCGGAATCGAGCAACGTTTGAGAAGTCCAAAGTGTGCTAGATGTAGGAACCACGGTGTGATTTCCGGATTGAAGGGTCACAAAAGATCGTGTGCGTGGAAGGATTGTCGTTGTCCTTGCTGTTTGCTGGTGGTCGAGAGACAACGGGTGATGGCAGCTCAAGTTGCACTCAGAAGACAACAGCAGGCTCAAGGAAATTTCTTCGGCGAAAACGTCTCGACTGTTTGTCACACACCAATTGATACAGCTGGTTCGTCATACTTACTAAAAACAGATCAACCACCAATTTGTCGAAGAGGGAAAAATATTCAGCGTCATCAATTACACTTTACGCAAACCAGCATTAGTGTGACCCAGGGATTCTATGGATTGAAGACGATTCACGGTTTACCTGCAGCATGTTAGTACTTGTACAGTAAATCAATGGAAAGAAAGTGTTTTGAATTTAATTTAAAATTATTTCACTTTTGAATTGTTATCCTTTTCCTTATTATTATTATTTGTAATGATACTAACATTTTGTATCATATTTTTATACGTTGATAGCATACTTTTATTACAGTTACCACGGATGCTCCATTGAATGGTTTATCACAAAATCAAGAATATAAACAAGAATCTGACGGTTCGAAAAAAATACAGCCTTTCCCAAGTATGTATTCCACAATTCCGTGGTTCGAACAGGTTGCGGAACCTCGTAAAATGAAGAAAAATTTTAATAATTTTAAGTCTACTGCAAATAATCAAAACGATATTTCTGCGGCTAAGAATGGATCTTGTTTGGAGAAGAAATCGACGATCTCTTTTAGTGTAGAATCTATCATTGGAACAAAGTGATGAATGATTATTTTATACGAAATTGCATTTCATTGTAAATAGGAATTATTTTTATGAATTGTTAAATCTTATTAACTTATAAGTAATAATTGGGATGTATATGAAAAGTTTTCAAAAATTCAAGTTATTTTCTTATGAAATGCAATCCATAAAGTATATATCTAAAGTAGAATATATACAAATATACAATTTCAAGTAGACATTTTTCTAATTAACAGATTTTTAATTTGTTGTATGTATTTGAGATACATTATTGTATATTAACATTATAATAAACTTGCATAAAATCGGATTTATTATATAAAAGTTGAATATTGTTTCATTTTTATTTATTATCGCAAATATTTTAAACATATCAGATGTAATAACAAATGAATAAATATGATGTGCTCTAAGATTATAGATCTATGTGAATACATAAGAATATATTTTCTAAATTCACATAAATTTAAGTAATCTTGTAAGCTTGTTTAACAAAATTAATTTTACGGAAAATGTATAAATTAATTTTATCAATTCTCTTTCATATTCTATATACAATAAATGATGCAATAACATACTTATTATTTGTCAGTTTCGAGTGTTTTGCTACAACGTTTCATATATGCATCCATTTCAGAAAAATCAAACAAGGTAGTGTGAATTATTTCATATAAAATACTTGGCCATATACTTTCGAGTAAGTGTAACTTTTGTATTGCATCTACAGTAAGATTGATTAAATTTAGTAAATGTATTTTTCCTCTGTGTCTCCAAATAAGGTCTTCCTACAATTAAGTTGAATTGAATTAAAATCTTTTTATTAGTATTCAAGAAGTATTTATTAAACAACTTATTACTTGTGTTATATTTCCTTTTCTCCATTGCAATGCTTCCTTAGCAACAACACTTCTAAGAGCTGGATCACTGTTAAGTAAAAATTGTTTGGCAGTAATTTCTCCAGTTTGTTTTTGCACTTTCTCTAAATGAAGTCTTTGTAGTAAAGGTTGTAATAAAGACTCGGGCAGTGAACACATCACAATATCAACAAGACCAGCATATTCTTCATTTGCTAAATCAATTTCTTCATTTGTGATCTGTAAGAAAAAATTATTAATTCTATAAATATGAATTAGTAATTCTTGATTTTTTTATATTGTTGTATAAAATTACAGAAAAAATTAAGAAATAATTACTTCATTTCCATTAATAATTTTTAAACCCCAGTGAGCTAAACGAAATATGGCATAAACTTTCCAATCCTTTGATATAATTGGATTTCCAGTTTCTATATGAATACTTGTTAATCCTTGCACTTCAGCTAATGCATTGAGTTGTCCAAGATAGCTAATATTAGTTTCTTTAAACATAAAATGCTCTAAGTTTGGAAATCTATTTTTTATTTTACATAACACTTTGGCCACATCATTAAACTGTACATAATTAAATTTAACTATATTAACGTCTTGAGCTTTTGAAGAGTCCCATAGTCGGTCGATAAAACGTAATGCACCTTGACCATAAATATTTAAGCAACGGCCGACTATTTCTATCAAATAATCTCCTCCTATAGATATAAGATATATAGATATAATATAGATAATATAGATATGAATAATAACATAACATAAATATTGTTATTATTTCGTACCTTGTTCCCTTTCTTTTGGTGGATTTTGTGATGGCACTGGATTTTGTGGCGTTGTAGCTTTATATTTAGCTCTAACAATTGCTGCTTTATTACTCTTATAACACACTATTTTTTTCCCTTGTGCACTTTTTATCTTGTTTTTGTCTTTTTCTATATTTTTATATTTTTGCAATGTATTTTTACTGGTAGATGATGTACTGAAATCACTCAATACTGACTTACAACTATCAATGCTATTTGTTTTAGAAACTAAAGAACAATATCCAGAAGAATCAATGCTTGATTTCGATTGGCAATCAGTTAGGCCATGTTGATTCTGAGACTTTATATTTTGAGATATTTTTGTTAAATCTTGTTTATCATTTATTGGTAGCTTACAAGAGTTGAATATTTCATAAGACTTATCATTTTGCTCATCAACAATTTCAAGTTGGGTTGAATTAAAAGTATTTATGGAATCAAATGTTTCATTAGTAATAATTTTACTAATATGGCACGGCGAAGCATAGTTATTAGAGTTTAATAAATGAGAATTTAAACAACTTTGCAAATTTTCAGGACTTTCCAGAATTTCTGAATCACTACTTGATGTACTCTCAGTGTCGCCTTTAATTTTTGCCTTTGTTAAGTTTTTCTTTATTTTTTCATCAAATTTATTGTTTATTAAACTATCTACAATAGAATCTAAAATTGGTGGCAATTTAAATTCTAATGGGTATGCCTTAATTGTATCTTTTAATCGAAATAAATTATCAATAGAATTACTTCTTTTTTTAATATTTATTTTTGTTGCTTCTATATTTTCATTTATAGATGTCAAACTTCCAAAACCCTTTGACTTTACATTTTCTAAACTTTTAGGTTTTAACATACTGAATTTACTTGATTTCTGAATTTGCATTGCATTAGTATTACTGTTTTTAATATTGTTTTTACTATTATCATTATTCATAGAGGATTTAGAATGACATCTGAGAAGTTCCCAATTTATTTTGGCATTTGATATAATTTCTTCTCGTCGAGCATTCATACAAACTTGTGTACTAAGATTTAAAAAAGTGGAATTACTTTGTTCTTTTGTTGTTCTCCATGCTATAGCAGCTCTTCGGACTTGTTCAGTAATTGGCATACTTGATAGAAATTGTAAATTTGGTAAATATGATACAAGGAAAGAAACATAATCTCTGTTCAATGTTACAGGATTTCCATCAATTGTTATTTCTCTAAGGTGTAATGCTTTAGTAAGACTTCCTATATCTTCAATTCTAAAATTTTAACATCAAACAAATAATGTTATCAAGTACATTACAATAACTAAATTATGCATCAAATTTTTATAAAATATATATTTGTAAAATACTTACTTAGAAATATCATTATTGCTTAAATACAATTTTTGTAATTGTGGGGTTTCATTAAAACCTAATAATTTTTTGATTTTATTGCGCTTAAGATTTAATTCTTTTAATGATGTTAAACCTTGGAAATCATGATAACCTATAGCTTTAATGTTATTTCCAGCTAAATTTAACACTTTTAAGGATACAAGATTATTCAAATCTGAAATCTGTACAATTTGATTGCCATGTAAATCTAAAACTTCCAATTTAGAAAGTTGCTTTAATCCTTCAATCTTTTTAATTCTATTCTTTCCAATTAATAGTACTCTTAAATTCTCTAATATTTCAAAATTGCATACTTTTTCAATTTGATTACCATATAGATCAAGAAATACCAATTTTGTTAACTGAGAGAAATTACAATTTTCAATCTTTGTAAGAAGATTACGTTGAAGTGACAATAAACGTAGACGTGGCTCTCCAATTATATTTGGAAAGGAAGTAAGACCTCGTCTATCCAGACATATTCTGTCAGGACTTTTCTCTTTTTCTGCAGCTGTTCTTGTTGCCACAACAGTTTTTCCTTCACTTGTCCATTGTAAAGTAACTGTATTAGAGCCATCGACTTTGTCATTTTCTACGTTAAATAGAGACTCTGTTGGACTATAAATTGTACCAAAAGCTTTAAATATTTTTAATAAATTATGAATAATTTTTAACTAAAAACTCAATACCTGAATAAATTATAACGGCGTTTAAATAACTTTGATGGTACAGGAGCTCCAGGTAAAATGGGTAAAGCAGGAGCAATTGTCAAGAAATTATTATTTTGTTGATTTCCTGTATGAATATCTAATGGTTCTCCTATAATTCCTTTTATAGCAAAACCTACTGTTTTTGGCTAAAATATTAAATAATATTATTTTAATTATTTCATGATACTACAAAAGATATAATAATATAAAGATATAATAATATAAGAAAGTTATATATAAAAATAAGAAAGTTAATATAAAAGTAAGAATATTATGAAATTTAAATTCTTCTTTGCGAAATATATGTATACTTTTATTTGTATTATATTTTTCACTTATACATATAACATAATATAAAGTATGCAACATTCTTTAACATTTTATTATAAAATCGAACCTACCCGCGTTACTCTATCGCTGCTTACTGGCATTACATAACCGAAACACAAAGAAATTGTCCCACAGCTTTATAAAATTAACTTTAATCATTTAATAGAATACTGATATGATCATAATCTATAGTCTGACATTAAGCTTTTTTTATTAAATTGTGATAAAAAGTAAGTCTAACATAAGTGTAACATTTATTGTTTGTCATTGCGCATTTGATTTACTACCGTTGTCAACATTTGAATGTTCCGCGTTATGATACAACTGTAGCAAAGAATAATTTCATTAATTGCAGTTTAATATTAAATTAAAATATTCTATATCTAAATATTTATAATTTAGACTGTAAATATGAAAGATTTTATATTAACAATCAAATTCATTTAAATTTATTAAGCTATTTACAATATGAAATAATTAGTGAAATTTTTTAATTTCAACTTTTTAAATTTATAGTTCTGATTAAGTTTAAGGCTGATTTAGTTTTTGTGTAAAAAATATAAAAATGCATTACATTTTTAATTACCATTAACAATAAACAATATGTACAGGTTATAGAAAAGCAAGGCTGAGAAATTTAGCACTCTAGAATTTGTTTATATTTGTCAGTGCAATGTCCCTTTTATCAATTTTACGATTACCTAGATTTGCAGAAAATATTATTGCAGTACAATATACGCTGCAAGTAAAAAACTATGCAGGTAAAAATTGTATTTTAATAAAATCATCTTATATAAATTGAAATACGTACTTCTATGTTTGAAATACAGGTTATGTCGCACATGTTTTATTTTTTAATTTACAGAATAGTTTCTTCTTGTGAAATTGATTTTAATAAAGAATAATACATTAATTCTTATTACGTACATTATTTTATCTTTCAGTTGAGAAAAAAAAGGTAATAAAAGCTCAAGAAAGAATAATACTACCAGTTGAAGAAGACGTCAATAAATTATTGAATTATGTATGTGGATCAAACATTTATAAAGAAGGAGAAGATGTAAAGTTAAAGCCAGACTCTGAATATCCTGAATGGCTATGGAACATCAGAACTGAGCCATTGAAATTAGAAGATTTAGATCCAAATACAAAACAATATTGGAGATACATTCGCAAACAAGCACTGATTAAAAATAATAAATTCAGGAAAACTCAACGATTCTAAAAAATTAATTTAGTAGCAGATAATTAATTTTATTAAAATATTGTTGAAAACTTATAAAGTATATGTATATATATAAATAAAGCAAATACCTGAGTTTTGAATTATTGAGTCTTTATACAAAAAAATATATTTATAATCTCTCTTTCACTAATCCTAAGAAAATTTTAAAGCAAATATTTGTATTTCTTATTGTCTTCCAAATAAAACATTCGATTATATGTGCAATTTTTTAATTAAATATTTTTGCACATGAAATTCGCGGGAAAAGTATCACCCTACAGTAAAATCATGATTCATATTTGATTTAGGAACAGTTAAAGATTTGCAAGTTCTTTGGAAACAATTGATAAGTAAGTAATGCAAAGAAATATATGCGAAATGATTTGTTTTCAAATTATTTGTTTTTTGTATCATTTTATATTGCACATCTTTGAATGTAATATTTAAAATTTTCACATTTTTGTTATGCACTATCAATGATTTCGTAATTATTGCATACGTAATTTTTGCCAATTTTATCATAATCTTATTCGTACAGAAAAACTAATATTTAGCATAGTCAAACATCTGTTGGCCATTTGTAACGATTGATAAACTGCAGATTGAGTGGATACTAAGAAAAAAACGTGAACGGTGATAATGATTCATTTTGATAACACATACTGATTGCAATCAGAATCTAGTATATAAAGGCTTGGGTTGAACAAGTCTGATAAAAAAATTCTATTCGATATCTGATACACGATAAGTGTATTTAAGGTACTTGTTAAAAGTTAATAGACAATAAGTCGCCTAACATCTACGTAGATCCTAGTCAATAGTTGAAACAAGTGGAAATTGAACTTTGTAATTTTGACAGGTAATATTTTTATCAAACTTTATTTCACGTTTAATATCCCCATAGTGTTGTATTTGGCAGTAAATAAAAGTTCGATTTATTGTGTTAGTTTTGAAATCTTTTAGCAAAATGTATTAAAAATTCTTCATCTTCTTTCAGAAATAATCTTTGTTATTTGTCACAGAACTTTTATTTGATTTAGCATTATTTCAATTTACTTTTATGTCAAAAAAATAATGATACGATAAAAGTTCAATTTACTATGTTAGTTTTGAAAACTAGTGAAATATTTATATTGAAAATTTTTCGCTTTCTTTTAGAAATAATCTTTATTATTTGTTATATCTATTCATTATCCGGTTCAGCTTTATTTTTTTCCTTTTTTGTCGAAAAAGTAGCGATGTGATCTATCGCAATTTTTAATACATACACACCTGTGTCAATTTAAAGACCAAAAGTATATTCGAGAAACAAACGTGATGTTTAACTTCCAGATTTTCTTTCAAAAAAGTTTTTTATGTATTTTATCTCCTCAATATCTATTTTATAGTCCTAAAGTTCAAATGAATCTTTATAACTGATCATAATTAATTCTCATTGAATGACGGACAGATATAAAAATTTTTAATGTGCATTAATAGATCAACATATTTATGTTCTTACTATAATCCATATTCATTTAAAACAAAAAATTAAAAATCAATATAAAAATAAAAAATTTTAATTTATATAAACAAAAGAACATGGTGAGAATTTTTAATACGTTTCATAGTAAGCTCACTTCAAATTAATATATTACTATCCGAAAACAGAAAAATATAATTTTTATCGATTGCTCATGAAATGTCGGAAACATAAATATTCATTTTAGAATGTATTGCAAACGAAAACCACAAAGTATGTTGGCTACACGCGTAAGTTTTCCCGAACTTGTTAGATTTTTCGTTCTTTAGATTTTCAGTGATGAAATTTTAATTATTAATATTTTTAAAAATTATTTCAGATGTCGAAGACAGTGTTCCTGTTTGTATTCTTATCCTTCGTCATTTCAATCACGAATGCCGATAGTAAATATCAAAAATTTCTGATAAAACTAACGTTATCCTTAATATGTTTATTTTTAAACTTTATTATCGATATTGTTAATTAATTTTGTAATCCTAAATATATTCTATTTTATTTAATTGCAATAATAGACAATTTAAGTTGTAATACTACCTGTTTTCACTATCCAGAGAGGATCGTTTGTTATTATGGTAGCTGGGCAGCTTATCGTCGAGGGCTTGGACAATTCGAAGCGACCGATATAGATCCAACTCTATGCACTCATATAATCTATACTTTTATTGGTATTTCTCAAGATGGTAATGTTAAAATATTGGATTCATGGCTGGACCTACCAAATGGTCGAGATGGTTACGGAAAATTTACCAGACTCCGCGAGCGAAGTCCAGAAACTAAGGCATTGATAGCAATAGGTGGTTGGAACGAGGGTTCCCAGACGTTTTCTGAGGTCGCGGCAAATGCTGATATACGTGCACAATTCGTCCAGAATGTGATTACCTTCCTGAAGGAATACAATTTTGACGGCTTTGATGTTGACTGGGAATATCCGAACCAGCGTGGTGGCAAACCAGCTGACAAAGAGAACTTTGTTATCCTGATGAAGGAATTAAGAGAGGAATTTAACAAACATGGTTACATCCTTAGCGTGGCGGTCGGCGCAGCCGAAACCTCTGCCTCCAAATCTTACCTTATTTCAGAAATGTCGCAATATCCTCACTTTATTAATTTAATGACCTATGACTTCCATGGATCGTGGGACAACTTCGCAGCAATTAACGCTCCGCTATACGCTTCTTCTAGGGAGTCTGGAGATGAAGTTAAACTCAACGTGGTAAAATCGCACTCTCGATTATTTTCAATTTTTATTGATTAAAGTTGATGACAAGGTATTATTGATTTGAATGTATGAAACATTTACGTTTTAGAATTCGGCTGTTAAATATTGGCTTGAACAAGGCGCACCAGCTAACAAACTTGTTGTTGGTATTCCCGCTTATGGTAGATCATTTACTTTGTCGAATCCTTCGTATAATACAGTAGGTTCTTCAACAAATGGTCCTGGGCGACCTGGTCCTTACACACAAGAAAGTGGCATGCTCGGTTACAACGAAATCTGCGAGTATGTTAAACAAGGATGGACCGTACGACGTGAACCTGAACAACATGTGCCTTATGCTTTCAAAGATAATCAATGGGTTGGATACGACGACACTATGTAAGTGTTTGCTTATGGAAATGTATGAGAATAAGAATAATAATATAAGAGAATAATATGTTTAAATTATAGATCTGTTGAAGAGAAGACTAAGTATGCTATGTCTATGGGCCTTGGTGGTATGATGATATGGAGCGTTGAAACCGACGACTTTCGTGGTACATGTGGTGAAAAGTATCCACTTCTGCTCACTATAAACAGGGTGTTAAGAGGATATAATCCTCCTCTAACTTCTACTACTACGAAACCTAATACTAGTGCAGCAACTACAACAAAACCATCAACTACAACACCGTCATCATCATCATCATCATCGCCGATTTTTGTATGCACGCATGAAGGCTATGTTCGAGATTTAAAAAATTGTTCAATATTTTATTATTGTCAAAAAGTAAACGACAAATATGTGGCGAATAAATTCTACTGTCCATATAGTCTTGTATTTGACACAACGATTAATGGTTGTAATTACAAATATAATGTTCCTGGTTGTTAGACCGATGCAAATAGATACGTGATAGAAACATGATATATTTCTATATAATTCTAAAAATATTTTAATAAATGATTATTTAAAAAAATCTTATTGTTATTCTATAAAACGAAACTAATATTATTACCTGTGGTTTTTCTTTCAACAGAACTATATATATATATACTCCTTTTATAAATAATAAGATCATCCGGAACGAAATTAAGAATTAGTAAAATATAGATATTTTTTTCTATACAAGTTTATTAATCATAAAATTTATTTATATAAACATTTATATGTATAAACCTTATGCAATATTAATCATAAATCTTATTTAATCAAATCTATCTCAAGACATTTGTATATTGCGCTTATAACCGGAAGTCGTTTAAAGCCTAAATTTGACTAGTGTAGTTTGTATCGAAAATATCGAGGTGTTACCCGATAACTTCCTTTCTAAGCGTGTCTACTAAAATGCAGAAGGTGGGTTTTTCATAGTGCAAATTCTATAAATTTTCCGTTTTTTATGCAAGGAAAATATTCATTTTCACGCCAAGTTAATATGTAATTTTGTTTTCAGAAACAAAAAGAACCAATTCAGTCCGTTCAGGTCTTCGGACGCAAAGTAAGTGTTAACTGCCAAAAAATAAGAAAGGTTATGTTCCGGCGTGTTCTTCTAAGTGTGTACATTTATATTTACAGAAAAGCGCAACTGCGGTCGCTTATTGCAAACGAGGCCGCGGCAATCTTCGAGTAAATGGGCGTCCGCTAGAATTGGTTGAACCTCGAGTATTACAGTACAAATTACAAGAACCCATTTTGTTGCTTGGCAAAGTAAGTATTCAATAGTACGTCAATTTTGTCGTCTTTCAAAAATATCTAAGAGAATAGTGTTTCGAATGACAAAAAAGAAGTTTTTTCCAAGTTTTCCTATGATGCTCTCTTATTCCGAAAATGATTATTTATGATTATCAAAATAACAGTACTGATGGGACACTTTGTATTTACTGCATCATATCTTTATTTAATTAGTATTATGTTTGTTATATTTCTTGTACAGGAAAAGTTCTCTGGAGTCGATATTAGAGTAAGAGTGAATGGTGGTGGTCATGTAGCACAAATTTATGCTATCCGTCAGGCTATTTCTAAGGCTCTTGTGGCATATTATCAGAAATGTAAGTATTAATGAAAGATTTAATATGAAAAATATTAATATTAATATTAAATATAAATGTATAAGATATTATGAACTATATGTATTCTTTTTTTTTAGATGTTGATGAAGCTAGTAAAAAGGAAGTAAAAGACATTCTTATCCAATATGACCGTACGCTTCTAGTTGCTGATCCAAGGAGGTGTGAACCAAAGAAATTTGGTGGTCCAGGTGCCAGAGCACGATACCAGAAATCTTATCGTTAACATCTGCGAATTTCACATTATATTTTATTCATGTTAATTGAATAATTGAATAAAAAATGTAAAAACAACTTCTTGCATTTATTTGTATATTTATCTCTTGTTTTGTCAAATATAGCATTTCATATAATAAAAATTTTATTTGTGAAATGTATATGTTATAAAATTTATTATTTTTATTATTTTATTATTTTATTATATTTGTAAAAAAATGAAAGTTGCACGTATTCATTTATGTACGCATGCGCATATGTATGTGTTCTATGTTTAGTAGACTACACGTAACTGAGTTGCACGCAACGTGAAAGTTGATCATGACGTGAAGATCATATTTTTTCAATAATTTAAGTAGAAAGGAATAATATATGCATAAAAATGAAAACAAGATTTAATTCTTATGACATCGTTTGTACGATAAGTGAGCTACAAAAGTGAGTAAATATTAAAAATGTTATTTTTCAGGCGAAAAGGTTAGGAGGTGCAATATTTTAAATATTTTCACGTCAATTTTAATATTTAGGCTCATTGGTATGCGTGTAAATCAAGTCTATGATATTGATCATCGGACATATCTTATACGTTTTCAACGCGGTGAAGAAAAATGTGTCCTACTGCTAGAATCTGGTAATAGGATTCATACAACGGCATTTGAATGGCCAAAAAATGTAACACCATCAGGATTTTCGATGAAAGTACGTTACAAGATTTGTACGATTTATTCAGGAAACTATTTATCTGTTATACATTACTATTATAGATGCGTAAACATCTTAAAAATAAACGACTTGAGAGTCTTAGTCAAATAGGTGTAGACCGAATGATTGATTTGCAATTTGGAAGTGGTGATGCAGCATATCATATAATTTTAGAATTATATGATCGTGGAAATATAGTATTAACAGATTATGAAATGACTATTTTAAATATTTTGAGGCCTCATACAGAAGGAGATAAGATTAGGTAAGTTATAATGCAAATTGGACTTGTGTAATTATGAATTATTAAAGAAACATGCAATGATCAGGTTTGCTGTTAAGGAAAAATATCCGATGGATCGTGCTCATCAAAATACAATGCCACCAATAGAAAATATACAGGAACATCTACAGAATGCTAAAATAGGAGAAAATTTGAAAAAAGTATTAAATCCACTTCTAGAATTTGGATCTGCTGTAATTGATCACGTTTTATTGAAAAGTGGATTCACATTGGGTTGTAAAATTGGCAAAGACTTCATTGTTGCAGAACATATGCCGAAATTAATTCTAGCATTAGAATATGCAAATGAAATGATGGACCTTGCCAGAAAAAATGTTTCTAAAGGATACATTATTCAAAAAAAAGAATTAAAACCAACTGCAGATAATAAAGAAGACTTTATCTATACTAATATTGAATTCCATCCATTTTTATTTGAACAGTATAAAAATTATCCATACAAGGAATTTGATTCTTTTGATGTTGCAGTAGATGAATATTTTTCCACAATGGAAGGTCAAAAATTAGATTTGAAAGCTTTGCAACAAGAACGGGAAGCTCTTAAAAAATTAGAAAATGTAAAAAAGGATCATGACCAAAGGTTGATGAATTTAGAAAAAACTCAAGAATTAGATAAACAAAAAGCAGAATTAATTTCTAGAAACCAAGTTTTGGTGGATAATGCCATATTAGCTATACAAAGTGCTCTTGCAAATCAAATGGCTTGGCCTGATATAAAAATGCTGTTGAAAGAAGCAGCGAGTAGAGGAGATCCTGTTGCATCTGCAATTAAATTATTAAAATTAGAAATAAATCATATTTCTTTATTGTTACACGATCCTTATCAAGACAGTGATGAGGAATCAGAATTAAAGCCTATGTTAATTGATATTGATTTAGCACATACAGCTTTTGGGAATGCTAGAAATTATTACAATCAAAAAAGATCGGCAGCTAAAAAGCAACAAAAAACAATAGAGTCACAAGATAAGGCTTTAAAATCGGCAGAGAAAAAGACAAAACAAACATTGAAAGAAGTACAGGCAATTCACAGCATTAATAAACTAAGAAAAATATATTGGTTTGAAAAATTTTATTGGTTTATTAGTTCTGAGAATTATCTTGGTAAGTTATTAAAAGGATGTATACTATTTGTGGTAATAGTCAGTAATTTTGTAACTTGTAACTATAGTTATTGGTGGAAGGGATCAGCAGCAAAATGAATTGATAGTAAAGAGATACCTTAAATCTGGAGATATATATGTTCATGCGGATTTAACTGGTGCTAGTTCTATAGTTATTAAGAACCCAAATAATGGCCCAGTACCTCCAAAAACGTTAGCTGAAGCAGGCACAATGGCTATTGCCTACAGGTATATATAAATACTTATATCTTAATAATATGCTTTTACTATAAAAACATTATAATTGTGATATTAGTATTGCGTGGGATGCTAAAGTAGTAGCAGGAGCATGGTGGGTAAATAACGATCAAGTATCTAAAACGGCTCCAACTGGTGAATATCTTACTACTGGATCCTTCATGATTCGGGGAAAAAAGAATTATTTACCACCTTGTCAATTAGTCATGGGATTAGGATTTTTATTTCGTTTAGAAGAAAGCTCAATTGAAAGACACAAAAACGAGAGAAAGGTCAAAATTGTTGATGACGAAAGTGAGCACACAGATTCTCTTATTGAAGAAGATAGAGAAATCGAATTAATAGAGGATTCTGAAGAAGGTAAAATATTATATGATACAACTGTGTAAGGCGTACAGTAATACTTTATATATAAATGCATAATGAAATAAATTTCACCATTATTAATTTATATTTTGTACTTAAATTTAAATTAAATAGATGAACAGTTTGAAAATAATTTAAATCCTATTCAAGAGGAGTCTAAAGCAGATTTAATTATGGAAGAAAATAAAGGAGAAAATCAGGACGTTAGTGATGAAGAAAATAATTTATCTCAGTTTCCTGACACACAAATTAGAATTGATGTTTCTGGTTCAAAGTAAGTTTTATGACTTATATGTTGTAATTTAACTATATTATTTATATAAATAATATATTGAAATAATATATTATAGAGTAAAATTACATATTGACAATAATCAATCAAGAGTAACATCAAAAGACGATTTAGATGTAATTTACTTAGGTGATGATAAACCCGTAATAATAAATGCTACAAATAAGCAAAAAAATACTGAAGTAAAACAGAAACCTCTTCCTAAAAAAGAAAATAAAGAAAAAACTGAGATAGAACCTAAAAAAAATGATCAGATTGTACTAAAACGAGGACAAAAAGGAAGATTAAAAAAAATGAAAGAAAAATATAAAGATCAAGACGAAGAAGACAGAAGATTATCTATGCAAGTTCTTCAAGTAAGTATTCTCTTTTAAAGATGAATGACATTTATATTACTAAAAAAATAGTTTATCATAATAATATAATGATTCTTAGTCAGCAGGTGCTGCAAAAGAAGATAAAAAGAAAAATAAAAATAAAGATCCATCTGGACCAAAGCAACAAACAAAAAAAAAAAATACGACAAAACCAGCTTCTCTACCAAAAAATACTCAAATTGTAGAAAATATTGAGGAAGATACAGGTCCAGGGCCTGAAGTAGATATGTTAGATCAATTAACAGGAAAACCTGTTGTAGAAGATGAATTACTATTTGCTGTGCCGGTGATAGCGCCCTATAGTACTGTATTGAATTATAAGTAAGTTAAATCATTTGTTTTTATACAATATGATATTAAAATTTTTTTTTATTATATATATATATATAATTTTTTTAGATTTAAAGTAAAACTAACGCCAGGTACAGGTAAGAGAGGAAAAGCAGCTAAAACTGCTATGGCTGTATTTATGAAAGATAAAGAAATCACTTCAAGAGAAAAAGACTTATTAAAAGCTGTGAAAGAGGAAACAATAGCTAGAAATATTCCTGGAAAAGTCAAAATAAGTGCACCACAGATACAGAAGCTTAAAAAATAAATAATAAATTTAAAAAAATACAATCTATAAACATCGTTAATGATAAACATGTATTTGTATGTATATAGAATAATTTACTTGTACAGAAATTACGCAATAAAATTTTTTAACTAATACTTCGTTTGTTAAAAATCTGAACATCGTCGTATTTTTTATTCTTACATAAGTATGCCAGATTAATACTATCAGTACATTTTACACATTTTGTACAATTCTTTATCATTCGGTTATATCAAAATAATATATATTGATTTCTTTGAGTAATACAAATTGATACAATACCTTATATAAATTATAAAATGCACTTGCAAATACTCCTTTTGCATAATCAACGTATCAAGTTTTACAAATTTTGCTATAAATACAGTAATGTACATTTATCTAAACCAGATTTCTATACGTATAAACGCATTTGAAATGCACATATTTATTTCACACTTATGTTAATTATGTATTAAACATATCTTCATCAGAGGTACTTTCATGGATTATTACATTTTTCGATTGAATTTTTGTACTTTTAAGCGCTGTATTTCGAATATTGATGGGCCGCGATTTAGTACCTTTTGATACAATCTATGCAAACAATATATATAATAATAATGGTGATAAGTTAAAAATAAAAATGGTAGTAAATTAAAAACATGCATACGTTACCTCTGGTTCAGAATCTGATTCACTGATGCGATTTTTATTAATTCTTTTCTTAGTTCTAATTGGACTCTTTCTAGTTGGACTCTTCTCGTCATATTTATTTACAGAACTGGTAACCTTTCGTGATTTTTTGACTATTTTTATATCATATTCTTCATCAGATTCAATTTCATTTAATGCTAGTTTAATATCGTTTACACCACCGCGTTTTTTGTCTATTACAACTCCTACAGTACTATCATCAAGACTACTTACAGGAGTTAAATTTTTTATAGATTTTATGCGAGGACTTTTCCTACTCTTTTCAGTTGTCTTTTTTACTTTTTGTGAGCTAGATTTTGGAATTATTTCCTTGTGAGAATTAACATCACTTTTAAATTCCAACTTTCCATCTGGTTTATGCGATAATTGTTTCAATCCTTCTATTAGTATCTTTTTAAATTTTTCATAGTCCGGTGTTTCATTAAACTTTATACTTGCTAGTAAAGTCATATATTTAAGTATGGTATTTGGAACTGACCCATGAAAAGACTTATTTAAAAATTCTGGAATATTATCAAATGCTTCTTCCTTTTTCTTTTGTACAGTAACTGGATCTGATAAGTTTTTTTCCCATAAAAGTGAACTACACAACCATTGAATCATATTATAACCCAAAATTTCGAAATCACCACGCATCGTTGGCACTGAAATGTAAAAATATATTACTAAAATTATATTATTTAATATATTAAATTTTACAGAATGATCATAATTACCTCCCATATGAGCATCTCTACTAGTATATTCAATGGTTCCATTATGTGCCTTCTTTGGGTCTAGTTTATATTCATTTTTAGTGGTATAATGAGAAGCCAATCCAAAATCTACTAGATAAACTTGATTTTGAGATTTTAGATCTAATAGTAAATTCGATCCTTTTATATCAGCATGCACGTATGTTTTATAATGAATATATTCTAATACATTTATCTAAAAATTTTTAGATATAATGTAGAATGTAATAGTTCAATTTAAAAAGTAATTGTTTAAATGTATTAATAAACTAATGAATTAAACTGTTTTTTGGATTGCCTCTTACTGTTTGTAAAGCTACTTTGTATACTGTGTGTTCTGGAAATCTTCTATTATTTGCTTCAAATAGCTTCCATAAATCTGTGCCATACCGATCCATTACTACAAATCGGTATTTTACTTTCTTATATTCATGACTACCAGAACCAATGTATCGAGGCATACCAAGTGATGTCAATTTCTTTTTGTTTTTCCAGCTATCAACTAAAAACAAATATTCTACATAATATTCTAATAATCTCACATAATATTCTTTCTTTTTCTGTATCAGTTTGTTACAAAATATAAAGTAAGATCAATGAAATAAATCTACATATAAAAATAATTTATATTTAAACATTAAAATTTAATTAGTCTAACTTAAATATTAAAATTTAACTAACTTACTTTCACTTGACTTGGCATTTCTCATATAAAAATGCATTTCTACAAATAATGGTCCATTTCCATGTGGTTCCTACAATTTTGAAAATGTGAAGAATTTCACATAGAAAATTCATATTTCTAAATAGTTAGAAATCACTAACAGAAACTTACAATTTTAATTACATTAATATATTCCTTTGGAGTTTTTCCATTATAAGGTGCAGCTATAATTGTCATTAAAAATTAAATGATTATTCTTATTGTATATGTTGTTTATTAATGTATAGTAAATAATGTAGATTATAAAAACTGTATTTATTATAAAAAATATAAAAATCTGTAGAAATAAAATGTTAGGAATGAAAATATACCAGAATAAATTTCACCAAATCCTCCGACACCGATCGACGTTCCAAGGATCCACTGTTGTTTTGCCAAATCTGTTAATATTTCACCGGCAGATATTGGATCTGGCAATTTATATGCATTTGCTGCCTTTTTCTTAGGTGCTCTTTTTACTACTTTATCAGTCATTATGAGGTTATCAAAAAGTGAATAGAAAATTACGTGATGTTCACAAAGGAAATAATACACAGCTAACAATAATTTTAGTACTATATAATAATATTTTAATAAACTGACAAATTAAATGTAAGTAAATATTTTGTATGCTAAACACAAAGCAACAGCTTCTCGCGCAGAGCTACTATGAATACAAAAAAATTTAAAGGCGGGAATCCGAGGACTTCAGTGCAACCGTTTCAAAGTCACGGAAGTTCCTATGAACTTCAGTGCATTACAAAAAAATTCATCGAATGTGAAGCGTAGTAAATTTAAAATCGGTATTTTCTTAAACTGTAGTGGAAATTCTGTTAGTTATTGAGTACGTTCGATTCAGATTGTATAACATTAATTAGTAAAAAAGAGTTATTGTTGGCGGTTCTGATTATCTCAAGCCTCTTGAAGTATGCAATGTATTTATCACGGATGTCCAATTTCAAATATGTCAGATGACCGTTAAAGTTAATTTGTGTATATAAGTGAAAAATAGAAAATGTAAGAGAGCAATGAATGAAACTTCATTTTTTTTGTGCTTCTGAACTATTTTATACGCCAAATATTCAATATTTTAAGCTTTATTTACGTAAGTTTGTAATTCCTTGGTTTTAAGTTAGGTTACTTTTTTAAATGGAAGAAGCGGCGATTGATCCGCCAAATTCACGTCTAAATAGTAATGACCAAATTAATGAAACGGACGACGAAAATTCTTGCACAAATTACAATGATTCAGAAAATGAACGTGAGATTTTATATGGGGAATGTACGCCACAACAAGCATCAACCAACAGACAGATCAATAATTCTATCTTTAACACCATATCTAAAATTGTTAATCCAACAGCAAAGGTAAATATATATATAAATATATTATTATTTAATTAGTATTATTTAAATATCAAATTTGACTTTGCTATTTATTATTATACTTATTGTTCAGGTACCAGAAATTCAAGATTTTAAAATTGTGAAACCAATAAGCCGAGGGGCTTTTGGCAAAGTCTTCCTTGGATATAAAAAATCAAATCCTGAGAAAGTATATGCCATCAAAGTAATGAAGAAAAATGAGATGATAAACAAGAATATGGCTTCACAAGTGATTATTGAGAGGAATGCATTAGCTTTAACGCATAGTCCATATTGTGTACAATTGTTTTATTCATTGCAATCTGTTAGTAGCATTTATTTAGTAATGGAATACATGGTGGGTGGAGATCTTAAAAGCTTGGTTGGTGTATATGGCTACATGGAAGAGTCCATGGCAGCTTTTTATACTGCAGAAGTATGCCTTGCTTTGGAATATCTTCATTCTCATGGAATTGTACATAGGGATTTGAAACCAGACAATATGCTTTTGTCAAAAGAAGGACATGTCAAGCTGACAGATTTTGGACTTAGTAAAATATCTTTGCACAGAGATCTTGAAATATCAGATTTAGTTAATTGTACGCCCAGTCTTTGCGCTAGAACTCCTGGACAACTTCTCTCATTGACATCGCATTTATCTTTTGGTTCTGGACAAAGATCCACCAGTGAATCAAATCTTAGTGATAAAAGTACACCTGGTGTTAATTTACTTTCTGCTTTGCAACAAAATTGTACTAGAATGCAATCATCACCAAATTCAGCGATTTCTTCCTTTGCTACATCAGGAGATTATTCCCGAGTATCTGGTGTTACTCCTTTCCAATCAGCAGAAGATCTTCATTTAACTGAACGTGTTGCCGCTAAGAATACCGACGAAGACCAAGAAAGTAGCTCTGGAAGTTATCATACATGCGAAGCGTCTTCAGCAAATGACCAACTTAATCAAAATTTGGAAGAGGAGGACGAATCGACGTTAGAAGCTGAACAGTCTCAACAACAGCTTCCTCATACTAGTCCGTTAAGTACATGTATGAGTACACTTACCAGAGGCGCGAAACGAAAAAGAGGTGCAACAGGAGCTACAACTGGTTTAACGTGTGAATTAAATGCATTGGATTTGCAATTTGACAAAACGCCAAAACGAAAGAATCGTGGTTGCATATTTTCTAGAAGTCCAATCAATTCTAATATCTCCGAATCGTTAAAACAACCGAATACTAGTACTGATATTACTAGGGTACAAGAAAGTGGAAGAGTTGCATTCAGTACACCAGTTTCGTTTACAAAACAGAAATGTTATAGTGAAGAGCATGAAGAGAAACGCGAGGAAGGAACCGCACATTTGGTTAAGACGACGCGATTTCAACTTCCACCAGCTCTCACGTCATATTCGGCTCCCGAGATATCTATAAACGATATTTCGGATAAACAGCGATCGCCGCAAGATATATCACCTATAAAAACACCAGCGAGTTCCAGTAATTGTTATACACCTTACAGAACTCCAAAATCGGTAAGAAGAACTGGTAATAATCGATCAGATGACCGCATACTTGGAACACCTGATTATCTCGCTCCAGAATTACTTTTGAAACAAGGTCATGGATGTGCGGTGGATTGGTGGGCATTAGGCGTATGCCTGTTCGAGTTTTGCACCGGTGTTCCTCCGTTCAATGATGAAACACCACAGGCTGTATTCTCCAATATTCTTGCCAGAGACATTCCTTGGCCAGAGGAAGAAGAAGCTTTGTCAATGACTGCTGTGGAAGCCATAGACGCGCTTCTCACTCTGGATCAATTCGAGCGACCTTCTGCGCAAGAAGTGCGTGCTATGAAACTTTTCCAGGATTTTCCCTGGGACGAACCACTGAAAGCAGTACCGCCTTTTATACCACAACCTGATGATAATTATGATACATGCTATTTTCAAGGTAATTTTAAATTGTACAGCTGATTACAATGAATAATAACGTTTGTTCAATATGTAAGTTATTTCTGTTTGTTTTTTAGTACGGAATATTATGCAACATTTAAATGTGAGCAGCTGTGACACATAATATTCGAAGTATCGCAACAATGGGAAGATCAATATGAGGCTCACTTTATGACAGGAATAACATAATGTAAAAGTTATTATAGTATTTTTTATATAGTTACATATGTATAGTACTACAAAATATTTTGTTACAATTTAGAATTTTTGTATAATTACTTATCTCCGGATAAATGTTATTCAATAATGGTTCATAAAACGAATTGTACAGAAATAAATTATTTTAGGTCGCTTTTATTTATGTAAAACATCTTCAGTACTCTACGAATCTCGTTATTTTACATGTTGCTATGCAGAGTTCGATGATGCGAGGGTGACAAATAACAAAATATTTTATTAAGTAGGACTAATGTATCTCCTAGCTTGAGTTTGATTTCAAATTTTTGTGAATCCAAGGCAGGAAATGCGTCACTCTGGTGTAAACACCGGGATATTGACCTTTGCCACATCCAATACCCCAACTGACGATACCCACTTGTGTCCAGCGGCCGTCGTTCACCATTAAAGGACCACCGCTATCACCCTGTTAAATGGAATATATGCCATGAAAAATTCAAGCTTGATAATATAAAAAAATAATTTTATAGTACAAACCGAACAAGAATCTTTTGCAGCTCGTCCCGCACACAAAAAACTGTCCACGATACCACCAGGTGCTGCTGCACCGTATTTTTGCCTGCATTCACTGTTATACCAAATAGGTATTGATACTTTTTGCAATACTGCTGGTTGTGGCCCACCTTGAAAATTAAAATGTATTAAAATTTTATTTTGCTAAAAATTATAATTTTTATGAATATAGTTTTAATCGTATAATTTGGTGTCTTACTTTCTCTCAAGGAGCCCCAGCCAATAACCGTACCAGTTCTTCCAGCGTACAGCTGCGAGCCACTCGGCAGGCAGATGGGTCGAATTTGTTGCGTGAATGGAACAGGTTCACTGAGGGTGAGAAGTGCGATATCGTTATATAGGGTACGTGAATTGAAACCCCTATGCCTGACCACTCGTCTCACCCGTCGTTCAATATGTGTGATCTCCGTATTCGTCTTGATATTGTAATCTCCCAGACGGACTGTTAATCTCGCTACGTCCCAAGAATTCATGCTGGAAGTATAGAAATTAAAATTTAATTGCATGTTTTATTATTAAAGAACTGCTTAATTCTCTAACTACTAATACACAAATGCGTTTTACAGATACTGAGCCAATAGACAAAAATACCAAATATTTATAAATTTTACTTATCGGTAAAATATATCTCTGGTTCCCTTTGAAGAGTTATCTGTTGTTGATTGTAAAGGAAGATTATCAAAGCAAGATCTTGATCTTAAATTATAAAACTTTCTATTAAATAATCCTACACTATATAAACAATCCTCTGCAGAAATAGGAACTATATAAATAAATATGAAATACGAAAATCAGATGATTTCGTAATAAGATTTCGAAATCTTTCAGGGTACTTACTTAGCAACGCAATGAGCAGCAGTGAGAATATGTTTATCGTCAATGAGCGAACCACCGCAAAATTGTCGTCCACCATTGAAGAGCGCGGCGATCCAAGGCCACTCGCCAAGGATAGCATTCTGACCGCCTACGATCCGCTCTTGATCCTGAATACCGTTCTTCGCCCCGCATTGAGACGTGTCGGTGTTTGAAAGAATATTCAAGGGTTTCTCGCTGGTGGTTGATACGATCAATGGCCACCTGGCAGGTTTCTTCGTTGGCCAGGTCGTCGCGACACCAGGTTTTTTCGATGTTGAAACTGGTTTTATGGTAGAGAATGTTGGTAATTGGAATGATGGATGAGTAGGTAGCGGTGGTATGGTGTGATCAGGTGGATGCGTTGGTATCGATGGTGGCCAGGAACTTGGTCCTTGTGGCCTTGGTTTCACGGTCGTATTTTCCTCTTTCTTGTCGACGCTCTCTTCCTGAAACATTGAATGAATCTTTATGAAACATTAACAAATAACCGGTTTAATGAGAGTAACGTAGTAGCGATGAAAGTTTATACAGGCTTCAAAGCGAGAAATGACTAGCTGTGAATTGTACGGTAATAAAGCAGAGTCGTAAAAATCCGTTTGCGAAACCGTATTGTGCGATAGATATACCTGAAATGTGACTTTCTACGTTAGATGGAACATTTTCGATTCGGGTCACGTATTATTTTTACGAGTTCCTGGTAACTAACTAGGATCTATAATTCCATTTGAGAAATCGTTCGAAGGTATCAACGTGGAGAAAAATTTGACCTCTACAATATATTTTGTGTATTAGACTGTCAATTTCTATGCATTTATGAGGAATTAATTATTCATTACTATTTAGAGAGTAAAATAAAATTTGATTTCCAGTCTCCTTAGTCTCCAGTTATTTTGTAGTCGTGTAAAAATATGAATTTGCATAAGCGTGGTCTATGGTCTATTATAAAATGATATTTGTAATTATGTATCAAATTATTTACCTGAGTATTTTCTATAGTAGGATCTTGAGTGTTATCTGGCAGTGGAGTAACGACTGGAAGTATATTGGAACAACAAATTCCAAAATTCATCTGCCCATTGTCTCGTACATAACTACAGGTGTCGTAAACACCAAGAACCCAGCCATCAAGCGCGCTTAGATCAGGAATTTTGAAATATGGATAGCACTCTTTGAAGCTTGTGCAACGACCAACTTCGCCTTTCGACGTCAGACAGGAATCGCTATTGGAAACTCCATTCCACAGGATACCACGACCGTCTCTCGCTTTGAATCGAACATCTGTATCACTGGCAGCTAAATAACGAAATGATACGTTTGAACTGACGAAATTACTCTGTCAGTCAGGCACTTCTTTTCTAATGGTAATTTCACTCGTCTTTTTTCAAGTCGTTCGTGATTGGCTTACGAACATGTTTAACAAAGAATCTACTTACATCAGGAATACAACAGCAGAACTGTGTTTACATGCGTGCACGAACAACGTGTCTGACAAAGAATGAGACATCGTCTACCGTTGTAATGAATGCAGATTGTTTGTGTCGTGTAATGCTACGTATGTATCTGCGTGACATGTCCGCAAGAAAACGATCTAATTGACACTTCATTGAAGTTTTCTATATTTTATTATGTTGTTTCTTTTTTTTTTCATTAACTTTCGTTTTACTGACATATATAAAAAAAAGTGTGTACCGTGTCATCAGACAGTCATACTAATTGCAAACGAGATAAGAAGAAAACTTATTTTATTCAAAATCAACATAAAATCAGTTTTTAAAGTGACCGATCGAGACAGTCGTATCACAATAGAATTCCATCCAGATTCTTGTCAGCGAGTTCGCTGACCCACAGGCTACACACAGGTGCGCACATACGACAATACGCACGCCTGGAAGACTTCCGTTCGCCGTGTATGGAACGCGCGCATGATCGATCACACATGTCGTTACTCGATCGTTCGCATGTATCGTTATCATTGCGAAGAGCAAATTTGAATGCCAGCCTGGTGTCGTGCAACGAACTCGAACAAGTTCCCTATCTCCGTTCTTTCACTCACAAGTCCTTCCAAGTGATTGATAGCCAGTCATCAATGAAGCGTTCAACAATGCCGTGAGAGATTAATTGACGTTAATTGCTGCTGTTCGTTACTCCATCTAAACGTCTTTATACAGCTATATTGTATACTTTATACAATGAACTGTTATTATTTTATTAAAATTGAAACAATCTCTTTTTCAGTTGGACGTTCTACGGTTCAAATTACAGTAAAAGACGACTGTGAACCAATTAAGAAAGAAAATGCATTTCTTTATTTTTTCAATCAGAAATTTAATAACGTGGAGCAATTCCTCTGAAATTATTGTCTATTCATTTTGTTCGAATTGCAGTGAGTCGAACTGTACAAATTCAAAAAATCATCCGTCACTCACCGTCGATGATCACCGCATTATCATCTTCCTCCCCTTGCTGGACCTCTTCGAACGATGACTCGAAAGCGGTAGATTTACTCTTCGGATTGGCTTCTATAGTACCAGAGATGGTTATAGCAGTCTGTATGACGAACAACAATAGCGTCGTTAGTGACGACGCTCGATGTCGTCGGTTCATTCCCAGAGAAACGGAAACAAGCGAAAAAAGAACGCGCAACGAGGAAGAGTACAAGTGTTCGAGGCCCTGTGTTATCGGTAGGGATCCAGAGACTGACACTAAGTTGCTAAGCTGCTGAATAGCCGGTGCTCGTGCTTATAACGGGCTCGTCCTCCCCTCTCGGTGGATCGGTGCTGTTCTTTGCCCCCGGTAGGTTCTTGATATGAGCCACGGGACACCATCGAGTTTTTCTTCTCTCCTTTTAACGAGCGTGTGAACACCTCGAGGCATCTGCGTGGAGCACATCGTGAAGAAAAAGGGTGGGCGAACCTCGCGATGCCAGAATCGGAGCTGAAGATATGTTAATTTTTGGCAGCTTGAAAGGCTTCGGTCCATCCTGATTCGGTCACGCGATGTTTGTCTTATGTGTTCGAGTACTTCTCCGGGACGCTTTTTTACGCTTCGTGATACAGTGGGAACCACGAATCCTCTTTGTAAAAATTCTTTCTTTTCCAATTTTTTATGAGATATTGTCTGTTGTATGTCAAAGTAATACAACATTCGTTTATAACGTTACACGATAAAAATTATCATTATTAATAATTTAACTTGTAATATCCCCAATATAAATAATATTTTATTTTTACGAACAGATTTCAACATCTACAACATATTGGGATAATACAAAGGATAGCTTTGTCGTCGTATCAAATTCATCAGATGGAGTAGTGGTTGGCCAACCAATCGTTCGATTAATGACAACGGAACAGCTGTCAATCGTCCACGAAGAGCTCATTTTACAAAATCAGACAACCATCTTTTCTTCCCGGTATAATGAATATTCCTACCGGTAATACGATTTATTGGTTCGGTTCGACGATTGTATCTAATTTCTATGTTCGGCAACGGGCAAACTATACTGTTAGAATGTACGATATGAATCAGGAATATATAATGGAATTTGAACGACAAAATTCGTTCTGGATCGCGGTCAAGGCGATTTCAATAGAAATTTGCTGATTATGTAAGTGGTGTGGCGGGATCGGCTCAACTTTGATTTGTGTCGTCGCATGAATCTTAGTGCTGATGGTGAAATGTCGAGTTCATAGGCATTTATATAGAGTACGATCTTTGTGTTGGCCTTGAAGAGGCCGAGGAGAAGGCTGCACGTAAGGGACGGCCGTGAACTTGCCAATCGTGTGTTCCTCGTGCACCATCGTGAATGCCAACCTATGCGTGCATTTCCCTCTGACCACAATGAATGGAATTTCTTCGAACTTCGCGTGTACCGCCTGCTTGATATCGGTCAGATATCTTTTTATGTTTTTTTTTTTTTTTTTAATCTTAATCTTAATGTTTGAACATCGCAGGATAAGAACATAATAAATTTCTTTCGCTTAAAAGATATCGACACTCTTAAGTCTGCGAGACTTTTTTAAAAACATATTTATAAAATGTTAAATTTAAAAGGATGCCTACAGGATCGACAATTGAGATTAATTGATCTTCGTTTTCAGATATCTTTTGTACGATCTTTTGTTAAATTTATCTGATATTAAATTTTTAAGGTTTTGGAACTGTCACGCTGTTTTATATTTGAACAATTAACATATTTCAGTTTGATGATTTTATTTAGCGAATGTTATCGTGGAATATTTGGAATATTGGAAGAAACAAATTTGTGCTAATTACGAAGTAATCTATCTGTGTACTTTATTAAACCTTTTATAAATCTTGATTATAAATTTTTTGCGCTGATTTTCTAAATTTTTAATTGTATTTAGGTTGCAAGCCGTAAGATGATGTTTTTGCACAAAAATGCAATACGAGGACAGTTATTCAGAAAAAAAGAAATGAAAGAAGATGATGCCAATCCTTAAGATGCTATAAACTTATTTGTATTTTTGCATTCCCGTTCCCCAATTTATAAACTTTGCATTCTCGTTCATCGGAGTGCCCCATAAAAAGGTAAGAGAAGAAAACAAGGTAAAGTTTTACTTTTTCTACTGTGAACTTCTCGTTCTTTCTTCGAATCCAGGCTATTAATAATTGACGACGCGTCACCGAGTCGTTCACCGTACTTAATCTGCGAGTCATCTTTGATTTTTAGCACTGTTTATAATACAAATGAAATTTGTAAAATAACTTTTGGCAATATTTTTAAAAGATATATTCTATGGCATATGTCAAAATGACATAGCTTTGAATTGAGTTAAAAATTCTTCATTTCTTTAACCAAATATTTTCTAATATTCAAATTTATTGACAACTATGCTAATGAATTGCAAGAAGAAAGTCTGAAAAAGTGATATCGAATCAGGCTATTCTCTAATATTTGAAACTATTGATGGAAAAACACTTCGCGCTATTGTCGTTAGTTGTTAGAATTTTAATAACATTATAATGATTCACACTTAATTGAGAACCGATGTAGTTTGAGGAAAAAAGGACAGAAAGGGTCTACTTGTTTCACGGTTACATGGAATTCGTTTCGACGTAACATTACATCGTTCCTTGTTCCTGACTTACAATATTATTCGAAGAACCTTGTTATTTCGAGAAATATTCGCTTTCCTTTAAACATCTAATTTAAATATTTAAAAGATTTAACAATTTTTATTAATTTGATCAGATTCCGGTATTAAGACGCAACAACATCCTTATTGAAATTGCTCCAATATTTGTGAAGGAAGTTAATGGAAGTTCATTGACCAACACACAAATGATAAACAAGTTTGTAAGATGTACATATATGCTTATCATCGCATACATAAAATTTGGTTCAAGATTTTACATTGACGCCACCATTGGATTACGGTGCCTCTCCTCTTGGAACATGGAAACCGGTTGCGTTAGGGCTACTTTTTATTATGTTCCCACAAAGTATTAAGACACGGCATTAAACCATCCTTTTCTTCCAATTCTCAAGCGGGTCCCGAGAGAATTAAAAAATCTGTTTGCAGTAAAAATGTTTGCAAAAAAATCCTACGTGAATTCAACAAGAAATGTTTCGAATGTTTCTTTGTGAATATTTTTACTATAATTTTGATTATATGAAATTGGAAGGAAGGGAAATAATTGTAGCAGATATGTAATTTCAATAATTGCATGAAATTGAGATCACTTAAAGGAGTTGTACAAATGAACAAGCGTCGTTAATTTACGTGAAGGCCAGTGTCCCATTACAAGGTCATGTATTCCCTGATAGACGATCATAGTGTCTACGCACACTGTAGTCTCACGACTATAACGTGTGTATTAGCGTATTAAATTTATGAATCGTATTTAAACTTATGTAAATTTTATAAATTCAATTACAGGTGGCTATTGAATGTTTGACTTATTGCTGTTTAAAGTGGCAATGACTAAAACGCGAGATTTTATTCGATAAAATCATGTTCATCAAGATGTAGAAACTTCTTTCAGGAGTTCCTACAACATGACGATTGACAAAAATTGTTGTCTCATACATTAAAGAAATTCCATCTTTGTGACTGAACGATGTAAAAATAACTTTTAGTTGCTTAAAATTCCGACACCAAAAGCGGGCAAATTACTTGGAAATTTTATTTGACCCTTTTTGTGCTGGTCCAAGTTTATGGCCACTGCTTTGTGTCTTTACAAATGGAGACGGACATCAATTTTTTTCTTTAGAACATTTCATAGCAGTTCTCTTTTTATATAGAACCGTGATATTTTAAGAGATTATAGAGGCAGGGGAGAAATATTTTGCTTATTGATAAGAATGTTTTTTATTTTTAAAATTAATACGTGGCACATATTTACTGCATACATAAACATTCAATCGATTTTCAAATGCTTTCAGATTCTTGACGATGATCCTGGCTTGAGAAAATTTGATGTTAATCTTGACTTTGAAGCTTGAGATGTCTTTTAAATGATTTTGACACGATCTTCTGGTGAACTTGAATTTTTAAGAATCTTCAGAAGACTCAAGGTAACTTTGGATAACGTTTAGATGATACTGCGAGACTGTAAACGAGTTTAAGATCTCAAAGTGCCCTTGTCTTGATTTTCAATGCAAGGGACAATAAAAAAACGCACAATTTATAAAACGTACTAATATAATATTTATTGTTTGCAATAAACAGCGTAATATAATATCACCTCTGGCACAATCTCACGATGGCAAGACAACGCGAAAACGGTATTATATTTCGATATTCTCGCATCATTATCTGTTCCGCAATTTGTCTGGCTTCACGATCCTCTAAAACAGTATACTGCGCGCGTTCAGCCTGAAATCGGCTGGTTTTCAACATTCTTCCTCTTACACCGGGTACATTTCTAACAAATAAGGCGAAGCCTGTGGATTCGTTTCGCATCATCGTTTATGTCGTTTAATTACGATATCGAGACGGCTGGGAAACGATCACGAGAGGATCACATGCTCGCTTTTTTATATCACCATGCACTGTTAACACGGACGACAAAAAAAAAAAGAAAAAAAAAAAAAGATTCTAAGAAAGAATTGCCGATTCAACAAACAATTTTACTACACTACTCCGACGCTTATTCACCGATCTTCATTGAGGTCTTCTCGTGATTGTAACACGGCTGCCTTTCTTGTTGTATCATTAATTAATAATATTAATAAAACGTAAGGGATTATAAGGGATGATACGGTAGCAATAAAAATCGTACATCGACGAAATCGTTCGGACGCACACACGACGAATCTCTCGCAAGATTCATCTGTACATAAATGACGGAAGTGATTATTTGGGCGATCGGAGGTTTATCAGGATGGATAATAAATTTATGGTGTGAGGTTCGATGTGGGCGTAGGGGATGGGCTAAGGAAGATATCGATTACGAATAAAAATGTCATGGAGCAACAACTAACAATCATCGTAGATCATATGATACGATTCTCTTCCTCTCTCTCTCCTCGCTCTTCTTCAGGCACACTGATCTCTTCCATTCATTCTCATCGTCACTTTCGCTCTCGTATTATTTTTCTCTCTTCCCTCTTTCGATCCGATCTACTCTGTTCTACTCTCATTCTCGCACCATGAATACACGCATCCCTTGTATAAAAATAATAATAATCATAATTATAATAATCATAATAATGTACGTATTACGTAGCTCTAGTCAATAGAATCAAATAATATTAATAATAACTATATGCTGTCTTGTAATAGATGTAACAAAATATAGTACTCGTATAATAATATGCATTTTACAAGCGTATTTTGATCCTTGCTTTGATATCGGTATCGTGATATATGTATAGACTGTGTATATGAATTAAGTATCTCTTCCTTTATTTTTGTGTCTTTTCACGCAAGAACAAAAATAGAGACAAGAGTGTCGTGATCACGATGCTTTCTAGTCCAGTCTAAATGAGAACTAATTGCTGATACTCTAATAGCTGATGAATGGTGTATATGTGCGCGTGTAGATGTGTACGTGTATTTATCAGCGTGAGCTGATTGATTTTACAGTAAAAATCACGCGACGTAAGTGACGACTAAGCGGTTCGCTTTCACCAGTGGCACGTTAATGTTGTTTCACGTTAAAAAACAAAAAAANAAAAAAAAAAAAAAAGAACGATATATAACCACAGGCTATTGACAACTTTTATATCTTCGTTCGTTTCAGATCTACGACAATGACGTTGCACTGATTAGAGTCAATGATTATATTCATTACGTATATTCTGTCTTTTTTTTTTGCCATAATCAAGATAAACTTGGGTTTCATGGGGCTTACGTGATAATTGAACCCTTTGAGAACGAGATATATAAACAATTTTGAATTGAAGTTAAAAGTAATATATTTCGTGTTACATGAATTTTAAGAATCTTTTTTACAGTTCTTTATCGCTATTTTATTAATATGTTCTTTTCTTTTTCAGTTTTATACATCAAAACAAAGAGCTGTTCTCAAAAAGTTGCTTAACGTTCGAGGAAGGAATGTTTTCCTAAGAAACTTATTACAGATAACCAATATAGCGTAATTATCTGTATTAGTCTATCCTAAATATTGCAATGTTCGTTGCAATGACGTTTAACGTGACGACTCTATCGGATATTTAACGTACCTACTAATCTTCTAAACGTGCATTTACTTTTCTCTCTTCGTGATCGATCTCGGCGAAAAATAAAGAAAAACAAAAAAGAAGAAACATTACGTATTTCAGTGAGAGTAATACTTGCTCTTTGTATAATATCAAAGGATCCTGGGATATTCAGAAGGATTCTGGAATAATAGCAAAGTACCTAAGGGACACTTAATCGATGTGTTACACAGTTTTACTCGGATTCTCGGTTGGCTCGGTATAAATAACACACGAGATACAAAAAGTGGATAGTTGATGGAAGAGGTTGAGCTCTTTGGATCAACCTGACGTGCTGGGAATGTAAAGGGAGAGTGACCTTCGAATGTGATATGACACTATCGCCTCTGCTCGAGAATCCTAGTCAAGAATCAGACAGAACTTACAATATCGCTGAACGTTGTATGAGCGTAAAAACTACAAAGAGATTAAAATGCTCGATGGCACCCGTCTATCTTGTAATGGCGACGTTCAAAGTTACGTCTTTAGCTCTACGTAAGTACAAGTCTCATGGTATAAAATAAGCTTGTTTCGTGCACGTCGACCGACCGAAACACCGATCATCGGTTCATTTAAAAACGTATAAACAAGAATTTAAACTTTAAAACCGACGATACGATAGAGTGGCATTTGTTTTCCATATACATTTACACGTCATACGTATATATGTATATATATATATAAAACATATATATATAAATCTATAACTTAATCTTTAACGGGGGACAGGGCGGGAATTCCTTAAATCAATTTTGATTGATTTACATGTAGCCATGGCGTTTTAATTACGACGCCAACGGTACTCTATAATCTAACAACCATCGATATAAATCGTTCACAAGTGAAAACAAACAAGAAAAAATATATATAAAATAACGAATCGCCTTGTATGGCTAAAGATATATTTCCTCGTAGTCTTGTGCTTCGTACTGAAGACATTTACATCAATACAGGTTTGTCTGATGATATATTTCATGGACACAAGCTACGCTTTGTTTATAGATTATCTCTGACCAAGAATCTTGATACTCTTTTTTTAGAAGTACTTCTACGAAGAATTTGAAAGATACAAAGCGAAAAATGAAAACTATGGTAAAACTTTGTCTATCTCTTCGAGATCAAGTTCGATCGATCGATTATCACCTCGTATCCACGAAATTCTTTACATCAGTGAAACTTGTTTGTCGTTATAAAAACAGATCATTCAAGACGTTGCACAAGACAGGACAATCACTATCAACTAACAATCGTTTCTTCCTATTTGTTGTACAGTACAAAGAACAATTCCGAGTATCTTTCTAATATCTCTCAGTTCGATTACACGGCCAAAATTGTTTCTCCTCTCCTTTCCTCTCTTCTTCCAACTTCTTTATGAACGTATCCCTTAAATCCAAGCAGGAGTGAATTAGTCACTAAATCGAAACATCTTCTTCCACTTCTTTCTCTTCTTCTTCTTCTTCTTTTCTTCTTCTTCTTCTTCTTCTTCTTCTTAACCAGCACTCGAGTTTTTTTCCTTCGAACGGCTTCTTGAACGCAGGTCCCTGAAGAGCTTCCTCCGGTCAAACTGTTCTCTAATCAATTATTCTTTCACATTGCACCGTGTCGCTGATTCCTCGCGACTATCAACGGCTGCTTTTGTCCCTCTCAGGCTTATTTATACAAAACGGTGAGAGCCACGTACGGTAATTGTATTTGTTTCGTTTTATTATTTCTTCGTTTTTTCTCGCGACACGGACGGTTCACGTGTTGCCGGTTTCGTGAACGTGCGTGTGGCCGTGCGCGGAATTCGTAAGTGGTGAATGAGCTATATGAGCCGGCGACGAGGGTAGTTCGATCAAAGTGACGTCGTATCCCGCTGTGGCAGGTGGATCTCCTGGATCACCAGGATCACCTGGCGATCCAGGATTGGCTGGATTACGCTCGTTGCTCGGGTCTGGGTTTACTCTGGAGTGGGTTACCTCTAGAAGGAACAGGTCCTCGTCCACGTAATATCGGATCATGTCGTCGTCAATTTTCGCTGTAATTCTGCAACAGGAGGAGAAAACCATGATTAAACATTGGAAATGATGGGGCAAGAGTGACTCGAGGTTACCCTGCTTAAAATCGAGGGACGGAGTTTCGACGAGACACGATAAATAAGCAGCGAAACAGAGAAACACAGTATTTTTTGGAAAAAAGAATTCAATGATTCAATATAAAATTATTGAGCGGTACAAAATGATACGAGAGGCTTGGATTTTTTTTCTTTTTTTTTTTTTTTTGGTGTTTCGTGTTAAGGGGCAGGAAGCAATTATGTCGCATTCTGTTTGGGCTTGTTTTCGTTTCGTGTGACGATTGCCATTTTAAGCAGAGTACAGTTAATGGGTCGCGTTCGTGATACAACAGCTTTGATATTTTTTTTTACAGGGAGAAGAACTTGGAGTATCTGCAAGTCTGTCGACCGCGTCAACACAGTAGTTCCAAAGCCACCAAAATGAGCTAAGAGCGAACCAAAGTAAACGGCAAGCAAGGCAATATAAAAAGGAAAGAGAGAGAGAGAGAGAGAGAAAGAGGAGAATGAAATAAGAGCACACAAAAAGCATAGCTCAAGCGAATGGAGTACATGATGGGTTTGAGAGGTATATAGGCATGCATTGGTATACTAGACAAGGCGAGGTGTATACTTAAAGAAACGAGTAAACAAGCATGCGTGAGCGATCGTGACAGAAGAAAAATAAAGGACATGGGAGAGATTAGTGGATTAACCTAGTGGAGAGTCGAAGGAGACACACGATTTGCTCTGATATTAAGTCGGTGTGGCCGACGAGGAAGGATTCTGCAGGATAAACGAATGACAACGTTAAAACAGATAAAATAACAAGTGGCGACCAGAGATCAGCAGTATGTCACTAACCAAGAAAAAAAGCGATTGCAGGAAAAGAGAGAGACAGAGAAAGAGAGAGAGAGAGAGAGAGAGAGAGAGAAATATTATCGAATCAAAGGTATAAAGGGTGATCCCGGAAGTTAGGGAGAGACTAGCAAACCAGGCAAACGGAGAGAGTCAGGCAATGTCACCGTTATGGCATGCACTACTGTGTGGGCGGTGCATGCAAGTAAAGATGACACTCTACTAAACTTACCCCTTTGTGTTTTTGCGATAGAGGTTATTAATACTCGAGGATGCAATTTTGTACTTTGACTCAATCTGTAAAATAGAAAAAAGTAGAACATTAGAATTTTGACAGTGCTTGCGGACCATCGGTCTGGGTACTCGTGCTCGATAACTGAGGAGGTTTTTTTTTTCTTTTAAATCTTTTCTCTTTCCTTATAGCATGACGTGACACGCGGCGCTCAATGAAAACGAACAGACAAACAGATGTCAATTGACTGATAAGAGAAAGGGAGAAAGAAGCGAAGACAAAATAATGAAAAAAAAAAAACAGATGAAAGGAAGAGAAATATGAGAGAAGTGGGAGATCATAGAGATTTCCCGTTGCCTGCAGATCGAAAGCTTCATCGAACGATAATTCCAACGGAAATTGGCTAGCGTGAATCGCTTCTGTAGAAGCAACAACAAATGCACGGAGAGAAAGGAGGACGCGGTAAAAGATGAATAGAACGAGAGGTTGATAGATAGATAAATAGAGAAAGAAAGAGAGGGAGAGAAATCACGGTTCTCTTTTCCACTTTTTTCTTCTGCCACTTCTGATCGTTATTACAACAATACGAATTTGCATACGTGTACTTTGGACGATAGTGTCCAAAGTTAAAAAGACAAGAAAAAGAAAGTATAAAAAATGGCACCTCTAACGTCGAAACCATCGATCGTTTCTCGCGATCACAGGGGTTAATGATCCGTGCGCGCGATTCATCGCGCTCCGATCCGTATTAATTATTGTGAGGATTTTGGAGGAGTGATGCATGCGCGTTAATATTAATGTCAGCGAAATGGAACGGTGCAACAGGTATTAATTAAATGGTGTAATATGCCCTCACATGCATAGCTAATATTTATGTCCATATATTATATATAATATAATGAGTGTTTCTTGTATATCTCGTGTTATTCTCGCGCATCACTCATTAGTTATACAGGCGTCAAATCGAACGTGGAAAAGTGATAAATCGACCACGTCAAGACATCGTCACGAACGTTGAATTCTACGTGTCGCTTTCTAACCGAAGATTTGTTACCGTGCCGGTTTCAAAATGTTTCCGTACATTCGTCGGTATAAAACGTCGAATACGAGCGATATCGCCCGCTCACGAACGCACCCGGGTTTAACGTGACTGTACTTATACAACTATGTATGTATGTATATTTCTGCGAGTACGCAACGTACCAATTTCAGCGTGATTTCATCGTTATTATTTTCCTGCCTTTTAGGAACCGACCCGGGTGTCAATCCCAAGACCTTCGACGCCGATTGACACGATTACAATCCATCAGTCATTCCACTGTGTCCGCGACAAATACTGAAAAATCCTGGTCGAACAAGTGTGCCGAGAACAAAGTAGAACAAAGCGACCTCGATTGAAGTTTCATTTTCGAGGAAATCGAGCCTTCCTCAATTTCCACCAAAGAGAAACCTTCGTCGAGCGACAACTTTCATTCGACATTCTCGAGGTGTCTCTGTAACGTGAGAGATCACCCATTCATCACGACCTTTAATATGTCCCGATAGTACAATTAATCAAACGCAACCCCCGTTCAAGATGAATCTTTTTGATTCGTGGAATGGCTGACAAACGATGTACGTGTGAGTATGACTGACAGTGTCGATGCTATTTGGCTAATGTAATGTGTGTTTGATACAAAAATCCTTGACATTTCTTACAGCGTTCAACAGTCCCTGAATGGTTGGCGGTGTGACGTGCAACGGTGTGTATACGTCCTCGGATTCCTGGCGAACGTAGAGCATCACCCGTTCCTCGGCGTCTGCCGGACGTAAATGGGGTGGCTGTTGTTGCAGATGTAATCTGTTCCCGACTCCGGATACCACTGTCCCGGTGAGACCTGCTTGCTGCACTCCCTGCAGCACCGAGCCTTGGAGTTCCTGCACCTGCATCAGCAAGGAGTCCTTCTTGTCGTGCAGGCTAGTCAAATTGTCGGGCGGAAAGTGGTTGTGGAACTTGAGGGCTGGCAAGCTGGGTCTGCCGCAGGCAGGATAAGGGCTGCTGCCCCCCGCCTTCAATCCTCCGCCCTCGCCATTACTTAGGGACGATGTGTCTGTATCGCCACCGCCCCCGCCGCCACCTCCGTAGAAGCCCGACAACTCCATCGTCGAGAACTGTCGTGGAACAAGAAACATACATTTTTCCATCTCTTTTCGAACGAGCTACTTTCTGTGGTACGAACTACTGTGACAGACGATATTCACAGAGTTGGAATGTGGAAATAAAAAGAGAAATTTTTTCTATATTATTAAATACATTGAAATATACGTAACTGTATATATATATATTACGCACAGGCATTATATAAAAAATATACATGTAATATTTGTGGACAAACTTCTGTTTGTGTGTGTTTATTATTGTAAGCGTTTCTATTGAATAATGTAGAAAATATTTCTCTTTTCGTCTCTACATTCCAACGAATAATTGTCTCTCACTGTAGGTTGCAATTTTTGTCACATCCTATATGGTACCCAACGTTTTTTACAAAGTTTTTTTAGCCACTTTTTATAAAAATAGTCGGTAAAACACTGATTCTGAATTTTAAGTTTAGAGAATTTTGTATTTGTTGTACAGAGTATATATTTCTGAGGTGCGGACTAGTTTCTCGATTGGGTACTGCTCGTTCCCGGAAATCACTACGGTTTTTGTTATGGCGATGTAAGAGTTGCGGTTAGTGGAGAGTTTTGGCGGTGTTGAGAGCAGAGAATTGAGGTGGACAGACATATCGGGGACTATTTTTCATTAAGTAATTTGGTTAGTTTCGTTTTCGTTCGCGTCTAAGTCTATTGCAATTCTTGCCAGTTTTCGAGGCCTCAGACACGAACGACTAACACGTTCACGGCTTCCGTTGATGTAGTGAGCTCGGTTCGCGAGTCGAATTGTGTGTGGGTGTCCGTGAAGGTGTTAATGTTCGAGAAGTCAGAGTAATATTTTACTTTGGAGTAAACTGAAAAAGTGTTCTGAAGCATACAATACAATGGATACGATATTCTCTTAACAAACTACTAATATTTTTATCGTCATGATCGTATCTATGTAATTACAGATACAAAAAGAAAAAAAAAAAAGAGAAGAAAAGAAAGCAGAAACAAAGAGTTTCTTCAGCTTCTATTCAATCAGAAGTCTCGAGAAGTACCTTGTCTATGGTGTGCTCCGCCGGTGGTGAGAAGAGGACGGGAGGTTTATGAAGATCGACCATGGAATAGAATTCGCTGCGTTCCGTGACGGAATGGTAGAGCTCGTCGAGCTTTTTTCTACCGGTAGCCGTCATCTTTCTCTTTGCTGCTCTCCTCTCTTCGTCCCGAGTCTTTCTTTCAGCTCCCTATGCGTAAATAACACCAGAATGATTCATGAGTTCGGTTGGTTTTCGATTTGATTTTGTTCGAATCGCCGGTTGAACGACGTAACGAGGCTTAGAACAACAAGAAAAAGACCAGGCACCTTATCGCAGAACACTTTGATCTGGCAATAGCCACGATGCGAAGGTGGTGTGTATGTGTGGGTGTGCGGTGGCGGTTCCTCGTACGTGTCCACCTGGATGTGCAGAGGCAAACCTTTCACGCCTTTTTGACTGGAGAAATCGGTACTGAGACACTGCACCGCCACGTTTATCTGCAACGTAGAGGATACATGAAAATCATTCAGATAAAATACAGAGACCTTTATCATACGATTGTTGCAGCGTATGAATAAGCACAGTTCCATTTAAGTCTCCCATAGATCGTTAAATGCAAATGGAATCTCTTTAATGAACGATGAAGGATTCTCTCGTACCTTAGCCGAGGATTCGAGTGGGTTCCAATAAACGGCGATCGCATTGTGTGCAACTTCCTCTATGCAGCCTACCAGTCCCACGCTGTTCTTCGTGTCTGTAATGGTGTAGATTGTTGTCAGAGTTGCAAATCATTCTACGATGCGCCTCGAAAGGGCACGTTCTTTTCGTTTTCTTTTCGATTCTACATACTACACACTACATGGATATGACCAACGATACGGTTCTGTAATTTAATCTTACCAAATTCACGGCCGTCCCTTTATCGAGCGGCTTGCGCAAAAAAATATCAACCATACACATGTAGAATATGTGCGATACAACAACGTTATTATAGCGTGAGATTTATTTTTCGTTTGATGAATGCGTGAACTGATTAGGAGGTAATTGGAATGGCCGGTACGGTGCCGGGTTATTTGTTCGTGAGGTTGGTTTTAATGGTGGCAGAAAACTCGGTGATTCTGCACGCTTTACTTACCAGCATCGAGAATACGTTGCTTGACAGAATGTTGCCTTCCGTGCCAGAACTGCCACGCCTTAATCTCGTCTTCTGGGCTCTTCTCTTCTCGGAACATCAACATTACCACGCTCTGCGCGACAAAACATCAAGAAAACACCGTAAGTACTTTATTAAGCGTGATACTGTAAGGGCAGATGAATGGTTTCCGCTGACGCGTTTACTTCTGTCTTTTTTCATCTTTTTTTCAGCAACGGATTAAACAACTTTTTCGCCGCTACATTTTGCTAACACCAGCCTGTTGCTTTATTACAGGTACGCATAATGCACGCGTTTTTTTCAATGATTATTGTCACTTGTTCTTTTCTTCTTTTTATTGTAGACAAATTTTGCCTGTTTGAATGTTTTAGCCAGTAATTTCATATAGCAAACTCAGGTGGGCAAACGAGGCAAAACCACTGGTCTATTTGCAACAAACACTTGATATTCAGAGATCTAAATAAGTGTGGAGCTGATGGTAATGATGATCAGGTGGACTTGTATTGAGATAGAAAGTGACAATTATAAACGATCGGAGAAATAAATATGTAGAAAACATTCGAGCGAAATTCTACGATAAAGATATGTATTTATTCCATTCTTTTTTTATCGGTTCGATTTGTAAAGATGAAGAAAAACTGTCACGCAATATATAAAAGAAAGATGCATATGAAAGAATATGTACAGCACGAAGGAAATAATTTAGGAAAAAGCCAATCGCCGCGATTGAGTCAAGAATTTGGAATTTTAAATCGTGCTCGATTTGAACGATTACACGGATCATAAATTAGCGTAGCGTGTAATTATGTAACGTAGATTATAGATTCTAACATCGATAAGCTGCAATGACCGGTTGTGGCTGATCGCGGGAGATTTTTCAAATTTTATGCATAATGACGAGCATGACGCATCCGTCGGTATCATTTGCTCACAATGATCCGTTGGGACAATGCTCGGTCGGTAACGGAACACCGTCGCGGAATCTGCTGATGCATCGGTCGCGCGGCACGCGAAACACGAAATTCGCGTGAGCGTGGCATCGTTCGCGCGACACGAGGACACGCTCGAGCGAATGACGGTGCTCACAAACACACACACACACAGAGAAACGTTTAATAAATCACGGCGTACCGTATAATCCAGTAGTATAAATTACAACATTCGACACTGTTAATTCCCAATAAACGACCATATATTCAAAGATAACCGTGTTTTCAACGTTTTTCCGCCGGTAATCTATCCAGTCGAGCAATCCGGATACATTAATAAAACTGTCGCAAATGGGTAAGGCGCAATTATATTGATTAATCGGGAAAGAGGCAGAGGCGACAATTTTTCTGTACGTTTCGCGCCCAATATCGAACGACTAATCGAACGACGTCATCGACGTTCGATTAATATGGCGGTCCTAGGTCGTTTGTAACCGTCGTTTGTAGCGTCGCGTCACTGTAATTACGGGATATAACGTTTCGGTGCACTGGATCGCGGCTCAAGAAAAGTTTTATGGAGTGTTAAAGATTGCGTGGTAAACTAAGACAGAAGGTATTTAAGCAAGTTCATCGTGATCAATTCGAAGTAGAGGTATGCGTGACCGTTAATACCTTTCTTGGCTGTTAGACTAAATAGAGAAATGATCCTTTATGTAGTCGTTCTTATCGTGGAATTAATTAACGAGTGACCGTCATAAATGTCCAAGCGAGATTTCAGGTTCGTAGACTATCTATTCAAACGATTTGTAAATATCGATATGACGGTAGAATGACAACGATCAGTAGAATACGAGAAAAAAAAATCTAGATTTTTAATACTGAGAGTGTACTAGAAAAATATGTCTAACAGAAGAATGTCGTCTTTATAATAAAAGATAATATAGAGTGTGCGTGACCAGCCTCGTCAAATAGAGACTTCTATCCCGTGTCTATCTAGTTCCTTACTGTCGCGTCGTTTAAACTACGAGATCAGATAGCGTTAACCTTCGCGGACCAGTTTGCAACACGTGTCTCCGGGTGGTTTTCGCGGGTTAACGTTTCTACCGTGAGCCGCGTGCAGATTGCTGACAAATAATTCAGAATCAGGCAACCGGTGTGTCTGTCAGAAGGTTGCTAATGAAAAGTCAGCGTTGCTCAGCCACCAACGATAACTGTGGGCTTCATGCGAGCGTGACATCGGTTGCAACGACAGAAGCACGCTTCGCTGCGCAGACCGGTGCGCAGTCATGTTCCCTACCGACGTTGCTAGGGAATTTTTCGTGATTCGGGTGAATGGACGAAGAATTACGCGCGCCGAGGAAATACGAGTTTATTCAAGAGCTGAGATGTAAGAAAGACGGAGAAAGTGTTCGACGCAGAGGGAATTATTCTGCGATAACGAGACGAGGAATGTCTTAATATAATGAACTCTGAAAATTTTTCCACAGTTTCGAATACGTACATTACGTGATGAACAGTTCGAATCGCTTTGGCCGTGGTTGGCTGTTTGAAACTTTTGAAAATCTACGTGTCACTTGGTGCTATTTTTTCAAAGAAGATTCGCGCGAGCTTAGTGTCGAATTGAAACTTTCGAAGTTGAAATTGAGTTTCGAATGCTCTTTATTAATTATATTATCGAACGTAACGAGTAGTGTAGTGAGGTGAATGTGCAAGAGCAAGAGGGACAGAGCTATAGGGGAAACAGTGGAAGATAAAGAAGGCAGGCTAAATACCGACAGAGACGGAAGAAAGGAAGAATAACGGTGCAGAGGTAGATTGGAGTGTAGTAGCAGTAGAAAAGGACAGCGGTCGCAGCTAAACGTAAGTGCGAATAAAGTAAAATAGAGTAACAGTAGAGAGAGTGGAAGCACACGGATAAGAGGTGAATTTCTACTCGCGGTTGCCTGTATCGCGTGCATTCATGTCCGTGTATATGTAGCTAGTCTCTTCGACTTACTACTAACGGCTAGATTAGCAATTAACGAGGAAGTCGTAACTCCTTCCAGTGAAGGAGGTAAAAGAAGGGGGAAGAAAAGAATCGGCAGCTTTATCAGAATGGAAATTGCTAACGGTGCGCCATACTGCCAATTAGAGTCGCGAGAACAAACGACCTCGTCCGACTTCTTCTTTCGATTCTCGACGAGCTGCGCGAATTCTATTGCTCGTAGGAGGAGAGCGAGCACTGCTAGAGGAATACCATTGCCTTTTACGCGGCAATATTATAGATCGCGGCCTATTACTATACTTTATTTATAGCCGTGTGTTTTTTGGCGCCAAGTTGCGCGACGTTTCCTGCGCGCCGCCATTATGGCGAACGCTAGAGAGCATTTGTCAAATTCGAAGCGCGTATCAAAGACGCTTGCGTTTTGTTGTTAGTCGTTATTATTTTCGTTGAACAACAATGTGAAATATTATCGCTGCTCTAATTCGTTTCGTCGCTCGCCAGGCATATTTTATTTTTCCCTTTCGCCTTCCGAATAAGCAATCCATCTACCCATTATATGGCGTGCAACATCGCCGCATTTACGATACGATCATAATTTATCGCTAAACGAAAGCATTACGTTACTCGTAATTATTAGCTGCACCGTTTGTATTTTTATTTCATTCGTAAGAGGTTACCGATTAATTGATTGAGAACTGAAGTTTTCAAACTAGACTCAGAGGTAACGAATGATGTTGATCGTGATAGACATTTGCATAATTATGATTACGTGATTGATGATTGATTTATGGTGAATATCAGAGTTGGGAAAGATCGTTTTTAAACAGATAGTTTTTAATTTACCTTAACAGTCTGTCCAGCCTTTAGAGTTGGCTTGTCCGGATCAGGGACGTAATCCAGCGTGATCCCATAGAATTGTCCCTTGTTGATATACGTGATTCTGTCGTCCTCGCGACGCTGCGACGTGCTAATTGGCGACTCCAAATGATACTTGAACCCATAGGCAGAGAATCTACGTTTCAAACCATATATTATTAGAAATCATTCTTTTGTCCGCTTGAATAATTTGACGTATACTGACAGTATTGATTTATTTAAGAAGTCGGTATCAGAATCCGATCATGGCTAAGTTTTTCCGTCCGTTAATCACAAAAAGCCTTTAATTTCCATATGTTATATATGTCCATATATTTTCATGTAATTATGTTGTGATCGGCGTACGATTTTTTTCCATCTTTTTTTCCTACTTAGCATACGGGGAAATATAATGAGTTCATAATTGCACGACGTTGACACTTCTATGTATTTTAACTTATTATTTATAATTCCGTTTTCATTGGATCTTATTTGCGATTTTCGTCGCAAATATTCCGCAAGAATGGCGTTAGTCATCGTGACGCAACCAAGGTGCCATTTCATTGTCTTCGAATCTTTTGTATTGAATAGCGTGTACACGTTGCCAGGAAAATCGTAGTTTCCATTACAATCAGTATTTTGAAACATTCACTCAGTATCGTTAAAAAAGAAAGAAAAAGAAGAAAACACAAGAGTTCTTTACATCCGACAGATTGGAAATCTGCGTGACTAGTTACCAGATCGGGGATCAAATTCTGATTATTAAATTAAACGAAGTTAGAAAATTAGGAAGTACCGAGCGTAAATTGTACGTAATATTCCTCGAGTACTTTCGAGCAAAGTAGGCAAATAACCGACCGTGTATGCGTGTCCGCGGAAAATAATCGCGATGTTAAAAACAAGTTAAAAACGAAAATCATTATCTTAAACTTTCACGACTGAAATGTCCAAGCTATTTTCTAACACCGATTACCGACGTTCCATTACGCGAATTTGCGCCCAACTACCAGTTTCTCTCGAGAGACGACGACGCGATTAACCCAGGCCAGTCATTCTAAATATAGTGCCGCGAAAAGCGAAATAAAAGGCACGATTATCCTTATCCGAGGGAAGCTTTTCCCCAGTGGCGGAACGATGGCGTATCGCGGCCATAGGTACGTACACACAACCGACGAACTTTCCGCCGCCGACCTATTATCTTTATCTTGCGCGACGACACGCGTCGCGCTTTTGTATTCGCCGCGTTTTTTTCTGTCACCGGCCGGAGAACAACCGGGGCAGCGTGGTGCGTGCGAGCCGATAACCCCAGCCTGGCCAGGGTGAATGGCCTACGAGCCTCCTGTTCTCCACACCGACGCCTACCTTGCAAGCCTCATTACAACGTATCTTTGTCAGTTTTTTTGCTTACCGCAAAGACTCTCCCTGTTTATTTTCACTCGGATGCAGAGGATGATGCCGCTCTTTTCAAGCACAGGGGAAAGAATTTTAAATCAATGTCCAAAATTGAGAACACTGAATCCTTCAGATTAGATGAACAAACGAAAGAGAAAGAAAATTTTCAAACAATGATAAGAACAGCGTGTAAATGGATACTTACATTTTTGGTATCTGGATTTTGTCCGCGTCGTTCTGCCTGCCGAAATCGTGCCAAGGTCGCGACCTCGGAGGATTCGGGTTAGGGTTCGGGTTGGTCGCCGCCGAGGAAACCAAAGCACCGCGTTGCACTTGCGCTTGAGCGTGGCTTTGCTGCAGCTGCAGCTGCAACGGTTGATGGTGTATCACTGCGCCACTTTCGAGGACAACGGCGGCTCCAGCGGCCGTTCCACCGGGACATAATTCCGTGTAGTCGAAGGAGGACTGCACGAAAAAAGAAACCACGTTTCCCTCCGTTAGTAATTCGTTAACGTACAATCAAACGAGAGACAGTGAAATTTCCGATAAACTGGGTAATTGGATAACAGATTTACCTAGCCTGACCCTCGTACATTTCCTATTCCCCTTCTAGCCAGTGTGTACTCGATAATTATCGGTCTCCGAATAGAAATTATACATCTCAGAAATCTGCCGCGAAATGCTGACAAGCGTTCACGCTCGTTTCCTCAATTATTAATCCTTAACCGATTGGGATTCGAACGACTGCCGATTGCATAACGACCAGCAGCGTCTTACCAACAGCCACGCTCTGACGAAATTTCACTAACAACTTTACACGAGTCGAGTTTGTCAATTTGAACGGTTTGGTTGGTTTCGACATTTATTAATAAAACGAACAAGCCCTACAAATTTTCACATATATTTTTCTCACGTGTGTTAACAAACTTCTCCAAAAGTTCCATTCCTCTCTCCCTCTTATCTTTCGATAAGATGATCAATGAAAATTATCGATCAGAAGGACCAACCACCAGCTTTCGCATATTTTGCAATCAGTGCAGCGCGCAAGATGCAATCAGTCGTTCGCCTTTGCTCAAAGCGAAGGATAAAGGACAGGAGTAGCAGAATACGCGATTGCGGTCTCGTAAAATTGAGCAGCGTCGGCCGCACGCGCTCCCACCGGTACCGGTGGTTTGTTAATAAGCGGTCCACCAAACGGTTTATTCCCTCGTACGTCTTCATGGGAGGGTTCTCGACGAATGTTGGCTGAAGGAACGTAACGCGGTTACCGCAGCTCGTTACTCGACCTGATGAACGGCATCGCGGAAGCTATCCATTCAGCCGGGGGAAGCAACCGAGAGGCAGCAACGAGATCGCGTTTGTCGCGGTTTTTCCACAACTGGCAGCAATACTCGACTACCTCCCCCATCGTTTCGCGGTTATCCTGCCGAATGAACAACGCGGTTGCCCGCCATCCGTAATTAGGAATAATAACATCCTCGCTTTTCCATTCTCATTTCATTCGTTCTTCGTCGACTAATTACGCCTGGGAAACGTGTGCGGCTCGGACGTGGTTTTCTCTGGTTTAATTGAATTTACAACAGTCGCCTCGATCGAGCGAACGATGGAAAAACGAAACGCACGATCGTCCGAAGGTTAAACGCGATCAAGAATTTTAAATATCGACGATATCTAACTTCCTCTCTTTTTTTCCTTTTTATCCCGCGTTTTTCGTTCGATCGCTCCGTTTAATTACGTTCTAAGGTGGAATGTTATTTATTATCGATCGTTTTCCCATTCTTTGCATAATCGCTTGGTAGTTGACGATAATTATTCCTCTGTGCGCGACGCTGAAACATGCGTAACGTGCACGTGTCGTCGCGTGTTTTTTTCTTTCTTTTTTTGCGCGCGCGTGATGTCGATTTTTGCGTGATCACGACGTGGACAAAACCTTAACACGTTATGTTAATAATAGATCGCCGATGTTTAGCTTGTAAAGAAATTTAAAGAAAATGGGAGGATTGAAAATTATAGCGTCGAATTGGTCTATTTCTATTTGATACAATTTCCTTCGCGAATTTGCATAAATATTACGCTCGTAACCGTTGATACAGTTTATAATATATTGTCTTTGTCGTCGGGCAGCGATTTTTTTCGTTTCTTGTTCCATTTCTCGTCGCAATTGATCCACGACTTTTGTTCTCCGACAAACTTTGTGTCAAATTAAATGGACAGGAGAGATTCTTTCGAGCAAAATTGATACAGTCGCGAAATTTATAGGATCGTCAAGTATTTCCACTTGTAACAGAAAATTGCGAAACGCAGAAAAATTCTTGCCACGTTTCTAAATAATCTCAACGATCGGTTTAGCCACAACGATCATTCCACTATACGAGATCGACTTTTTCTACTTTCATTTCCCTGTTTTCGGTTTTCTTTTGCCATCGATTTAATAAGCAGCCTTAGTTTACCATCGAACGACGAAATAGGCCAATCAAATTTACAGCGCTTTCTATTATCCGATGTATTAAAACTTTCGATTACGATGAATAGAAACATGTCACTCAAAAATTGAAGTCATGTTCATTTTTACATAAACGCACGATCCAAAGAAGAAAATTTGCTTTGGTCGTTTCTTGAAAGCGGCGTAGGTTTTACCTCGTTTTCAAATTTAGAGCCTAGAAAAATTGATGCTAACTTTCGTGAAGATTTACTCGTATCATATCATCTTCGGATACTTGTATCTTCCTGAGTGTAAATAATTTCGCGCTGGACGTTGACGAACCGGCATTTTTTTCATTGCTGTAAGGTGACTTGTGTCACTTTCAAAGTAAACGTGACTGGTACACGTGTAGAGAGCGCGACGATTAAATTGATGTGGATTTTGAAACGAAGCTATTTAATCTTTCGTTTTGTCAGAGGTGTTTTTCGTTCGGTATTTCCGCAACCCGTAGCGAATATTACACGGTGTACATGTACACATGTACGTAAACACGTTGGAACGCCACGTGCAGCGTAACCTGCTAGCATACAAGCTCATACAAAACTCTCGGAGATTTAATCCGTAATTACAAGCCTCGCGACGTGCCTGTGCTCTAATGTAACTTGTTCTCTCCGCTTTGCCAGCTGGCTCCTATCGAGGAAGTCATCGATCCACGGATCGGCCTTTGCTTATCCGAAATCACGTTATCCGCGAAGCGAGACTAGAACCATTCGAACTATCGAAAGTAGCAGAAATAGAGAAACGGCGAGGAATCAACAAAAAAAAGTAACAAAGAGCTTAATATAGTCGCTGGTATTCTGAGTTCGTGGGTTTTATATAACAGTTACGAAACATAGTTGCCTGTACACGTCTCGATGTATCAACAAATTTACAACCGTAATCACGTAGCGCGTTACGAAATTTCGTTAATTATCTTATCCGAAATTACGGTTGTCCACTGAACTACCGAAATTGGCAAAAATAGAGAAACGAAGAGGAATCGACAAAAGAAAGTGACAAATAAGGTATCTATAGTTACGAAACATGTTTCAAATTTACAAAGGTGACCGCGTGTGTTACCAAAAACGGGGTGCCAAATGCGTTAATTATCTGAAATTATGCTATCCAAGGGAGACTGAACGAACGAATCGAAAATCGCAGAAACAGAGAAACGAAGAAGGATCGACAAAAGAAAGCAACATAGAATTTAAACGTTTCAACGTATTGACAAATACGACACGTACGAGGAAAAGCAATCGAGAGCGTTTACTTTGGATAAACGAAACGAAAAAACGGCACGGGGGAATGCCGACGACGCGACGATATAAAAAATCGAATAAAAGCGAGAAAGGAAAAGAGGGAAGAGAAGGAGAGACAGAAATGAGCGCGTAAAATATTTTAATTAGTAGCTCGGCGATAGATAACGAGCGACGCTGACGGACGAACGATCCGCTTTTATTTTCAGCAACGAGCTGTGCAAGCAGAGCAGAACGGAACGCGCGTGTGCTTTCTAATTCGTAATGTCAACCGCCATGCTAATGACTTACTCGCGCGGACAAGCCGCCCGTTGCCCCCCGTCCGACGATTAATGTTTCCGGAAGCGGCCGATTACGCGTGACAACCGAGAATACGTGGGAGTGATGAATCGCTTATGGCCACGGCGCGGCTTCGACGGCCGCGAAAATTATGCGCCGGGATCCGCGAGAAACTAGCCCCCCGGAGGCCAAATAGGCGTCCAATTTGCCGACCGATGTCGACCACTCGACTCGCCGCTCGATTCATTGTTTCCGCGCGCGATTTTCCTTTCCACGCGCCGCGAGTCTTCTCGCGATTCATCGTAAGTTTCTCCGACGATTTTCTCTCGAACTACTCGAGGGATTTATCCAGTCGGTTTCCGTCTCGAAGCATTGGTTTCTTTTTTTTAACTCTTTGACTTCGCGGCGCACCGAAATCATCGACATACACGGCGTGATATTTCGCGTGTCACTAGTGTTTATCATATTCACTTTCTTTTCTTCTGGCCAAATGTTTCTCGGGTATATATTTAGAAAAACAACGAATTATAAAACTGATCACAAATATATATATATATATATATATATATATAAATTATAAATATATTTATATAATTATATATAAATATGTAATAATTATAATAATTATATATAAATATATATTATATAAATATAATAATTATAATAATTATATATAAATATAATAATATAATAATTATATAATAATTATAATAATTATAAATATATTTATATAATTATATATAATATTTTATAATAATATAATATAATATAATATAATAATATAATAATTATATAATAATTATAATAATTATAAATATATTTATATAATTATATATAAATAATATATATATAAATTATTTAATAATAAACTTATAAAATAAATAAACACTTGCGTATGCAATAAGTGCGAAGAAATAAGTTTATAGTGTACGTGAGGGTGTACATTTCGTAGTCAAAGAGTCAAAATTTACGAGAAGCGTCGCGACAAGCGAGTTGACGTCAGAGAGGATTGGCTTCGAAACAAACGTTCGCGATATCAGCGCGAACCATTTAAAATTATCGAGCAGGTGGTAAATGGGGCCGTAATAAAGCGATAAATAGAAGTAATTCGCCGTCGATAATTTCCACTGATAGACGGTGGTGAAATTTCAATTTCGAGTCTCTTGATATTCGAACCGAATTAAAACTGACGTCAAAGTGAATATCTCCGTCGCTTGTAATAATCGCTGCCAATTCGAGTTCGTTCCGATTGCGTTTTCTCTCAACGATTTCCGGCCAAAGGCGGGGGAGAGAAACGTGGCAGTTATTACAAGATTCCTGTCGATTACGAGACAAACGCGACGATATTCCTGATGGATATGCGTTGTTGATTATGCAAATCGTGGTATCGCTGTATCGTTGCCAGGCCGTGTACGTTCTGCTTCAGAGAGTACGCAGAAGATTATCGTACATGGAGGAACTTATATCTGCGGCGATACGGGCGCGATAAACGTTCAACGTTCGTTGTTTGATCAAATGGCGTCCTTCCACTTAACAACTAGACACAAAAGGGAATGGAATAATTGAAAGGAAAGGGATGTCTCTTCCTGGAGGAGGACAGGAAGAAAGAGAAGGGGAGGGATCTTTGTCTAGCGTCCAATAATAGAAACGAACTACCTGACGCGCAATATTTGAAAGATTAAAATTTCCAGCCTCGTTCGAGCTGTAACGACGATTTTGTCCATCTGAATTATTCAAACTAATTAACATTCGAGTGTCTGAAGACAGACCTTGCCCTGTCGTGGAATTAATGATCGATCGGCATATTAGATTTTAATGGAAACGTGGTGATAACATTCCTCGAGATCGAGCGCCGTGATCGAGGAACACATATCGAGGATCACATATATATATATATACAAGATTGATCTCCTTTGTGTCCGTAAATCGCGTACGTTCCACGCACGGGACAAATAGAATTGAATTTCAACGCTTGCAATCCTTATCTCGCGATCGTGATTAAATTATTAAAAATTGCGCGTTACGTTACGCGTGATATTGCGTACGAATAAACAGAGAGAGAGAGAGAGAGAAAGAGTATAGTATTCACTATAGTCTGGGAAGCGAACGAAAGTGGAATGATTATCGAATTAGGACACAACTAACCTGATGGAGCGCCGTGGGTGGATGATGATCTTGCCTGGGCGTGACCGCGTCCGCGCCGATGCCGGAGTCAGGGCTGGGAAGATCAACGGTCAGGACTTTGCTGCTGCTCGAGGACGAGCGTATCGCGTGTGTCGTCGTGTAAGAGCTTGGCACAACCTCGTACCTCGTGTACGAAGCGGTCGTGGTGGACAACGAGGACGAACTCGAGGACGCCAACGGTGGTAGAGCGTCGCCGGTTACGTAGACCGCTGTCGCCTCCTGGTGCAATCCGCTCGGGTTCCCAGCATTCGCCGCGCCCGTCGCCGAGGTCGACGTGTACGCCGCCGACTGCAATCGTGGACTGCACGAGCTGTAGGGATCGTAGGGGCTGCCGTACTGTTGTACCTGAAATTTTTTATTTCGTTTATTTCGCTTCGTTCGTTTGTAAACCGGAGATTTTGGTTTCTTTTATTTCTCTTGTTCGTTCATCCTTTAACCTCTTGCGCTGGGAATGACGTGTCACGCACTTTGAGAATTTTTTCTCAGTTCTAAGTATATTTAAGTATAATCCAGGCAAAACAAATAATAAATTTGTTAAATTACTTATCAATAATTTCTATCGGGTGATATCGTACCGACGAGTTCGAAAAGAAAGCGGCGAATTATTGTATACGGTTTTGGTCGTTCGTTATGGTCCGCAATCAGTCGCCAGTGCAAAGAGCTAAACCTCTTGCGCTGAAATGACGTGCCACGCACGTCGAGAATTTTTCGTCCCAAAATTGCAACATTTTCTCAGTTTTAAGTATATTTAAGTGTAACCCAGGCAAAACAAATGACAAGTCTATTACTTCTTAATAATTTCAATCCAGCGATATCATACCGACGAGTTCAATAGAAAAAGAAAGCGACGAAATAATTGTATGACGGTTCGGTCACTCGTTACGGTCCGCGAATCAGTTGCCAGCGCAAGAAGTTAAATTGATATCCCTGAAATTCTCTATTATTTTTATTTCTTTCATTTATTTACAAACCTGGAATTTTTGCATCTGAAATTTTCATTTCTTTCGTTTCTTTTCTATTCATTCACAAATAAATCGCGCGAAATCGTATTTGGAATCAACGAATTGCAAGAATTTGATTTCTTTTTATCGTCACGAACTGAATTTGCGAATCAAGTAGTCTAGCTAACCGCGACCGATCAGGATTTCCATAGAAATGTATAGGGCGCCGTGAGGTATTCGTTTCGAGGTCGCGTGCTTGAATATCCAGAAACTTTTATCTAGATCTAGAATTAGATAGCGTCAAGTGGGTTTGTCATAATGGATTGGAGATAATGAAGCTTATTTGTATCGGGCGCGTATATCTAGATCGGAGCAGGCAATGTCATGTTTTTCTTCTTATTGGTTTCGATCTGCTGGTCAGGTATTTTAATCGTAATGGAGCGCAGACGGATTTGATGGAGTCCGGTGTTGGATAGTGTCACACGCATTTATTTATCGAGGCAGGCCGAGTGCATGTGTGTGTGTCTGCCGAGACACGCACGTTTTACTAAAAGATCGGATTGAAATCCTGAAAGTTACTGTGGCACGGATTTGCCACGATAATGTCAATAATCTCTGTCAGATTTCTTTCGGATTTCGACTCGTTTCTTTGTCAGAGAAACGAAAAATCGAAGCTTCAAATATATTTATTAATTTCCAGCCATCGTTTCCTTTTAACGTAACTCAACGTAATTTAGTGCGCCTATTTAAGAATTTCCTCCATCACGCAGAGATGGGAAGTAATACTTGATTTGACAACTTGGCTTATACAGCTTTTACTTGTTGTCGTATCGTTATATGTATACGTTGTAATAACTCTGGAGATGCTAATAGCTCTGCTTGTGATTCTCGAATTTTCACAAATGAGATCGATTTCAACAAACAAGACTCTGAAGGGATATTTAAATCCGAAGGAATATTTAAAAGAAAATCCGAACCAGGAAACAATTTTTAAAACGCGCACTCTCTTTCTTTACCTTTTTCTACAAGCACTCAGTTTCAATAGCAGAGTGAATAAAAAATCTTATACCGTTCCATCATACTTCGTCTGTTCCAAAATAATTAAGCGTCCACATTATTACGTACTTTTATTTATATCAAGGTTAGAAGATCGATCGATTATTAAATGCAAATACAAATGGAGACATTCGAGAAGGTCAGAATGTATGGAATTTACAAAGGAGGAAGTGATTGCAAGCTACCGCATTTCGCCAAACGGTAGATCACGCTCTAACGTTAACGGATATTAGCAAGAAACATGTAAATTCGTGATAAGTTTGTTTTCAAATTCCTTTAAAAAGGACTACGTTTGTAAATGAAAAGTTGAAGAAGCATGAAGTAGAAAGCACGGTCGCAAATATTGCGAGAGAATAAGTAGTCTCACCTGTAGCTGATGCTGATGATGATGGTACATCCCCGGTGGCGTGGGGCTGTCCGGTTGCGCCTGTTTGTGCCTCTTGCTGGATTGTTGCGCCCCTCTCGACGAGCTCAAGTCCTCCGGTTCCCTCTTGACTCCGGTGATGCCGGTGCTCGAGGAACCGTCGTGTCTGAGGGACTGCGGGCTGAGCGGAAGCGGAAGGCCACCCTGTAGGCTCTGGCCAGGACTGTGCGACTGCTGATTGTACTGATGAAGGAAGTGGTGTAGTTCCCCTCCTCCAGCGCCTTCGCCACCTTCCATGCGATTCGTCGAACCGGAACCGGAGCCAGGCGCCTCCTGCACCAGCAGCTTCTGGCCCATCACACCCCTTCAACAGTCCGTGGAGAATCGACCTTTAACTACGGTTCGCTTTGTGCCTCGACATTATCAATTCGAATCGAGATCGACACCGATCGATTGCCAAGCGCGCACGTCGAATTATTTCCTAGCTCTGTTTGCGCATCTTTGGGAACTTCTCGAAGTTGGAAACGGGTGCAAGCCAGTGCCTTTCGACTCTTTGTTGTTTTTTTTTTTTTTTTTTTTTACAAGAGACAGCAACTTTCGATCGCTTGGAAAATCATTTATCCTGTTTCCGAGTCGAGGATAATGTCGCAGTTATCAAACAAAATTTACCACGGCTACAATGTCGGATCCTCCGATTGTCTCGAGCGACATTTGAAAGTTTTCCAATTTCGAAAGACAATTCCACCCGCTCCCCTTTGATACATCAAGTTGAATTATCTAAAAGGATCTCACGCGAGTCGGGCATGAGCTCGACGAAACCGATTATGTAAATTGTGTTCATAAAAAAAAAAAGGGGGGAAAAAAGAAAGAAAAGAAAGGAGAATGTAATAAACGAGACAGCACGCTTCCGTTGCCAGTGAGGTTAAATAGGTGCGATATAAACCACGCTGGACGACGTTGTTTTTATTATAACGCGCTCTCGTCGATAAGTTAATCACAGGCGAGCTTTCTTTTTCTCTGGTCTCCTTCGCGAATGGATAGATTTTAACGTTCCGCTGATACGATAATGATAGGTTTTTCAAGGAGATCGTTCTCTTCTCTCTCCCTTTTTCGATCGCGCTCGGAATCGTTTGCTCGTTGAATCTTTATCCACGCGGTGGGAAGTTGCAATAATGTTAATACGGCATTAACGTTAACGAGCACAACGATTTATTGTACAACGCCGTGTTTTACGACGGAGGCAGGCATCGGGATGCTGGATCGACGTCCACAACGTCGACGTCCGCGGTACATTTGTCATTTCTCGCGTCCCGATGACGATATCATCGGCCACCTCGCCGCCTAACGTTCCTGCGCGAATGAATATAATTAATTCATAGATTTTCAAGGTCCGTCACGGCGGCTAAACGGCGTAATGTGTCTCATCAATAACGGTTATGGCGCGGCTGTTTCGCAATAGTGGCTTTTCTCGGTAAAAAGCGGATATAAAGGCGAATAAATATCTGCGTCTTCCAATCATTACTAAATATAAAACGACGATGGACGTCGACGCGTTACTTTCTATCGTTTATCAGTTACACGCAGATTCGTTGTTTGCGAGCATTGTTTTATTAGTCGTGCTGCTTGCCCGGTGAATTTGAGGGAAAGTTTCACGTTCGCGCGAGCCGGTGGTGGCGAATATCTGTCGATGAAGACTGCAACACGAAGACGTTACAGTTCGTTGCAAATCTTCATGAAGAATCGAAAGACGTTTCAAGCAAAGACTGAAAACTAAAATAATTTGAGGTTTAGGTATTACACCCAGAGACTGAAACTGAAATATTGTGAGGTTTAGGTATTATACTGGTATTTGCTCCCATATTATCGTAATATATTTGGGAAATCGGTATAAGACGGTCGTACCGGTATTTGATGTCCACAACGGTAAAAATACCGAAATATATATCGGTACGGTATCGTTTTACTGACGAAAACACATTTTTCATTCTCTATGTACAGTGACTCTTATTAATATTCGGACATCATGCTATTCAAAATATTGTTGTGGATTTCGATTGTTTATAATAGTAAATTTGGATTAATTTTTTAATGATATAATAGAACATTCATTATAGTTTATAGTAACACAAATTTTATTTATTTATTGCACATACTTTCCTTAATATCAAACAATAAACTGAACTATGTCGAAACGTAGCGTGGCAAAAATATTCGGACATTTGGAGAACTACAATAATTGAACCTGAAAATTGTTATATACATAAACGATAATTGATATTTTGTTAGGTAGCCCTTAACATCTGCTAGCCGCTAATATAAATAAAATAAAAAAAACTAATAAAAAAGCTAATAAAAATAAGCAAAGTGTACGTGTATAAGCGTCATCAAATTTACTATCGACAGCTTTATGGAAACATTTAATGATTGTCTCCTTTTCTTTTTCTAATATATTAATATTTTATTTACCGGTATCGTACCGAAATACATCTACCGACCTAACATCGTTTTGATAGCATCATACCGGTATTCGCACCATTTCAGTTTCATCAAACGTAATCGAATAGTAACCTAAAAGTACCGATATCCGTAATACCGATTCGGTCTCTGGTCTCCTTTTTCTTTTCTAATATATTAATATTTTATTTACCGGTATCATACCGAAATAGAGCTATCGATCTAACATCGTTTTGATAGCGTCATACCGGTATTCGCACCATTTCGGTTTCATCAAACGTAATCGAATAATAACCTAAAAATACCGATATTTTATCGGTATCTGTAATAACGATTACGGTCTCTGGTCTCCTTTTCTTTTTCTAATATATTAATATTTTATTTACCGGTATTATATCGGTATTATACCGAAATACATCTATCGACCTAACATCGTTTTGATAACATCATACCGGTATTCGCACCATTTCGATTTCATCAAACGTAATCGAATAATAACCTAAAAATACCGATATTTCACCGGTTTCTCTGGTTTCAAGTGTTCGAAATTGATCGAGGTGATTTCGGCTTGATTCCAACGAAGTTCCAAAAAGAACGGAGAAAGGCTATCGAAATCATTGACACCGTCGTCGAATTGGTGAACACGGAATATTCCAGCCCACTTCCGCGCCTAATTACCATAAATCCTCACGACACGAGAGTTTTGCATGAGAAAGCTACTGTTCATAAATAACGAATCGTACGGTGTAGCTTCCTGGTTGTAGCACGCCGAAGGAGGTTCTCCGTTTCCAGAAGCCCGGGGCTCTGGGAACGGGCGGGAGAAGCGAGCGCCTTTCGAGCCTTTGGCACGAAACCGCGCCGCATCTGCCGAACCGCATCGGCAATAAAATTTTCTGGGCGCGGAAACGCGATTCGTCGAACGGTCGTATGTACGTAGCGCAGGGAAAGAGAATCGAGAGGATCGCGGGCCGACATTATGCGAAGTAGTTAACATGTTATATTTAGCATGATAATACGTATCCACAATACGGGGGACCCTTATAAACTGCCAACGCTCTCAGTGCGTACGAGAGCCTCCTTCCCCTTCTCCCTCTCTCTCTCTCTCTCTCTCTCGGTTTGCTCGCGCATTCTTTTTTTTTTTCCTTTTTATTCCTTCCCTTTTCTTCCTTTCCCTCCGCCAGGTTCACCGGTCTCTCTGACCTTCTCTCTCTTCTCTGTTTCTTTTCATCCAACGAACGAAGACAGGAGGCCGCGTGTCTCTTTCGTTCTCGTTTCTACCGCGTTGAACATCGCCACTGTGGTACCTACCCTACGGTCAGATGCTCCCGTACAATGGCTCTTTTTTTACACTTGATACCTGATCTCACTCGTCTAACCCTCTCTTCTCGGCTCTTTTTTTCCCCCACGTCTGCCCCTTGCAGAAAGCGCGTCGTGCTTTCTGTCTGCCGCCTTTCTGGCATCGTCTAGTGCTCCGTGCTCTCGAGGTCGACAGAGAACGAGACAGAGAAAGAGACACACGGGACAGCCAAATAAGAGAACAAATGAGAGAGAGAGAGAGAGAGAGAGAGACAACGGCTCGCTACGAAAGCGTGGAAGATTGGTAGAGAAAGATGGCGGGAACGCGACACGTCGTCGCCCTCGGCACACTTGTGCCTGAAGAGGTGCGGATAGGAGAACGATGGAAAAACGGCGAGGAGGAGACGGGACGCGTTTTTCTCTGTCGTACCTTCCGCGCTTCCTGCTCGTCTCATAGCCGGAGGCCTAAACGCCTGAATTGCACGCCGCCTCATGAATTCGGCTTACGTGAAACGGATCCAAGGATTCGGATTCGTCGTTGCGTCGTGACGCAAGGCGTTTGCCCCGCGCACATTTAATGCCACGCCGCGGTAATGCGATGCTAATCCTTGATGTAGGATCGCCGAGGATTCATGGTGATCGCGAATCCGCCCGGGGAGCTCACGTCTGCCGACGTGATCAGTTTAAGTCCGCTCTGCTTTGAATATTTTTCTTTTTTTTGGGGGGGCGATGTTCCGACATGAGACGAGGGGCCGATCGTTGACGCGTTAATCCTTCGAGGACGAGTTACTCCTGCATTTTGTCGGAAAATTCTCCTCGATGAATGAAATATGACTGACGTTTCATTTCTTTCTCTCAATTTCAATCGCGTTACTGTTCACCGACGATGAACGTAAGGAAACCGCGAGGCGGAAATTTCGAGTTGCTAAGCGAAGATTCTCCGACTCGAGAAAAAGAATACGATGTCGATGTCTCTCCGAGAGAGTTGAGCAAAGTGATACTCAAACAGGTTGACGATTGAGTCTCAGTGTCAGGACATTTCAATTTCCCCCTTTTCGTTCCGATAATTTACTAAACGCCGCAAAATCTCGACGCTTGGAGACTGGTCCGAGGCGATCCGTTATAACGTGGCTCCGATAATTGCGCCGATTTCCTGTTAGGAATCCACGCGACGTTTCTTCCACGAGAATTTTACAAATTCTCAAGCTCCTTTCTCGATATATGTATATACTGTCCAGTTGATCAATTTATGACTCATAACGTACATACGTTCTGGAACTTTCAAAATTTCTATACCTATACGAGAGTGTTGACGCAGAGCCATGGTCGCCTCGCGAAACAGAGGTAAATCACAGGTCGCGAGGAAGGGAAGAAGGGAGGGAAGAAATCGACGGCTGCGGCGGCACAGTTTAATCACCTCCCGATGCGGTAATTCTCAAGCCGGTTTCCACGAATTCATGAATTCGACCCGCGTGTTTCCCCCCGTACACGGACGAGCAAATTATTCCACGTAACGTTACACGACCGCGCGCCGTTTTTGCCGCGTCGCCGCGCAACCAGCGCGCCGTGTTTGCGTTTGCGTTCGCGCGCAAGAGGCAATTATGCACTTACGGT